ACAAACAGTTCGCGGTTGTGTGTAAATTCGGTCAAAGAGACCGCTGCAAATGTTCGACTCGATTGTCCACCACTGAAGAAAGGGATGAAGATGAAGGGGAAGCGGAAACCGCGACCTGGGGTCGTCTAAGAGGATGAAACGCGAGAGGAACCGTTGAAGCGGTCTGAGCATTAATCTCCCTCTGGTGGTAAGATCCTGAGCCGACGTCAACAGACCTACAGTCTGTTTGAGTCAGAAACGGACCGATGAATTGCAAATTTAATCATTGTACAAAATTGCCACATAAATATAAATAGTACACGTTTATCATTTACTAATACCCAACAGCTTTCTTATATTTGAAAATTTTCCGGACTCCACAAAAAAAAGTTCTTGAAGAAACTATCATTAAAATTTTGACACAGTTCACTATTTGTTACGAGGGAGGAGTGCAGAGAAAGGGACAGCCAGGTGTTAGAGAAGCACGTGCACAAGTGCCCACCAAGTTATTGATTCATTAGCCTGTGCTGTGCCGTCTCCATCCTTTCTCGCACACCTGTCCAGCTGGGCCACAAGACCCCGAGTCTCTCGCCTACAGGTATATCGCAGATATGGACGGCTGGGGGCGGGAGGTCCCAGTCATGATCTCCCAAAACATCAGCGGATCTTGTACTTGGGTTTGCTGGTCTTGCCCAAGTCCTTTTGGTTACCGGCGGGACGACGTTGGAAGTCATTGGGACGTCCCCTGGCAAGCCCTCTCAAGGCTCCACGAACCGACGTCCTCCTGGATTGGTAAAGGTTGGTGGTCCTGGTAGCTGGCACTGACAAAGTGGCGAAGTGACAAAAAAGATCGGAGCGCAATCTCAGTTTGGGTCAAGGAGGCATGCTCTGAAAAGACATCCGGGATCTTATCCGCGAAAAATGTGGGAGCCGCAAACCACCTGTGCCACCTAAACATAGTGGTAAGATGATCTAAGCGGGAAGGGTTATCCTCCAAGAGATCTTGAGACATGGCCTCCGTGGCCGTAGCAAGCACAGAGAGGGGCTTCAAGGTTCGACGGAGTTCCGTATCAATCGCCAACGACTTGGCATCTGGGACCTTGTATTGAGCTTGAGAAGCATCCGACAATCGTTTGACCGCTTTATCTTGTGTAGCGCCATCCTCATCAAGTGAAGCAATGGCATCAGGAACCATAGGATGCGGTGGCAGAAGGAGCTCTGGTTCATCCCAAATGGAGGTAGCACGAGGAATATCCAACCCTGGAGACGGGCAAGTGATAAGTCTGTCAGCTATCCCGGCATAAACACTCTCCATGCTCAAGTGCGTCAGACCCTGGTTGTCTTCTTCCTCGTAATCTGGAACAAGCTGAGCCTCCGACACAAGAGACGAGGAATCCCGCGACCAAAACAAAGGTGATCGGGAACGTGAACGCCCATGAAGAGGTGAAAGCCGATAAAGAGGCGCCGAAGGGAGCGCCTAGGTGAAGAACGCCGAACGTCACACTCCATTGTGTGCTTGGGCGAACGCGGGATGTGCAGGTGAACGGCTTGGTGAAGGTTGAGGGGAGCGTTGCCGATTCGTGGGCAAACGCTGGTCATCTCCGGACAATGGACGATCATCTGGACGCTGACGATCCTCCCGTCCAGTAAACCAACCAAAAGCTCCATAAGCCGGGAATCTTGAAGAATAGATGGAGAGCCTGGATTCACAGCATTGTCGATCTGGGCCTGTGTTAGGAGGCTCGCTCTGGAGCGTTCCGGAGATGAGGACTGGCGGGGAGGCGAAGTCGTAGATTGCCGATCCGCTGTAGGCGTAGAGACGTTCCCAAGCTGAGCCGTAGGCGTCGAAGAAACCTGAGCTGTCTCAGAGGCGTCGTTAGAAGACATGAGGCACTTGTGTTGAGAAAAAGTTTGTTCCGAGCAGCTAAGAACGCTTTAAAGTCGGAAGGTAGGTAGGTGCCGGCAAAACGAGCACCACGAGGTCCAAGTACACGCTGAGTTGACCAGACAATCCGGGCAAGCAGAATGGGTGTTTAGCCGACTTCTGAGACTTGCACCGATTGCAGTAAACCCGTGGCATGAACTAACCACAGCAAACTGCAACAACAGAAAAACAATTACTGTTGAACACATGTTAAGTAAATATTAACATTATAACGAAGAAAATATAGCATAACAAACAGTTATGATATAAGCAAATATAAGCCTATATGGCAAGGGAAAGCCCACGTGCAAAACCACATAACTTTGGTATACACACGCTTACCCAAATACGAAAGAAAAGCTGACAACTTAACGCGACAGTGAAGCAAGAAATGGCGTGAAAAGCGGAATACGAAACTCAACGACAACAGAGAGCACACACAGGTAGCTCTGCATGTATGTGCCACGCCTAGCGACAGCCGCCATTACTGGCAAACATGTGAAAAAACTCTACTAGGAGAAACACACAAAATATAACACAATGAAAGAGAACAAGATATATAGTATGACCAGAAATTATTGAGAATTTTAGGAATATGTTTAATTGGATTTCTAGTATAAACAACCTTGACCAGCTATCAAGTGCTTGGTTTCATTCAAGAGAGACAACTCCGTTAACCCATTTTCATTAGTTTGTGAAGAGTTATCCCCCTTTGTTTACTTGCTAGCAGACGACATTTTCAGTGATCCTCAGTATGGATGATTTAGAGAAGACGAAGTTGATTTTAGAGTATTATAACAAGGACATCAGATCAGCTAAAGTGATTTCAAGAAGAACAGGCATCCCTTTGTCCACTGTTTATCGTGTTTTGAAAAATATTGCAAATGGATATGGCATGGAGCACCAGGGAGGCGCAGGTAGGCCTAGAAAATTGACTGTCGGTGACAGGAGGCAGCTTGGTATTCTTGTTTCTAAAAACAGGGGCGGTGGGGTAGCCTAGTGTTAAAGCGTTGGCTCGTCACGCTGAAGACCCGGGTTCGATTCCCCACATGGGCACAAAGTGTTAAGCCCATTTCTGGTGTCCCCCGCCGTGATATTGCTGGAATATTGCTAAAAGCGGCGTAAAACTAAACTCAGTCAGTCAGTCAGTGTTTCTAAAAACAAAACGAAGGAGTTTAGAAAACTTAAGGCTGGATATGATTGATAGAGGAACTGTGGCTGTCTGTAAGGAGACAATAAGAACTGAGCTGCATGCAATGGGTTGGCAGAAAAGTCGAGGAATTCCATCACCGATCATGAAACCTGAACAAAAGGAGCGAAGGTTGAACTGGGGCTTACAGCATAGAAATTTTAACTGGGACAATGTGATTTTCTCAGATGAAAGTTCTGTGTGGCTGTTTCCTAATGCACTGAAATTCTGGACCCAACAAACTGAAAAACCTTGGTATCAGCGCCCAAAGTACAGTCCGAAATTTGACGTGTGGGGTGGCATATCTGTGTTAGGGGCAACGCCCCTCTGTGTATTTGAAGGGAATATGAACAGTGAGCGGTACACAGATATTCTCGAGGGACAATTACTTCCATCTGCTCACGTGTTCTATGGAAAGTTTTGGATTTTCCAGCAGGACAGCGACCCAAAACATCGTTCAAAGCATTCACAGGCCTGGTTTCGGACCTAAAATATGACATTATTAGATTGGCCAAGCTATAGCCCTGACCTAAATCCAATAGAAAATGTTTGGGGACTTATAAAGGAAAGTGTCAATAAGAAAAATCTGACAAATGAAAGAAGAGGTGAAAGAAGAGGTGGTCCGATATTGGGACAGCATGGACCACGACTTTCTAACTTCTTTGATAAGTAGTATGCCCCGCCGCATTGAAGCCTGCATTGAAGCCCATGGTGACTTGACAAAATACTAACTGTTCACCTGTCTTTGAATCTGGAGTTATGTTCTGCTAATATTCACATTTAATATGTGAGTAATGAGTGAAAAAAAAAAAAAAAAAAAAATTAAATTCTCAATAATTTCTGGTTGTACTGTATATACAATGGTCAAGCAAGGACAAAAACAACCCAGGTTGACCAAAGAGGTACCTAATTCTGCCGAAGCAAAGCTGGATAAACAACGCGAGGGAAACAAAGCAAAACAACACACCGCGAAGACCGTAAAGTGAGGAAAAACGGCTAACGTTGAGTAGACTTTTCGTTATATCATGGTAGAAGGATACAATAGGAAAACCTTACCATAGCAAAACACAAAAAATACAGTAAGAAAAGAAAACAGAAATATCGTATACACGTCCAACTCGCAGTGCGATAAAGGATAAAGTGACATGTTCTCGTTGTCACATGACGGGATTGGGGGGTGTGCTTCCGCTGGCCGGACGAGATCGACACGTCACCTGTTTCATGACAGCATTCAACAAGGATACTTATCGATCACGTTTCCAATCTTTGTATCGAATGAGCAAAAGTAATATGCACATTACCATGAGGTAAGGTAAGTTAAAAATAACAGTTTATAATTCTAATTATGTCGATGATATATGATCATCTGAAATGTAATAGGTGTTTTCAGACATTGTGAAAAGTGATAGATCTAATAAATAAATCACATGTTTGTTAGGTTCGTAAAATTAGATATCATTTTGATGCGACTACTGCCTGGCCAGCATACCGGCCTACGGTGTCTGGGGACTCGGGGCGTCTTTATGGTGTTGACTGGGTTAATATATTTTAAGGCTATTAATATGGCGTTAGCTTCTGCTGTGAAAATAGAGCTGTTATCCGGCAATCTAGAAGATATTGTTTTGGATCCAATGACAGTGGCACAAGCCACTGCGCCACCATCCTAGGATCCATCTGTAAATAAGGATTTGTATGTATTATATTTACTTTTTAATTGATCATATTCTTGTTATATTGTAATTCGTTTGTTTCCGATTTTTTAAATGTTGTCAGTGTTAGGTCAACTTCTGGTCTAACCAATTGCCAAGGAGGGATAAGAATACAAGAGGAAATCATTATGGCCTATATGAATGAAATTTCAATCTGAAATATTACAAATCCAGAACTTGTTAACATATAAGACATACCTTTTCTTGCGATTTCGAGCATCTTTCTCTTCTTGTGAGAGAGCAACCTGCACTTTGAGGCAGTTTTTATTGATAACGAAACCGTCCATACGTCGGATTCCCTCCTCTGCTTCTCGGATGCTGGACATCTCCACATATCTGAGGAGGAACAAACCACCATAGCAAGCGCTCAGCTGTCATTATCGGGATTGTTATCTCGATTAGTTTTATACCAAACTGAGATTTGTACATGTTATTATGTATGTTCTGGAACTGAATTTCACCTTTCATTCAAAGGAAACACGCGAAGCTAAGAATTCAAATGACATCGTGTATGTTGGTCCTGTTATCAGTGAATGCCTGCTGTCTCTACTGACCCAGAGCAGTACTTGGTTGCTTGTTTTAGGCCACACTCAGCAATATCTCACCTATAGGCGGCGGTCTGTTAATAATCGAGTCTGGGCCAGACAAACCAGTGATCAACAGCATGAACATCGATCTTCACAACTGGGATATGATGACGTGTCAACCAAGTCTGTTAGCCTGACCACACAATCCCGTTAGATGCCTCATACGACAAGCATGCATAGCAGTCCAAGAGTGATTTTTTTTTGGTTTTAACACAACAGTAAGCAAAAGTCCGGTTACATCACAGAGGCAAAAGAAAGTGGTCCCAGAGAAACATATTTGTCATAAGAGGTGACCACAGTCGAAACAACTGGTTTGTCGAGCACTGAGTTGTAGGCTACTGCGAAAACTGGAATACTTTGGACAATGGTGTCATTAAAAGAAAAAAGTCCCTTACCCATACATGCACTGTGAGCTGTCCCTTGTTGAGATGCTGACATGTGATTTCAATACTTTCCCAACATTTGAAAACATGTTTGTTAGACCTTGCTGAAACCAAGAGATGCATTAATTGTTAATGTGTCAACAGAGTGAGTGAGGATGGTTTTACACTGCTTTTAGCAATATTCCAGCAATATCAAGGCAGGGGACACCAGAAATGGGCTTCAGACATTGTACCCATGTGGGGAATCGAACCCAGGTCTTCGGCGTGTCGAGCTAATGCTTTAACCACTGGGCTACCACTAGGCTACCTCACCGCCCTGTATTAATAGACGAGGGTGTATTGATGTTTGGTTTGTACAAATCAAAGTAAATCAACAATACTTAGGTACATTAGTCAGGGTTTTTTCTGGACACACACATTAAGAGTTGACACAATAAACTGACAAGCCATGTTTGGATGAAACACAAAAAAATGTAACTGCTTGTTACATGCACATTTCTATTCTTATGAAGGTGTGCAGTGCAGTTGCCTCAAGGAATTCCTGCAATAATTCTTTGATTGTTGCTTAAAACTAATCGTCAGTGGAAAATAAGTTTCTTTATACAGTCAGACCTCGTTAATACGAACACTTTGGTTTTTTAAAAACAAGAGTCATCAGAAGAAGACATATCCCCCCGGCCCCCACATCTTTGAAAGAACAAATCATCTGACAGTTACTTAAAGTCCAGCTTGATTTTAGACTAAGTCCAAATTGTTTCCATGGAAACTGAGAAAATAATAAATCACAAATATCTGCAAATAGCAAAAGGCACCACTTTGGCATCTGCCTCACATATCTGCCAAGTTATGCTGAAAGATATTAAGAAGTTTTCGAGTTGTGTTCTGGAAACGAAACCCATCCCTTCCTTTTTGAGACTAAGTCTGAATCATTTCCATGGAAACCGAGAAAATAATAAATCACAAATATCTGCAAATAGCAAAAGGCACCACTTCAAGATCTGCCTCACATATCTGCCAAGTTTTGCTGAAAGATATAGAGAGGTTTTTGAGTTGTGCTCCGGAAACGAAGCCCACCCCTCACTTTTGGGATTAAGTCCGAATCGTTTCCATGGAAACCGGGAAAAATAAAAATGGCCAAAATCTGCAAATAGCAAAAGGCACCACTTAAGGTTCTGTTTGATATATCTACCAAGTCTTGTTGAAAAATATTGAACGGTTCTTGAGTTATGCTCCGGAAACGAAGCCCACCCCTCACTTTTGGGACTAAGTCCGAATCGTTTCCATGGAAACCGGGAAAAATAAAAATGCCAAAAATCTGTGAATAGCAAAAGGCACAACTTTAGGATCTGTTTGATATATCTACCAAGTTTTGTTGAAAAATATTGAATGGTTCTTGAGTTATGCTCCGGAAATGAAAGCAATCCTTACTTTTTGAGACTAAGTTCAAAATGTTTCCATAGAAACCGGGAAAAATAAAAATGCCCAAAATCTGCAAATAGCAAAAGGCACCACTTAAGGTTCTGTTTCATACATCTACCAAGTTTTGTTGAAAAATATTGAACGGTTCTTGAGTTATGCTCCGGAAACGAAGCCCACCCCTCACTTTTGGGACTAAGTCCGAATCGTTTCCATGGAAACCGGGAAAAATAACAAGAGTCATCAGAAGATGACATATCCCCCCGGCCCCCACATCTTTGAAAGAACAAATCATCTGACAGTTACTTAAAGTCCAGCTTGATTTTAGACTAAGTGCAAATCGTTTCCATGGAAATCATGAAAAAAATAAATGACAAAAATCTTCAAATAGCAAAAGGCACCACTTTGGGATCTGTCTCACATATCTGCCAAGTTTTGCTGAAAGATATTAAGAAGTTTTCGCGTTGTGCTCCGGAAACAAAACCCATCCCTTCCTTTTTGAGACTAAGTTCGAATCATTTCCACGGAAACCGAGAAAATAATAAATCACAAATATCTGCAAATAGCAAAAGGCATCACTTCAATATCTGCCTCACATATCTGCCAAGTTTTGCTGAAAGATATAGAGAGGTTTTTGAGTTGTGCTCCGGAAACGAAGCCCACCCCTCACTTTTGGGATTAAGTCCGAATCGTTTCCATGGAAACCGGGAAAAATAAAAATGCCAAAAATCTGCAAATAGCAAAAGGCACCACTTAAGGTTCTGTTTGATATATCTACCAAGTCTTGTTGAAAAATATTGAACGGTTCTTGAGTTATGCTCTGGAAACGAAGCCCACCCCTCACTTTTGGGATTAAGTCCGAATCGTTTCCATGGAAACCGGGAAAAATAAAAATGCCAAAAATCTGCAAATAGCAAAAGGCACCACTTAAGGTTCTGTTTGATATATCTACCAAGTCTTGTTGAAAAATATTGAACGGTTCTTGAGTTATGCTCTGGAAACGGAAGCCACCCCTCACTTTTGGGACTAAGTCCGAATCGTTTCCATGGAAACCGGGAAAAATAAAAATGCCAAAAATCTGCAAATAGCAAAAGGCACAACTTTAGGATCTGTTTGATATATCTACCAAGTTTTGTTGAAAAATATTGAATGGTTCTTGAGTTATGCTCCGGAAACGAAAGCAATCCTTACTTTTTAGACTAAGTTCAAAATGTTTCCATGGAAACCGGGAAAAATAAAATGCCAAAATCGGCAAATAGCAAAAGCACAACTTTAGGATCTGTTTCATACATCTACCAAGTTTTGTTGAAAAATATTGAACGGTTCTTGAGTTATGCTCCGGAAACGAAGCCCACCCCTCACTTTTGGGACTAAGTCCAAATCGTTTCCATGGAAACCGGGAAAAATAAAAATGCCAAAAATCTGTGAAATGCAAAAGGCACCACTTTAGGATCTGTTTGATATATCTACCAAGTTTTGTTGAAAAATATTGAACGGTTCTTGAGTAATGCTCCGGAAACGAAGCCCACCCTTCTTTAAGACTAAGTCCAAAACGTTTCCATGGAAACCGAGAAAAATTAAAATGACAATTATCTGTAAATAGCAAAAGGCACCACCTTAGGTTATTTTTGACATATCTACCAATTTTGGTAAAAAAAATATCGAACGGTCTTTGAGTTATGGTCCGGAAACAAAATGATTACGGACGGACGGACGGACGGACAGACGGACGAGGCGACGACTATATCCCACCGCATTATATGCCGGTGGGATAAAAATGCCAAAAATCTGTGAATAGCAAAAGGCACCACTTTAGGATCTGTTTGATATATCTACCAATTTTGGTTGAAAAATATCGAACGGTCTTTGAGTTATGCTCCGGAAACAAAATGATTACGGACGGACAGACGGACGACTATATCCCACCTCATTACATGCCGGTGGGATAAAAACGTTCGGATAGTGAAATGTTCGTACTGCTGAAACCACAGTATATGCACCGAGTTACTTCCCCTTGATATCTTTCCAAACTATCGAGACTCTGAGGTCATAGATGAAGCCTATGTTTATGAAGGAAATTATAAGCTTGTAAAACGTTATTGCTACTACATCCCATACACCATTTAAAAGATCTAATCCTAATGTTGATAAATATGAAGTTTATTTTTACAATGTTATTAAAAAACTATGGCGATTTTTTTTTCCATTTGTGACATGTCATAACATGCCCGTGCCTTTTTCTTTTATATTTTCATTTTTACGTCATCAGAAAATTATTATAAAAAGATTTCTTAATATGTATGGTCGCCTATTTCCCGATATCTGTGGCTTTCTGCTCGGTAACATGACATAACAACGGAAAATACCTCCGTTTTCGGAGCGTCGTATGAATAACATGCGAGGCGAATCGTTTGATGTCGGGTATTGTTCGAAAGCTCTGAACATCAACAACATCACTGAACCCTTGCCGCGAGTATTTTCACAGTTGTAAGAAGCGATTTTATTGGATAAAAATTGGTTTCTAATGACGCTTTTTCCGCTACAGTCTGCTATAAGGGTCGTGATTGGTCAAAATCAGACACGTGACCTAATGCAGCCAATCATATTACGGCAATGGATACCGTCCTCCTACACGAAAACTTTTAGATTTAGACGAAAGTTTTGGGTAAAATAATGCTATTTTGAACATATTAAGCAAGAAATCGCTACCTATACGTAAATTATGGATTTTATTCATTAGTTTATTCAATTTACATCGTTACTTTGCTCTTTGACAATGTTATTTGTGGACCCGCTGCCGAAGCATGTGTCCAAGAATCGTTGTTTTCAATAACATTGCGAAAAATAGTTTATAAGTTTAATTCAGTACCGAGCATATATTTCTGGATTGAAGTCTTTCCCAAAACAGCGTGGATGTCGAAATTTCCCTATCACTTATGATAAAGGGATCAAAGGGATGAGTCGCTAAGTCGCTAAACAAACAATGTGTCACTTTGGGTGGACCAGTCAGCAGCGCGGTCAACTTCAATCGTTCGGATTAACGCAGCTGTTTACAACTTAATTAGTCCAATCCGTTCCGACTGACCAGCGTTCGGAGGAGGAAACTGAATCATCGGACTAACGAGGTGTCAATTATATACAATATATAGGTAGATGATTTGGTGCCCGGTGAGTAGCGTTCGGAAGTCGGTGGATTCGGATTAACGAGGACCGGATTACCGCGGCCTGACTGTATATATTTATGGGGTCTCAGAACGTATTTACACGGATTCTTCCAGAACCCATCATAAGAAAATGTTGTTGTTTTTGTGATTGTGAAGTCTCTCTCACTTTAGTATCAATACTTTTCTTTGTCTGAAAGTCCTCAAAGTTTCCATCAGAATGATGCCAACTCATTTTTGCAAAAATTGTATTAATATGGACAATTTTCACTTGCTCTTTACCAAAACTAGGAAACCATGCTTGAAGTTGAACAGGACAATCCAGGTACAGCCATAAGGAAAGGTTCAGAGTTAGATTCACAAAATTTAAAAACAGCATCCTGCCTTGAGCAACTCTGACTGACTGGGTATGGTTTTACGCCGTTTTCAGCAATATTCCAGCAATATCACGGTGGGGACACCAGGGGCGGTATTCATAAAGAAACTAAGATTTTTCCTTAGTGAAAACTTAAGTTTTTTACAACTGACTTAGCTAAGTCTGAGACTTAAGATGCTATTCATAAAGCTACTAAGTCAGAAACTTAGCTAAGTTTCCAAAGACAAACTAAGTTTTTTTCGTAGTGCATACCCGCGTGATCACTAGGGTGAATCCGAGTTATTTTCAGACTTCCGGCGGAACTCTTTTATAAAAAGGTGTGAAAATGGCTTTCGTTAGGATCTCCCTTTTGCTATTTACGGCAGACGACACATTGAGATACCGCGGTAATACATTGTGAAAAATATGTCGGAGTCTGAGATAAAGAAGAGAAAACCTAATTGGACAACAGACGAGGTCCTGCTTTTGACAGAACTCGTGAAAACAAACGCCAGAGTGTTGGAAGGAAGTTTGGTCGAGTGGCGTGACGTCGGCGAAGCGGCAAGAGGCGTGGCAGGTAATGTAAACATTGGGTCCGACTGTCAAGGTGTAGTCAAGAATACAGAAATGTCTTAGACTACGCGCCACACATAGTTTTTATTTGTTTTGAATAAGTAACGATTTTCTGTTCTCTTTTCTGAATTACATTGGTACGCCTATGAAACAGCCATAAAATGCATCAAACACTGGAAAAATGTAGTAGGTGTAGGTGATGATTAGCCGAGGTCACACGACGAAGGAAAGGAACATGTATGAACGAAAAAGTTTTTTTAAGCGAACATGACCTCATACAAATAAATAGTTTGATGAGGCTACAGCATGTAGTGTCAGGAATATTTGTAAAATTTCCTGTGTTTTGTTTACTAACAATGGAAAATTTAAAAAAATAGGAAATCCTTCTTTATAATTTTTTTTAAGAAATCCTAGTTTATAAATATATAACTAAATATGAAAGCTTTGAGTGATACCTATTAAAGGTATTATCATCATAAGTGTAATCAACTTTAGAACAATTGATTTCAAGAATATATGGGAAATTAAAAAAATAGGAAATCCTACTTTTTATAAAAAGAATTAGGAAATCCTATTTTATAAAAATATCCTTTCTCCCAAATGCTGGCGACGAATCTAATGCCATTCCCATCTAGACGGTATCGCCGAATTAATTCTTCACCGCTGTATTCAACGAGACTTTGTCTTTTTTGGTGAAATGAGTGAGTGAGTGAGTTTAGTTTTTACGCCGACTCAGCAATATTCCAGCTATATGGTGGCGGTCTGTAAATAATCGAAGTCTGGACCAGACAATCCAGTGATCAACAGCATGAGCATCGATCTGCGCAATTGGGAACCGATGACATGTGTCAACCAAGTCAGCGAAACTGACCACCCGATCCCGTTAGTCGCCTCTTACGACAAGATAGTCGCCTTTTTATGGCAAGCACATGGGTTGCTGAAGACCTATTCTACCCCGGATCTTCACGGGTCTTTGGTGAAATGAACGACGCCTCAGAGCTACGGCAGCCATATTGTTTACTGACTTAAGTCAAACACCTTCCAGTTAAGCCTACCCCTGCCCAGTCTTAAGATTTAAGTCGGGAAATCGCCAAAACTTAAGCCTAAGTTCCTTTATGAATATGACTTGAGTAAAATCTGAAAACTTAAGTCAGAAAAAGTGATAAACTTAGTTTTTTCAAAAACTTAAGTCATATTTCAGACTTAAGTTCTTTTATGAATACCGCCCCAGAAATGGGCTTCACAAATTGTACCCATGTGAGGAATCGAACCCGGGCCTTCGGCGTGACGAGCGAACGCTTTAACCACTAATTCCCCACTGCCCCTGAGCAACTCTGATAAGCAGTTTATCAATATAGAATCATGATACATAAAGCTTACCATGGATCACCTGACATGGTCTAATCGCATTTCCTTACCATTTTCTAGGGGTGACTATAGAGGGGGAAACAACTATTGTGATAGCTAAAGACTAGTGCAACATACTATTGCAACAGCGATAACCTATTGCGACCAACTATTGCAATACTATTGCAAAAGTTTTTTTCTCTCCATGAATAGTCTCATTTGAAGTCATTTCCCAAATGTACGTATAGTTTATATGAAATGAAAACAAGTTGAAGTAGTTACAACATTGTTATTCACTATTTCAATCTCCAAGTCGCATGCCATGTTTTCCGCCATGTTTAAGAGGTAACAGGGGCAGATAATTTGGTACTACCTGTATTTTGTGCTGCGCAGTTATTAACGGACGTCAATTACTAAACTATGGATTGTCACACATACTATCGATGCATGGATAGTTGTTCTACCATCAATTAATTGTTATTGGAGGCTCAACAATTGCAATCCATCGATTGTTCGATGCATAGTTACAGCCCTATCATTTTCAAATCATTTTCTGATGTTATTAGCATTACCAAAAAATACTGACTTTATTTCTAAACTACCTGCAAATATTTAGAAAAGATCCAAAAACAACTCAACTGATGACAATTCAGAGCCAGTGATTGAGTTTTTACCAAATATTTCTTTTATTTATCACTGTCTAAGGACACCAGATTTGACACAAGGAACCACTAAAATTGACAACATTTAACCGACTTTGACTGCAATGATTCACCGTACTTCGTCAATTCCAAGCGGCAGGTTTTGCACATACAGGGTGACTCCATTCTTGGTGCTCCGCTGTCTGAAACCGAAGACACAAGTCCAGTTAGTGTTTGGAAACAAGGCCGGGTAGTGGCAATTACAATATTCAAGACCCATGACTAGAACCACAGACCTTTGGATTTGCGGTCAAACTCTTTCTACCCCGTGAGCAAGCTGACCACGTGGGTGTATATGTGGGAATGTGTGTATCCCTGGCAACAGATCTATGTTGTGTCAACTGGTTGTTATGAAACAGCTGTGTCCTCCCACGAGAACACAGAACATTTGAGAGTTTGAAATATTTTTAACAGCAGAGTATTGAATCCCTGAATGTCCAATTTGCGACATATACTAAATATTACACCTAACATAATCAAAAACTTACGCCGACATTGAAAAAACAGGAGTCATCAGAAGACGACATATCCTGCCGGCCCCCACATCTTTGAAAGAACAAATCATGCGACAGTTACTTAAAGTCCAGCTTGATTTTAGACTAAGTCCACAACGTTTCCATGGAAACCGTGAAAAATATAAATGACAAAAATCTGCAAATAGCAAAAGGCACCACTTTGGGATCTGCCTAACATATCTGCCAAGTTTTGCTGAAAGATATTAAGAAGTTTTCGCGTTGTGCTCCGGAAACAAAACCTACCCCTCCCTTTTGAGACTAAGTCCGAATCGTTTCCATGGAAACCAAGAAAATAATAAATCACAACAAGAAGACAAAGTCATTAATATCCCCCACAATGGCAATATACTCTTCATGATAATGTCTACGAAGTTATGATTATGTCAAATATTTAGGTGTGTATATATAGAAAAGTGGAAGGAGAGTATTGAAAGGTTTGGAAAGTTCTGCTACAGAAAGGAGCACTATCACCAATTTCAGTCTAAGTCAAACTTGTTGCCATGGAAACGCCAAAAATATTTTATTCAGAATTCCAAAACTAACAAAAGGCACAAGTACACCACCAGATCTATCTATGTGCCAAGTTTGGTGAAGAAATATTTAACGGTTTTAGAGTTCTGCTCCGGAAAAGAGCACTACCACCAATTTCAGTCAAAGTCGAACTTGTTGCCATGGAAATGATAAAAATATTTTATTCAGAATTCCAAAAGGCACCAGTACACCACCAGATCTATGTATGTGCCAAGTTTGGTGCTGAAATAGCGAATGGTTTTAGATTTCTGCTCCGGAAAAGAGCACAACCACCAATTTCAGTTTCAAACTTGTTGCCATGGAAACGCCAAAAATATTTTATTCAGAATTCCAAAACTAACAAAAGGCACAAGTACACCACCAGATCTATCTATGTGCCAAGTTTGGTGAAGAAATCTTTAACGGTTTTAGAGTTCTGCTCCGGAAAAGAGCACTACCACCAATTTCAGGCTAAGTCAAACTTGTTGCCATGGAAACGCCAAAAATATTTTATTCAGAATTTTGGAGTGTATATAGCAAACTGGAAGTGGAGGGAGAGTATTGAAAGGTTTTTAAGATCTGCTCCAGAAAGGAGCACTACCACCAAATTCAGTTGAAGCCTAACTTGTTGCCATGGAAATGCAACAAGATGACATCCTCATAGTCACAGCCTAAGTCATGTTTCCATGGAAACCGCAAAAAAAATGAAATTTGCATCTGGGTCTAATCCCCCAAAAGGCACATCTTGGAATCATGGTTGACATGTGTACCAAGTTTGGTTAAGCTATCACAAATAGTTTCGGAGATGTGCTTCGGACAAAATGTGATGGACGCACGGACGGACACACGGAACTCGTTTCTTTATCCCCTGCAACTTCGTTGTTGTGGGGGATAACAACTCAGAAAACCCTCACTTTGAAATTGAAACTAACAAGAGTCATCAGAAGATGACATATCCCCTGGCCCCCACATCTTTGAAAGAACAAATCATCTGACAGTTACTTAAAGTCCAGCTTGATTTTAGACAAAGTGCAAATCGTTTCCATGGAAACCGAGAAAAATATAAATGACAAAAATCTGCAAATAGCAAAAGACACCACTTTGGGATCTGCCTCACATATCTCCCAAGTTATGCTGAAAGATATTGAGAAGTTTTCGAGTTGTGCTCCGGAAACGAAACCCACCCCTCTCTTTTGGGACTCCGAATCGTTTCCATGGAAACCGGGAAAAATAAAAATGCCAAAAATCTGCAAATAGCAAAATGCACAACTTTAGGATCTGTTTGATATATCTACCAAGTTTTGTTGAAAAATATTATACGTTTTTTTAGTTGTGCTCCGGAAACGAAAGCAATCCTTACTTTTTGAGACCAAGTCCAAAACGTTTCCATGGAAACCGAGAAAAATAAAAATGCCAAAAATCTGCAAATAGCAAAAGGCACCACTTAAGGTTCTATTTGATATATCTACCAAGTATTGTTGAAAAATATTGAGCGTTTCTTGAGTTATGTTCCGGAAACGAAGCCCACCCCTCTTTAAGTCCAAAACGTTTCCATGGAAACCAAGATAAATAAAAATGACAATAATCTGTAAATAGCAAAAGGCACCAGCTTAGGTTATGTTTGACATATCTACCAATTTCTGTTGAAAAATATCAAACGGTCTTTGAGTTATGCTCCGGAAACAAAATGATTACGTACGGACCGACGGACAAGGCGACGACTATATCCCACCGCATTACATGCCGGTGGGATAAGAAGGGAAAAGAAGTACAAATTTGTTTGTGTGATGAAATAATATATGCTTGCTTGCTTAGTTGTCTCAACTGCAGATCAGTTTTGGCTTATTATAATAAAACAGACTTAAGTTACTCATTATTATTTACCCCTTGTACCCAATAGATTCCTGTCAATATTGTAACAGTCACAGGTTACCATGGTTACCATACAATACTGTCAATACCTGGACAATGACCAATCAGAAATCAATGTCTACCGGGTGCTATAAATAGACAGATCTACAACAACTGCACTTGTAATTGTGGAACATATTACTACATCAATCTAAATTAAAATGCTATTGAGCTTTACCGGTTTGCTAAGCGATTTCCAGGGCCCTTATTATAAGAGTTGAACTGCCGGTCTTCGTAGTCCATCCGACGTGGGTCCCATCCTTCAAATTCTGCACCACCCCTGCAGCAGCAACAGGAACATAATGAGGCATACTTGCAATGTATTCACATTGTCCAACACAAAGTGAGTGAGTTTGGTTTAACTGCGCTTTAAATGATATTCTAGAAATATTACAACAGGGGAACACCAGTATCTGGCTTCACATATTGCACCCATGTGTAGAATTGAACCCTGACCTTGTAGCGCAAATAGGGTTTGTTTCGAGAAATCAGGGCCTGGTCAGTCCTGTAGTTCTGCTAAGTTGGTGAAAACTGCATGCATGTGAAACATTCAATTATGTTAACTAAAATTTTGGATAAACTAACTTCAGATGCAGTGTACAGAATATGCTGGTCTGCTTACACTTGAATGTATGACAGTGTTCACGAATCATTTTTCAAAGGAACAGGACATTGGGTCCTGTAAGTTTCAGATGTCTGTCTGACCCATTGAAAATTCACAGGACCCATAAAATAAAATTAAACACACATTTCAGATTTAGCATTTCTTATAACTGGCACTGAAATTATAAACAAACATAAGATTTATAAACAGCAAACAGGTGTCACGTGTCACATGTCACATATAACAACTTCAGTCAAAGTCATTGTGAAATATACACTCAGACACTGGGGCCAGCGGGTTGTAGACTTCAATCGGACCATTGGCAAATCTGCCGGATTTGTCAGATGTGAGGTGAGGTGAAATTGGGTTTAACGTCGTGCTTGAGAATATTTCGCTCATATGACGACGTGCATGCGTGTATATGTGTATGTGCGGCTGCTTGTACTAGCCCAGACTGAAGCTGGTTTTATAGTGCTAGCCCACTGAGATACCATGCCGCAGTGAAGCATGAATACCCCACTCAGACACATTATACTGACTCCGAGCCGACCAGTCCTTGTTGTACCCATTATGCCGAGCGCCAGGCAGGGACCAACAAGTACCATATTTTAACGTCTTTTGGTATGACGCGGCCGGGGATTGAACCCGCGACCTTCCGCTCTCCGGCCGGATTTGTCAGAGGGTCAGACGCTATTTGTGAACACTGGTATGAAGAGCTAAGTTCTTGGACACTGCAAGTAAGGCTGCTCACAATGCCACTGTTTCGACAGCAATCATTAGTTACATACTGCCATGACACAGATGTTACGGGCAATTTTACTCACCCCATGAAAATCGTCTCTCTCTGTCCGTAAGCCATCACTATGTTCTGCAACAACAAGTACACACCATGACTACCATACAACAAAACATACATTCCACATTGTTTATTCTGTAAGACAAGGTACATAAGACTTTTTATGGATGTCAACTTAACCTGATGAAGGAGTAAGAATATACTTCGAAACATTGTGTCCATCACAATAAAGAAGTTGACATCCACAAAAGTCTTGCCTTTCTGTCTATCACTTCTAAATGCCACTCAAAGACTCTAAGTGGAGTCTAACCTCTCGTCCAAAATCTGGTTCAGTTCCATCTCCAATTTTATGAATTCAGAACATGGTGGGAACCTTTGAGTGGAACTCTGTTGTTGTTTAAATGCTAGTCAGGCATATTCATATTTTGTTCACGCACAAATTGTAAATCTGGTAAATCATAATATCTGCCCCTGCCAAACCAGTGGCTAACTGCCGCTTTACCTAAACATAACTTGGTTCCATGGAAACAGAAAAAATCTAGTATTGTAAGAAAAACGAAGAAAGGACCGACAGCAAAAATCACCATTTCAGGATCTGTTAAATATATCCGACACTTTCTTGTGGACAAATATAAACTTTTGTGGTTCGGAAACTTGCTGACTACAGACGAGGCACTGCTTATATCTTCCCCTACCCATCCCCTGAGCATATGCCGGGAAATAATGATGGCTCTCAGCTGACCAATCTATCATCAGTCAAGACCCCACTCTAGCGGACACCAGTAGTCTCACAGCAGACAGGTGCTTTCTGACACTAAGTAATGACTCAACAAAGCTTGAGGATGACTTACTCTGAATGATAGATCACTACATCATCAGCCAGTCCAAAGTTCTAAAGAATGTGGGGTGGGGATTATACATATGTCTGAAAGTTTGAGTTACCGTATATGACCGTCTATAAGCCGAATTTTGAGGACCAAAAAAAGCAGTCTGTAGAAGGGGGTCGTCTTATCCATGAGTTACACTTTAGTCAAACTTTTTTCCAGGGGTAAGAAAACAACATCGTATCACTTCGCGTGAACAAACAACAGAAGACGACTTTGTCAGTAGAGACGTCAAATTTGCAATTAAACATCACTAGACAAGATTAATTACCATTTAAGTTATAAGTTGTTTTTGCTGGGCATTGTTTTATTTGCAGGTATTAAGATTACCGTGCGTATTTGTCTCGTACACAAAGCCGGAAATAGCAATCAGCTGTGCACACGTTTCCCGGCGAACAAGTTCAAACATGCACAATAATATAACGGGACGAATTCTGACGCAGTCATCAGTAAAATATAATACAGAATACCGTTATTTAACCCAAAGAAATATATCCTAGCATTGTGTAATTTTAGTTACAGTTTTTGCTCTATAAATTAATTAAGATTACCGTGCGTATTTGTCTCGTACACAAAGCCGGAAATAGCAATCAGCTGTGCACACGTTTCCCCGCGAACAAGTTCAAACATGCACAATAATATAACGGGATGAATTCTATTGATTGAATACTATTATTTAACCAAAAGAAATATATCCTAGCATTGTGTAATAGTTTTTATGTAAAAAATATATAATCAACACTAAGGTTATACGGCCTATCCATGAGATATGATTTTGACACTGATTTTGAGGGTCAAGTCTGGGGGTCGGCTTATCCATGGGGTCGGCTTATAGACGGTCATATACAGTAGGTAGTGACAGGCATTTCAGCCCCTGAATGTCCATGACTAATGACATCCTAGTCTACTGGGGACAGTGCTTACAAGACATCAGTTGGGCCAATATCACAAACATTTGTTTGTAATCTGCTGTCGTTTTTGAAATAGTGATACTTGGAACTTGGGTCTGTCTTCAGACATTGAAACTTAATCATCAGACAAGAATTACAATCCGATAAATATATATGGCATGCAATTCTATGTCACATAATGGTCTAACCAAGCAATTACTTTTGCATCTATATTTCCATAAAACAAACAGAATTAGGAAACACTTCCTTGTGAACTATTGTCTCTTGAACGGCTGTGGAAAAAGTGGGCTTGATTGTGCTACTATGGGACACCTGATGCTGAAGTAGGCTGGTTGTGAAGATGGACAGGTGTGTCATATTGTGAACTATGGGACACCTGATGCTGAAGTAGGCTGGTTGTGAAGATGGACAGGTGTCATATTGTGCTACACTGGGACACCTGATGCTGAAATAGGCTGGTTGTGAAGATGGACAGGTGTGTCATATTGTGCTACTATGGGACACCTGATGCTGAAAAGTAGGCTGGTTGTGAAGATGGACAGGTGTGTCATATTGTGCTACTATGGGACACCTGATGCTGAAGTAGGCTGGTTGTGAAGATGGACAGGTGTGTCATATTGTGCTACTATGGGACACCCGATGCTGAAGTAGGCTGGTTGTGAAGATGGACAGGTGTGTCATATTGTGCTACTATGGGAACCTGATGCTGAAATAGGCTGGTTGTGAAGATGGACAGGGTGTGTCATATTGTGCTACACTGGGACACCTGATGCTGAAGTAGGCTGGTTGTGAAGATGGACAGGTGTGTCATATTGTGCTACACTGGGACACCTGATGCTGAAGTAGGCTGGTTGTGAAGATGGACAGGTGTGTCATATTGTGCTACTATGGGACACCTGATGCTGAAATAGGCTGGTTGTGAAGATGGACAGGTGTGTCATATTGTGCTACTATGGGACACCTGATGCTGAAATAGGCTGGTTGTGAAGATGGACAGGTGTGTCATATTGTGCTACACTGGGACACCTGATGCTGAAATAGGCTGGTTGTGAAGATGGACAGGTGTGTCATATTGTGCTACTATGGGACACTTGATGCTGAAGTAGGCTGGTTGTGAAGATGGACAGGTGTGTCATATTGTGCTACACTGGGACACCTGATGCTGAAGTAGGCTGGTTGTGAAGATGGACAGGTGTGTCATATTGTGCTACTATGGGACACCTGATGCTGAAGTAGGCTGGTTGTGAAGATGGACAGGTGTGTCATATTGTGCTACACTGGGACACCTGATGCTGAAGTAGGCTGGTTGTGAAGATGGACAGGTGTGTCATATTGTGCTACTATGGGACACACCTGATGCTGAAATAGGCTGGTTGTGAAGATGGACAGGTGTGTCATATTGTGCTACACTGGGACACCTGATGCTGAAATAGAGCTGGTTGTGAAGATGGACAGGTGTGTCATATTGTGCTACTATGGGACACCTGATGCTGAAATAGGCTGGTTGTGAAGATGGACAGGTGTGTCATATTGTGCTACTATAGGACACCTGATGCTGAAAGTAGGCTGGTTGTGAAGATGGACAGGTGTGTCATATTGTGCTACTATGGGACACCTGATGCTGAAAATAGGCTGGTTGTGAAGATGGACAGGTGTGTCATATTGTGCTACACTGGGACACCTGATGCTGAAGTAGGCTGGTTGTGAAGATGGACAGGTGTGTCATATTGTGCTACTATGGGACACCTGATGCTGAAATAGGCTGGTTGTGAAGATGGACAGGTGTGTCATATTGTGCTACACTGGGACACCTGATGCTGAAGTAGGCTGGTTGTGAAGATGGACAGGTGTGTCATATTGTGCTACTATGGGACACCTGATGCTGAAAATAGGCTGGTTGTGAAGATGGACAGGTGTGTCATATTGTGCTACTATGGGACACCTGATGCTGAAGTAGGCTGGTTGTGAAGATGGACAGGTGTGTCATATTGTGCTACTATGGGACACCTGATGCTGATAGGCTGGTTGTGAAGATGGACAGGTGTGTCATATTGTGCTACTATGGGACACCTGATGCTGAAATAGGCTGGTTTGTGAAGATGGACAGGTGTGTCATATTGTGCTACTATGGGACACCTGATGCTGAAAGTAGGCTGGTTGTGAAGATGGACAGGTGTGTCATATTGTGCTACTATGGGACACCTGATGCTGAAATAGGCTGGTTGTGAAGATGGACAGGTGTGTCATATTGTGAACAATGGCATTGAGTTATTCCTCGCCACCCCTTAGCTCTTAAGCTTTATGAATTTGAAGTGGCTGTATAAACTATGTTAATTCTCTTCTTAATGTTCAGTAAGTTATCAACTATGACCATGATGACTCTGTTACTGAAAGTTGTATAACAGTCTGTTTCACCATTTGCAACATGTGTGGTGGAAGTAAACAAGGAGACCTCAATATGCTTCAAACATCATCAAGTATTTGTTCAAAATAGTCACTATACGTCAACACAATTAAAGTCTTAACAAGAATGAACATTAGCAACTCAGAATTCCAAAAAGGACACAAAAATGTTAATATGTTTGTTACAATCATTATTTCATTGGTCACTCAAACAAGTCTCTTCATAATTAGGCTTGTGATTACTAAACCACACAAATGAATTAATGCCATATAATGCTTTATCCAAAACAAGAAGACAAAGTCACCAATATCCCCACTTATTGGCAAAAATACTCTTCATGATTATGTCTCACGAGGTATGATTATGTCAAATATTTAGGTGTGTATTATAGAAAAGTGGAAGGAGAGTATTGAAAGGTTTTAAAGTTCTGCTCCAGAAAGGAGCACTACCACCAATTCAAAACTACCAAAAAAGGAACCAGTACACCACTAGACTAATCTATGTGTGTCAAGTTTGGTGAAGAAATAGTGAGCGGTTTTAGAATTTAGCTCGAGGAAAAGTGCACTACCACCAATTTCAGGTTAAGTCAACTTGTTGCCAAGGAAAAGCCAAAAGTATTTAATTCAGAATTTCAAAACTACCAAAGGCACCAGTACACCACCAGATCTATCTATGTGCCAAGTTTGGTGAAGACATATTGAGCGGTTTTAGAGTTCTGCTCCGAGGAAAGAGCACAACCACCAATTTCAGTCTAAGTCGAACTTGTTGCCATGGAAATGCCAAAATATTTAATTCAGATATCCAAAACTCCCAAAAGGCACCAGTACACCACCAGATCCATGTATGTACCAAGTTTGGTGAAGAAATATTGAGCGGTTTTAGAGTTCTGCTCCGAAAAAGACAAATGTGCATCGAGATCGGACGGACGGACGGAGTCCATTTTAATACCCAATCTAATGCGTTTAAAAAAAACAATCAACCAATCACTGTTACGTTGAGGCTAATGAGACTTGTTTTTGTAAAGGACAGCAGGACAAACTTGTGAAAGCTTACTGTTGATCTGACTGCAGAGCACATATATATATATATATATGATCAGCAAAATGAGAAATAAATACGGAAATGACATTTTGATAGTTTGTTTGCTACTTGTGGTTTAAACATATTTTTATTCATGAAAGAATCTGGTTTGGTACACAAAAAAAACTCCATCCAGCCTTTCAGGGTACCGTTCGTCAGCATTGCATGTCCCCCACGCGCATCGTAATACCATTTTCTGTGCTTTTCAACACACGGTAACTATGGGCAACAGCGTTTGTTTGTGGGTAAAATATGGTGGGCGTTTGACAGCAGTTCGGCACAGAATGGAAGCTTTTTGCTGATTGGTTGATACCAGCTGTCAATCAATATTAGCGGATCCATGAATAACTATTCATCTCAATGATCATATAAAACCATTTCATGCGGAAATTGATAGTTTGTGAAATAATAATAATAATGGTCAAATATAGCCAGATCAGCTTATAGCAAAATAGGCAGAATGGCCTATAATATATTAATATCCTGTTCGGCCTTTTATCAGGTTCGGTACAATCCCCGAACGGATACTTGAGCCCGTTCGGGAACTAACACCCCGATCGGGATAATAAAATCACCCTCAAAGCGCAGAAAAAACATGTTTTTCTCCACCCAAGCGGAAATTCACATCGGCGCATTATGGTGAGTTGTCATAAATGTCAACGAAACCCTCCAACTAGGCTATGGTTACACGCAAGTTCCCAAATGATGCTGCATTTTGGGCGCTACCCCCTCGAAACAGAGGACCCCTTGCAGAACTTACACACATTATGGTCTCAAAATATATCAATTATGTCATTTTATGCCATAATTTTAGCTCAAATGCACTTGTCACTCACCACACTTTCAATCTTATCCGGAAGTAACTGCCAAGAGCCCTCTGTTTGCCTACAAAGGGCGATAATCTAAACTGGAGTGGCACACCAGCAAAAAACTATGGAGGCGCAGTTGCGACATAATGATTTCTGAACCAGAATTAGGATTCAAATAATAAAAGGATCATGAATAGCATTTTTTGTTATGAATCGATACATGTCATTGAACATGCCACTGTACATTGCACTTGAAAGGTTAGTAATGCAAGGGGACCAAAATATGTTTGCTTTGTAAACGAAAATATCATGATAGTTTACAGACAACTAGATGATGAAGCGATGATACTTATGTTAATATTAATTACATGCGAAGTCAAGTAGCATAATGATATTACACATATGGAGTTGTGACCTCATGGTAGCGGCAATTCCACCTACGTTCACCTGAAATTAACATACATTAAAAACACGATTTATTGCTGAAATACGTTTCCATACTGTCAAGCAGTTGAACCGCTGCTGGAGTTGTTTCCCCCTTTTGTCGCTAACTAGAGGGCGCTGGGCATTTACTTCCGACTGACAAGGAAAGTGTGGTGAGGGACAATTTCATTTCTGTTCAAATATCTGAAAAGAATGACTTTAATTATGCATTTATAGGCCTAAATGTGTAACATTCACCACAGGGGTTCTCTGTTTCAAGGGGGTAGCGCCCAAAATGCGGCATCATTTGGGAACTTGCGTGTAACCATAGCCTAGTTGGAGGGTTTCGTTGACATTTATAACAACTCACCATAATGCGCCGATGTGAATTGCCGCAGGTTGAGGTGCAGGTTTTTCTGCGGGGGTGATTTTATTATCCCGATCGGGGTGTTAGTTCCCGAACGGGCTCAAGTACCCGTTCGGGGGTTGTACCGAACCTGTCTACACTGTGGTTGATTAAACTTTATCTTTCCTAATACACATACAGGTCTGAAGGAATGTGTGCATTGTCTGAAAGACACTATGAGACAAGCAGTGTTACCCCTGGAGGTTTAGAGTTACTGTCATTAAAGAAATGTATCACATGACCACGTGTTCAAGCAGAATTGTTTCATTTCAAAACTCGCGCCCCACCCAGGTAAGAAAGAGCTGCCAGTCCCAGGTCTAGTTTCATACATCCGAATAGGCAATTCTCATTGACGTCAATTCTTAGATATCCATTAAATGTCTGAACACTTGTTTTTGTGAACGTTTGCAATCACTGTCGACGGCTGCCATTGAATTTTTAGTTATAATTTCATTAGTAAAATAACCTCGTGGTTTGCTCCCGCCATCTTGCAGAAACCACATTGTGGAGCTGCATCAATATGCGGAGATGTTCTCACTCAAACTGTCTAAAAAAACTGATTTAAAAAGTAATGTCATCATTGCTTTAACGTTTACCGTTGTTATTCATTTAGCTGTCACGTACCTCGACCAGGCATTTACTGTCTGAACTCCTCACTTCTTAATTGACATGATCTTCTTCTAAACTTTCCCCCATTTTCGGTTTCCAACATCCTTGACAAAACAGCAGTTAATTCCCTTTGCTTCAGCGTCAAACTGTGACCGCATGATATAGATTTTTCAGAAAAATAACTATACTCATGTTTTATGTCTTGCATTAAGATGACACGTAAATGATCTGGTTAAGGATTCAAAATTATGGAGAATATAAAAAAATATATTTTCTCAGCGAAGTCATGTGATCTGTTTGACGTTTCGCCATTTTGGATATGTTGGCAGCTTCCGTTTCAAGATGTCGAATTTCCACAAGGAAATCTGACAAGTGTTTCTCCTAATGCTACCTATTGTACTTCGTGTTTGAATCCAAATACACAGGTATAGTGTGAACATTTCCCGACCTTTGTTTTACAGTTCAATAACAATAATAAACGTCTTTTGCATTATGAAATGAAAATGTTTATCAATAAATCGAATAGCCTTCACGAGTTCGGTCCCTTGAATGAGCTGTCAGTGACCGTGTCAAATGCTTGTTTGCATTAAATTTTTTTGGAAAACCCAACTCTTCAATACTGCAATTATATGAAACTCTGTTAGGTCTGTATACCTTATTGGCTTCATCACATTATTTATGTGCCAGCTATCAGATACTTGTAAACAAATTAACATTTACATTTTACATAAAGTAAACATGTTTCTTAGTTAAGTTAGCGGTGCTTTTTGGGTCTATCTCACAGTTTTTGAACCACATTACCCTCCCAACAGCCTTGCCCTTGCAGTAATGGCATGTTCATTAATAGATTAAGTCTAACATTTCCACGTGTACAGGAATCTCCCTTGCCCTGGGTCCTAGTGACAGTTGCTTGTTTCCATTCGTTGGTTTCACATTACTTTTCAACTCGCTGTGTGCATGCAGAGCGTGTGAAAACTATCCACTGGCATGCTTCCGGTTTGGTCGTATTTTTATCGATAGCGTAAACACTCCAAAGAAAACAAAAATCAAAACAAATATATAGTTTTATGTCGAATACAACTAATCCCAGTGGATTTATGAAACAGAGGCCGGGATTAGTTAAATAAATAGCTTAAGTTATGTTAACAAGCTCGTGTATAAAGACATCTCACCACCGTCCTTCCCGCAGATCCCCTTCTCACAACTAAACAAACACATCTCTGATGGAGTTGCAACCAAAATAGGACATCAATTATTGAAAAGCAGAGGCAAATGGAAGTATGTACTCAGCTAAGAACAGTTGTCACAAAGTAAATAATTTTCATAACTTTTATTTAGCGTGCATTTACACTTTCGATAAACATACGACCAAACCGGAAGCATGCAAGTGGATATTTTTCACACGCTCTGCGCATGCATTGAAAAGTAATGTGACACCAACAAATGCACATTTATGGTGCATATTTCCGGTCTTGGTTTGATTAAAGGAGTAATTGGCATGACTGAAACATTGTATCATGAAGCATTGTATCATTGTTAATGCAAGACTGTAATGCCAGGAGAATCGTCAGTAATTGTTAAATACAGATCATAACAATGAGCAGATAAATGTCTTGGAGTTATCAGTTTCATTGCTGTAAGGCTTGTCGCTTGAACATGTTGAATGAGCAACACAGACACAAAATGAGAAACTTTTCACATTTCTTATTCACCTGGTAGATAGGATAGTCAATTCCTCCTTGCCACTGCTGGAGCAGATTAAATCTAATTGGAATTGCATAGTTACTCTTGATGCACTAACTCTCCTTAGGGTAACCATACTAGCCTGCAGTGTTCACGAATAGCGTCTAACCTCTGACAAATCTGGCAGATTCGCCAACGGTCCAATAGAAGTCTACAACCCGCCGGCCCCAGTGTCTGACTGTATATTTCACAATGACTTTGACTGAAATTGTTATATGTGACATGTGACACTTGTTTACTGTTTATAAATCGTATGTTTGTTTATAATTTCAATGCCAATTATAAGAAATGTTAAATCTGAAATGTGCATTTAATTTTATTCTGTGGATCCTGTGAATTTTCAATGGGTCAGACAGACATCTGAAACTTACAGGACCCAATGTCCTGTTACTTTGAAACACCATTCGTGAACACTGTAGTTACTAAGTATGCCACTTTACTGTTTTAGTGCATTTGGTGTTAATCCTAACCAACCAAATGTTTATGTTGGTCTTCAGTTTTTCACATTATTGCATTCAAGCAAAGACTGCCCACAACTTTTAAACCTTTGCACCAAAAACAATACATTACATATATGTGAAAATCTCTCTTCTGTTGTTTTCATCTCCTTCAGTCCACCACATATACCAGACATGCAAAATATGAGCATCAAAGAGGATTATTGAAAACGTGTCATAGATTTCATTTCTAATTTATAATAAGATGTCACATTTTTGGGTGTTGTCATATTTGACAGTTGCTGTTTCCAGTTGTTTTATCATGTGTTTATGTGTAATTGAGATGTTGTCACTGTGTACTGATATCTTTTCCTGCCAGACTAATGCATTATAAAATTTTGAGTTTTGAGACAAACAAGATGGATGTTTATATTGGTTGTCTTAATGTTTACCTTGTTCTCTTCTAGTGTTGTTTGAGCAGTTTTCCTGTTGATTTTTCTTTGAGAATGCACCCTTCTGCTGGGTCAAAGTTTAGTGAAATAAGAAATAGTATTCCATGTATTATAATTTATTACGATAATTTGCATCTGCACCATCACAATGGCTCTTTCTCTGTCTTCACTCTTCAGCTGTTAATCGTGGCATATTTCTCGTACTTGTGTATCATATCATGCATTATAGTCTCTCTTTATACCCTATAGAATCATTCTACACGTGAAAAGGATGCAAATACTGCTTAAATATTGCTACGTTTTGGCGATTGATATTGCTATGTGTAAACAGAAAATGGAAAAATGTTACTTTTGTTAACAAAGATAATTTTAGATGTTCCTAAACACTTTTTTCACAATATCAAAGACACGTTTTACTTGTTTTCACTAATGCATATCAGCAGAAAATGTTTTAAAATACTGAAATCATAGGCATGATTCTTTTACAATTTAAACCCTTCACAACAGTTGTTTCTTGTTTTAATAGTTGAAAAAATGGTGACTTAAAATGGTTTATCTTCACTCAAAGCAGAAGTTTATTTCAACCTTACTTTTGTCACCCATTTTGTTCTGGGGAGCTAGGGGGAAGGAGTCAGCAATTTTGTATACACGTACTAGGTGTGTGTGGGGGGGTCAGCAAGTTTAAAATTATGCTAAGAAATTATGTGAAGGGGAAGGGGGGATCATTGACTTTGTACATGACATGTAGGGGGGTGTCACTTATTTTGTACATAAATTTTAGGGGGGGGGGGGTCATTCACATTGTACATGCTTCTCCACAAAAATCATCATCACCCCCCAAGCCATACATTATGAACAGTCCCTTAATTCCTCCAAAATGTCACATATGAAACCATTCAAACCCACAAAACGTAAAGCATTTGGTAGAATATTTGGCACTTATGGAGCCACTTATAAAGATACTCCCACTTGTAAAATGTTACATGAAACCAACAGAAATAAAAGTATATTTGGCACTTTTAGAGCACATTTTTGCTTTGGAAACCAAGGGCAGATAATGCAATGGGAGCTAACTCTGGATGACCCAATATATTGCAGAATCTGAACCATATCGCGATAATTGTATCGCGAGATACTGTACCGGTTTACCGGTAATATTGCACAGCCCTACTTGATAACCAGTGTCAGTGATGAAGTTTGAACCAACTTCTATTTTCTGATCTTTTTCTTGTCATGTCTGTTCCCTACAGGCGTGTGATCATCTGTCTGATAATACCAATCAAACAATTCTGTCATTAATATAATTCTTGTCGGAGAAAATTCTGCTGTGCCATGTTTATCATGTTTATTAACCAATTGTTAACTTAAAAGTGTTATTGAATAATTCTTGATCTAAATCACACCTTTTGTCTGTATCCTGTGCATGAATGATGTTTCTGACAAACTCTAGTGTTAAACAACATGAATGAAGATAATGAAATATTAATGGACAGATTTGCAGTTGCATTTGTATTTTCTATTTATGAATTGGACCATATAAGTATAATTCATATTTTGATCTGATTATTTGAGTTTTATGGTGCCAGCTAATTGTAAGTTTGTGAGATAATGTCTGGTGTCAGCCTCTAACTTAAGTGAGGGTCAGGTTTCATGCTATATGCAGACCAACAAGCTGTCACAAGATGTAGGTGGGTGTGAAAGCATGGGTAACCCGTGGAACACCACACATGTTGGCAGTCACATGAAAAACATTACCACATTAGTATGCATTTCCATATGCGCATTGTAAGTTGATACAGTATTTGACATAGACAGTCTCATACGATTATCTCCAGCTTGAAATTCAAATTTGTTACCATGGTAACACAATTTTATGCTGATATTAGTAAAAATGCATGTTTTGAAGAGGGGATCCCAAGTAGACCGTTGTGGTGCCAGGAACTAGATTGGATGGTTGAGTGCATGTCCCTTGACATGGAAGTCTTACATTGTTGCTTATGATTTCAGTCATTGGTTATCTGATACCCTCTGGAATCTGTTGTGACGCAGCTGGATTATTGCATACACTTTTCTTACACTAGTTGATAAGTGATGGTGTTTTTGTGTTGTCAGGCCAAACCTGTGCTCGTGGGACAAATAGTACCCTGGTATTTTACTTCTTAGTTGGCCATGGAGGAGACCAGATTGAAACTGATACTTGAGAATTGCTAGCCATTACTCATGGTGAAGTGTGAAGTAAGTGACCACTGTTCTTCTTATTAAGGGGCGGTGTGGTAGCCTAGTGCTTAAGGCGTTGCCTCGTCACGCCGAAGACCCGGGTTCGAATCCCCACATGGGCACAATGTGCGAAGCCCATTTCTGGTGTCCCCCGCCGTGATGTTGCTGGAATATTGCTAAAAGCGGCGTAAAACCAAACTCAGTCAGTCAGTTTTATTAAATTCTGGAATACTGGCCTTGATCCATATTGGCCTGTGACTGTTCAAGTATGTATTGTCAGTGACCTTAACCAGAGTCAGATGATGAACTGGCGTGATTTCCTGTTGAGGTGTCTTCAGTGTTAGTTCACAGTTGTATATATGCTGCAGTGAGCACATGTTCAGTTTAGTGTTGGTAACAAGCATCATTATAAATTTGTTAAACATCAAACATGCTGAAGCTTTTGGAATTCTAGGACACTTTCCTGCCTGCAATAGCTGATTATAGGATTTTACAGGATGTAGATACACGTGTCCTGTTTGCGTGTATAGAATGAAAGCAGAAAATATGTACATCCTGATTGAAAGACAAAAATATTCATTGTACCACATTCTACACAAGGAACTTAAACATGCTGAAGGTATTGTAATCACAGTAATCCTTGATATGACAGTACAGTATACTGTAGGCTGTTTGTCTGCAAATGAGAAGATGAATTGCAAATTAATTCCTGATTTTGAGACATGCTGCAATTCCTTATTCTCATTTGGTACAAACAGACTGTACATCATTTAATTACTTGACAGGACCGTGAAATTTATGCTCTAAAGACCCATGTAATATATTGTTGAGGATCGCCGGAACTACAGGCTGGTTGTGTGTTATGGTACTGTTGATTGTCTTCTAATCTGCTTGCTTGCTTGCTTGCCTGGCCTAGACATTATTATTCAAAGCTTACCACAATCTTGCTGAAATATCACTATTCATATTCTAACCTTCTTGTTGACTGATCTGCTGTTGTAATGCACATTATGTCTTTTCAATCAGGATTGTTGAGAATCTATATTTTTGAATTGTAATTGTTGAAATCTGCTTTCAGAAAACTGTTGATGAGTTCTCATATTCGGCATGAGTGAGGGGCATCCCGAGAGTGGAGATATTGTGGAAAACCCTGAACCTGAAGCCGATGCTGAACTTCCTGTGATAGGTGCCGCTGTGGAAGATGACGGGCAGGTAGCTCGGGCAGATGTGACAGACCAGCCAGAAGATGATGGGCACGTAGCTGGGGAAGATGTGACCGACCAACCAGAAGGTGACAGGCACGCAGCTGGGGAAGATGTGACCAAGGAAGGTGACAGGCCGCGTAGCTGGGGAAGATGTGACCGACCAACCAGAAGGTGACAGGCACGTAGCTGGGGAAGATGTGACCGACCAACCAGAAGGTGACAGGCAGGTTGCTCAGGCAGTTCTGACAGACCATCCAGAAGATGAAGGGCATGTAGCTTGGGAAGATGTAACCGACAAGCCAGAAGATGATGGGCACGTAGCTGGGGAAGATCAACCAGAAGATGACGGTGATGTAGCTCGGGCAGAAGTGACTGATCGTCCAGAAGATGACGGTGACATAGCTCGAGCAGAAGTGACTGATCAGCCAGAAGATGACGGTGATGTAGCTCGGGCAGAAGTGACTGATCGTCCAGAAGATGACGGTGACGTTGCTCGGGCAGAAGTGACTGACCAACCAGAAGATGAATGCATCGGAGCAGAGGTGGAAGCTTCTGAGAGCGAACAACACACAAATGGTTGTGATGACATTGTTGAGGGCTTGGAGGCAGAGGCTTCTGAGAGTGAAAGACATTCAAATGAAAATATTAACACAGTCAAGGACGACCAGTCACACAGTGTTGAAGGAGATGCTTCAGAGAGTGATAGACACACTAATGGAAGTGATGACTTTGAAGATTTGTTGGATGTAGAAGAAGAGGCGTCGGAGAGTGAGAGACATTCTAATGAAAATATTGACTTTGTTAAAGACTCTTTTGATGTGGAGGGCGATGCTTCAGAGAGTGAAAGACATGTACATGGAAATAATGAACACTCCCTGCATCTAGAGGGAGAGGAGGCTGAAGGAGTCCTCCCAATGCAGATCGCTTCTGATGCCACCCTTGAAGCAAGCGAATCTTCTCATGAACATGATCAGGCAAGAGTGACCTCCCCTGAATGTAGTCTATCAAGGCAGATAACTCCAAAACATGTTGCAAATCCATCTGCAATTTGTGGTGTGGCCGACAGCAAAGCTGTTGTTGCAGATGTGTCATTTTCTCAGTCAGATCGGTTGTGTTCTTCTGGGTCCATTGTGGCTGTTGTAAGTGGCCAGGGTTATTCCGAGGAAGATGAAGTGTCACAAGGTGCTGTGGCTATGAACTGTGATGGAGGGGCATACAGCGTAGAAAACAATGGTGAGGTTTTGGATGGAGGATTAAATGGAACACTTGGAGGACAGTGCCCAATACAAGCAGCTGCTCCTGAAGGTGAAGGTGTTGAGCAGATTGTAGAAGATCCTCAAGCTCCCGAGTGTGATCGAAACTTTGCACTTGGACTTGACTCTGGAAGTGACCAGACTTCAAGCCAAGAACATCCATCAAGTCAGCCCTGTGAGGCTTTTCAAGGAGCTGAAGCACCGTCAGTGGAGGAGAGTATAGGGCATTCTATGTCAAACATTTCAGGAAGTTCAAATGTGGAATTGAAAGTACCCTCCCATGCAGAGTTTCCTGACAGTTCGATTTTACCATCATCGGATGTAGCAGGTGCTCAGTTAGGTAAAGTTAATGGGAAGCCAGACAATGTGGAATATGGTACAGAGCTAGGTGTTGAACTTTCAGAAGAATATTCTGATGTCGAGTGTAGCAACCAAAATGTCTCTGCTTCATCTGCAACAAACCAGGAAGATATACCAAAAGACATATCTGTTACTCTGTGTTCTGTTCAGTCAAATTCCCCATCTGAAACTAAATCTAGTCTGGTGGCTTCTCCACCATCACATCCAGTTCACCAAAGTCCCGAACAGTCTCAGGCATCAGGGGTAGACTCCGGTGATGTGGAGGATGATCTCCTGTCAGAACTAGATGCAGCTTTGCATTCACACACAGATGTATCCCAACTGGAACCCATTGTAGAGAAAGCCACAGACTCGGTGATGGAACCGTTGATGGAATATGAACAGCTGAGTGGCAGTGATTCCCTTCCTAATGGATTCAATATGGCAGGATTATGTGACCCTCTGCAGGTCAAGGTCATTCAGGAACAACTGATGCGCATGCAAAAACAAGTGGAAGACAGTCAGATAAAACTGAACAAGTAAGTAACCCCAAAACTTTTGTTGAAGATAAATGACAGTAGGATATTTTCATTTTATCATCAACTTTAGGATGACGATCAGTTAATTCAAGAAAACAAACTACTACAAAACCTTTGTAACTAGTTGCAAGATGGTTGTTGTACTTAACACATGGTATTTCGGCTACTTGAAATAATGCATTGCTTAAAGTACTTAAAGGATGCAGATCAGAATACTTCCCCAAACTTCTTATTAATTGCTTGTACTGTTATCATCTTAACTTAGTTTTTTTAATCTGCTTCAACATGTTAAATCTTCAATGCTGTTTCATTCATTAAACAATATTGATGAATGAATAGGAGTGATAACTTATCTGTAAATGTTTTTTCATGAAAAAGATATTTGTAAAAACATGACTGATGTATTTTTTCAACATGCTCCAGACTTTCCTAAGAAGAATGTATCTTGTTTGTTTGATCACTACACGTGTACGCTGAGACATGATACAGGTTTGTGCATTATCGGTAGTAGAATTCCGCTGAAGTGCTTCATACTTTATGTTCTATCAGGAGCCATGATATTATAGATTTCCTCAGTCTGATCAATGAGCAGTGTGACACACTGAATGTGATGCTATACTGCTAAAACACCAACATGGAAGATATTGATGTGGACACAAATGTCACCACAGCCCCACAGGGAATCTGGAACCATGTGTACGCACATTGATGAGTTGCACAGATTTATGGGATATGGCTGCTGGAGTGTGGATTATATCTTCACATGTTCGTGTGTCAATAAACCATGATGTTAGAGTACTGGGGTGTTGGGGTGGGCTAGTGGTTCAGATGTTGACTCCAGCCACTGTGTTGGAGTGGGAAAAGTTCAAGGTTTAAATCACTACTTCATTAGCTTGTCCTTTGTGAGTTGGTGACAGGCTTGTCAGTGTCTCTTTCTGGAAAGAGCTGTGTCCCTGTGTGCAGGTTGTAGGTCTACTTTTAGGTCCAATTTTGAAAATCTGTCTAATCTAATCCACCAAGAGAGGATGCTTATTGTCTAAGCTGAATCATTGAGTTCAGATAGTGAGCCTGTTTGTGGCACATGTACCATTTAAGCTTGGCACTTGTTTTCCATAAATACAAAAATACAAACTTTCAACTTTACGGAAGTGTGTCTCAATTATTTGGAGAGAAATCCAAGGTTTTTACCCAAAATTGAGAAATGTATGAAAAATGGTTTTACTTATGAAGTCCCAAAACGGAAAGGCTTGCCCTATCCTCCCATGTCAATGTATGTTTAAATACCTTGGGACGGTATCCTTGAGTAACGTTATGCGAGTTAATGAGTTAGTGAGTATATGTGCATGCTGATGTGTTGGACACGCTGTGATTGTGGTGAAGTGTACAAAAAAGATGAGGAAGCTGAGGGTATTAACAGGAGAGAAGCTAATTAAGTCACAGCTTGAAAACTGTTACAAACAATCAACTGGTTGTCATCATGACTGCGCGAGCAACAAAGGGATCAGTATCCAAACAACATGTCTCCAGATAGACATGGGAATGAAAGCCAGTCTGAATCAGAATTTCTTTGTTGAAAAAGGCACTTATTAATTTAGGTTATTTTAGTAAACTCAGACTCCAGAGGCCAATTGTTTTGCGTCTCATGAACAGGATGAGGCTTGAAGGGTGTGGTATTTAGGAAACTTCTGTAAGATGTGACGTCAGTTGATGGCAAGATTTTTTTATTACCTGATTTCATCTAAAATTGAATATTTACAGGCCTGTGATGTTGGTAATGTTGCAGAAATATTGTGGACAGTGGCATAAAACAACATTGGTTTACGTGTGACCTGAGTGGTTCGGTTGCACAGTTGCTGTTCGTATCAACCACTAGTGTGGCTGGCCCAGTCTTAATTGAAAAGATTACAGACAGATGAGTCAGCTGTAATGTTGCTGTCTGTGAAGTGCTAATTTGATTTCTCTCGCTCTTCAGTAGTAGGATAAAACAATGTAAAAGGTGTGGTTAGGTAGATTATAATTGAAGTATTAAATGTGACAGACAGGTGTGTTCCCACCAGGTGTGACCTGCAGTAAGATAGACAAACCAGATAAGGACAACGTGCTCAAGCAGAAATAGTGGGTTGCTGTGCATTGACAACATTGGTCTTCAGAGGCCCAGATAAGCTGCGTATCCGGGTAAAATACGCATAGAAAATTTCCAATTACGCATTGAACAAATAATTGTTGCGTACCAATTAACGCATTTAAAATGTTAGATACGCAAAAAGTTTCAAACAAATGCGTACGGAATATATTTATAAAAATCGCTTGCGTAATGAAAAAGGCATCGATTGCTATCAAATTGTACTGTTAGTATAGGACAAGTGTTGTACTGTCAGTATAGGATGAGTGATTTTTTATGAAATCATTTCCATTATATTTAAGTTGGTTTTGATTAGGTATGACATAAGGCAGAACATACCTGCTTAGTAAACTTACTCAATGACATATACTTAGGTGAGTAAATTGACTGAAATACGCACATATTTGCAAGCAGTGGGTAACGGAAAATGAAATACCCGCTCAACATTCATAATACCCACTCCAAAAAAAAATACAGTGGGTACAGTACCCACATGAGCTAAATCTTATCTGGAGCTCTGGGTCTTGACTGGGTATTCTGACATACTGGGCAGGACCAAATCAGATGTTACAGTTCTTGTCCTGGCCTGGTGTTTTGAGACGGGGGATGAGGGAAGTAAAATATACAGTACGGTGAATGTGGCATCTGTGTAAGCAATGGTATAGTTAATCACATTTGTGGGGTCACCATACAAAGTGTTGTAGATTATACTGATTTACATGATCAATTAAGGCCAGTTTCAAGTTCAGTGAAGATTGGCAAACAGATTATCAGATTGTAATAAAGAAACAAAGAGATTGTCTCACTCAGAACCTGTATCTTGTACACAGCATATACATCATGTTACAACTACAAGGCTTGTAGTTTGTTGGGGATTCTTAGACGTCATGTTACCATGGTTACAAGGTGTTTAGTATATGGGGAACTCCTATACCTCATGTTACCATGGTTACAAGACTACATTGTTACTTTACATTGTCTTCTTGTAGATTACACTGTTCCCATGGTTACATGATCTCACAGATTACACTGGGGATACAGTTTACACAGTAGTGATAGAGTAGACATTGCTACCATATTTATACACTGTCATGTTTTAGGTTGCCATGGTTACACGATTGTTTTGTAGGTTACAGTCAGAGAAGCAGCAGCAAGTTGAGGCGTTGGTGACGACGGTGAAGGAGAGGGACACGTACCTGAAGCAGGTGGAGGTCTTGAAGACCCGCAACCCGGACGACTACTACCTGCCCCAGTTAAAGGAGGTGGGTTTGCATAGCACACAGGGCTGTAGTACACATATAGTCGAAATGATAGTATGTAATAGCTTACCAATATTTGAATATTTGCATTTTAGCGAACCTCTTATTCATCATCACATGTGAAGAGAATGGGAGAATGTCATGCAGTTTCATTGGTTGAAATGTGTAGTAAATGTGATGAGCTCAAGCAGATAGTTCTGAGTTTTCAGACAATTACTTTTCTTCAGCTGCATTTGGCTCAATATCAAATTCGACGGAATGTTTTATGTGCAATTCGATCTGGCAAAATGGATGTGACACTTATTAATTAATTAGGAAACTATATCTTCAGCTTACCTGGTAACTTTACTATTCTATAATGTCAAATAACATGAAAAAACATTTTTCGTTTTCAAAGTGTTTTAATTGTTGTTGAGAATAGGTGATGGGGTTTGATCGTCTGACCTCTGCATAGTGTTTATTTCTATTTATTATCATTCCTGTATTTGTGAAGCATAGATGTTGGATTTTTTTCTGATATTACAGAAGTGTATGTTTCATTTAACTCTACAGTATGCATGCCTGTGCGATGTTTCAGTTAGAATACTCTACACTGAGTACAATTGGCCAATATTTCAGCTGGCGTACACTCCACTGAGTTAACTACACTGAGTACACTTCACTGAATACACCTAGCTATCCAATGTTTCAGCTGGAGTACACTACACTGGGTACACCTGTCCAATGTTTCAGCTGGAGTACACTACACTGAGTACACCTGTCCAGTGTTTCATCTGGAGTACACTACACTGAGTACATCTGTCCAATGTTTCAGCTGGAGTACACTACACTGAGTACATCTGTCCAATGTTTCAGCTGGAGTACACTACACAGTACATCTGTCCAATGTTTCATCTGGAGTACACAACACTGAGTACACCTAGCTATCCAATGTTTCATCTGGAGTACACTACACTGAGTACACCTAGCTATCCAATGTTTCATATGGAGTACACTACACTGAGTACATCTGTCCAATGTTTCATCTGGAGTACACAACACTGAGTACATGTAGCTATCCAATGTTTCATCTGGAGTAAACTACACTGAGTACACCTAGCTATCAAATGTTTCATCTGGAGTACACTACACTGAGTACACCTAGCTATCCAATGTTTCATCTGGAGTACACTTCACTGAGTACACCTAGCTATCCAATGTTTCATCTGGAGTACACTACACTGAGTACACCTGTACAATGTTTCAGCTGGAGTACACTACACTGAGTACACCTAGCTATCCAATGTTTCAGCTGGAGTACACTACACTGAGTACACCTATCCAATGTTTCATCTGGAGTACACTACACTGAGTACACCTAGCTATCCAATATTTCAGCTGGAGTACACTACACTGAGTACACCTAGCTATCCAATATTTCAGCTGGAATACACTACACTGAGCACACCTAGCTATCCAATATTTCAGCTGGAGTACACTACACTGAGTACACCTAGCTATTCAATATTTCAGCTGGAGTACACTACACTGAGTACACCTAGCTATCCAATGTTTCAGCTGGAGTACACTACACTGAGCACACCTAGCTATCCAATGTTTCAGCTGGAGTACACTACACTGAGTACACCTAGCTATGCAATGTTTCAGCTGGAGTACACTACACTGAGTACACCTAGCTATCCAATATTTCAGCTGGAGTACACTACACTGAGTACACCTAGCTATCCAATGTTTCAGCTGGAGTACACTACACTGAGTACACCTAGCTATCCAATGTTTCATCTGGAGTACACTACACCGAGTACACCTAGCTATCCAATGTTTCAGCTGGAGTACACTATAGCGCAGCAGCAGAATGAGATGCGAGGCCTCAAGGACAAGCTGTCCTCCCACGACAACGCTGCCAAGAGGGCAGTGTCCACACTACAGAATGAACTCAAGGTCAGGGTTGACCAGGTCAGTGAGTTCAGTCTTCTGAAAGGACTGAAAGGATCCCATTACCTCATGGCAAACATTAGGATGGGATGTGTACTAGCTGATATAACGTCATCCCAAATAGTCCAGATCCTTGATGTTAATATCTCATGGCTTTATCCAGTTTGATTGATTTCAGCTCAGGTATTGCTGTGTTAGACGTGTTCAGCATTCTTGTTACTGACTTCTGATGTTCAAGCAATCACAGATTTGGTGAAATTCCACAAAGGCATTTAGAAGTTGGTGTAGTAATATAAGACAAATAATTTAGAAGTTGGTGTAGTCCAAATGTTTCCTGTAGCATCTAAAAATGATGTCATGATCTGTTATTAGGCTTACTTTGTCACCCATATAGATAAATGTAGACACGACATGGTTCAGGTAAAAAGTTGTACACTGACATTAGTCTGCTAATTTGAGATCAGTCCACAGGGTCACATCAGATTTGAAGATGAGTGAAAATAAAAATACATCCTGCTGAATAAAGTCTGCTAAAACGTTACTGAACGGGGACATTTTGATTTTAGTGTGAGAACATTCTGTGGTATCCGTCAAATTTACAAGTACAAGATTTGTAACAGATTTGTCTACTAAAAAGGGAATGACAGGAACTTTGTATTCCTAGTTTCGTGATGACACTGTTTGTTCAGGTTACTAAGATGTATGAAGAATGTGTTCGGGAGAAGGACTCCATGGTTGTAAAGTACGCAGAGTCAGAACAGAAGAACATCGAATGTCGGAAGATGGTGGAGAAGCTGGAAGCAAAGATCCGAGAATCTGCGAAGGACCGAGAGTCCATGGTTAGCAAGGTGAAGGCCGTCAAGATAGAGAAGCATAGAGCAGTGGCAGACATGGAGGCCAAGGTAGGTAACTCTGTCACTTCCTGTACACCGCAGTCCTTGATTCATGGCATGTTGCTCTACTAATGTTGACTGCAGTATTAAGCTCCTTCATTCACTGAATATTTTCTGATATTTTATCATTGATTTTGCCATTGCAATAAAAAAGGACATCTGATGCATTTGCAGTCGTCAGAGTTGACGCAGGCGCTGAAGGAGATGGAGAAGATGAGGGAGGCATTGTCATCTGCCGATGTGAGAATCAAGTGGGCTCAGAACAAACTGCGGGCAGAGCTGGATTCTCACAAGGTTAGTAGCCTTTCCAGCAGAATCTGTAGACGATGTTGTACTTGTACATGTACTCTCAGTCACTATTTGACTGTTAGGAAAACAGCTAACAGTTGACACACGAATAGACAGACCCATGAGAAAAACTGTAGCCACTCTTGTAGTAGAGACTTGAGGCAATCTTCTCTGTGTACTTTAAATCTCGCTTCTTCTGTTTGAGAGTTTTACAGAAAAACCAATCAACACAAACAGAACTGAATCCACCGACAGACAAGACCAACAATAAGTTATAGCAGATACTATGCACACTGACTTCTGTTCCTGTATGCTTCGGGGCTCTGGGGTGGCCCTGTGGTTTGAGGGGAATCATTATGCTAAAGTTATGGTTCGATTCCAACATGGGTCCACTGTGTGAAGCCAATTCAAGTTGTTATTGATATTGCTGGAAGATTGATGAAATGGCATAAGTTCTCCTCACTGACTGATTCCTCCAGGAAACCAAGGCCACTCTGGAGAAAACCAACATCAAGCTGAAGGAGGCGAAGGAGGAGACGATGCAGATTCGCCGAGACTGCCAGGCCATGATCAAGACGTACCAGGTGAGCTATTGTGAATATTTGTTCTGATTTTGATAATACCCTGGACTGAATTATTCACAGAAGCATATGTACACATTATTACAAGCACAGTGACTAGTAAACCCGAGTTCCACCTACCTCAGCTAAGCAGCAAACAATAATATCAGACTGACTGTCTAACTCTTGCAGGAGTCAGAGGAGATCAAGTCCAACTCCCTGGACAAGGAGCTGAAGGTGAAGGAGACAGAGTTGATCATCCAACGCCAGGAGCGAGATGACCGCGAGGAGGTGGGCACACAATCAGGAACAGTAGACCAGGACTCTAGATACAGACAGAAACATTCAGAGTCATTCAGCAGATGACTGAACTGTCCTGCCTCAGTGTTGGTTGCCAAACTCAGTTAGAGTGTGTTGATCAGTTGCAGAAAGTAGATGTATGTAAGCTGCATGCGGACAGAAGTTGTTGCTCTTTTCTTGAATTTTCTTGACTAGTCTATGAACTGATTCAAACTGGTTAGCAACCATGTCGTCAGTGTTTTTATAGTTGATCCCCATGATAAACAGTTATTCACTAGTCCTGTTTTTATGGCCCACACAATGTTGAGGACCGTGGCTACAATGTTCTTGATGTTCTTGTTCCAGCTGTACCAGCTGACTAGCCGGGAGCTGGAGTCCCTGAAGGTGAAGCACAAGGACAGCCTGGAGGAGCTGATCACACTCCGAGACAAGGTGAGCACACCCAGCAGGTTCCACACACATACATGTCTTACCAGATGTCTTGGTCCACACACAGACATGTCTTACCAGACATCATGGTCCAGACACAGACATGTCTTACCAGACATCATGGTCCACACACAGACATGTCTTACCAGACGCCTTGGTCCACACACAGACATGTCTTACCAGACATCTTGGTCCACACACAGACATGTCTTACCAGACGTCTTGGTCCACACACATACATGTCTTACCAGATGTCTTGGTCCACACACAGACATGTCTTACCAGACGTGGTCCACACACAGACATGTCTTACCAGACGCCGTGGTCCACACACAGACATGTCTTACCAGACGCCGTGGTCCACACACAGACATGTCTTACCAGACGTCGTGGTCCACACACGGACATGTCTTACCAGATGTCTTGGTCCACACACAGACATGTCTTACCAGACATCATGGTCCACACACAGACATGTCTTACCAGACATCATGGTCCACACACAGACATGTCTTACCAGACGTCTTGGTCCACACACAGACATGTCTTACCAGACGTCTTGGTCCACACACAGACATGTCTTACCAGGACGTGGTCCACACACAGACATGTCTTACCAGACGTCTTGGTCCACACACAGACATGTCTTACCAGACGTGGTCCACACACAGACATGTCTTACCAGACGCCGTGGTCCACACACAGACATATCTTACCAGACGTCGTGGTCCACACACAGACATGTCTTACCAGACGTCGTGGTCCACACACAGACATGTCTTACCAGATGTCTTGGTCCACACACAGACATGTCTTACCAGACATCATGGTCCACACACAGACATGTCTTACCAGACGCCGTGGTCCACACACAGACATGTCTTACCAGACGCCGTGGTCCACACACAGACATGTCTTACCAGACGTGGTCCACACACAGACATGTCTTACCAGACGTCGTGGTCCACACACAGACATGTCTTACCAGACGTGGTCCACACACAGACATGTCTTACCAGATGTCGTGGTCCACACACAGACATGTCTTACCAGACGTGGTCCACACACACAGACATGTCCACACACAGACATTGTCTTACCAGATGTCTTGGTCCACACACAGACATGTCTTACCAGACATCATGGTCCACACACAGACATGTCTTACCAGACATCATGGTCCACACACAGACATGTCTTACCAGACATCATGGTCCACACACAGACATGTCTTACCAGACGTCGTGGTCCACACACAGACATGTCTTACCAGACGTCTTGGTCCACACACAGACATGTCTTACCAGACGCCGTGGTCCACACACAGACATGTCTTACCAGACGTCGTGGTCCACACACAGACATGTCTTACCAGACGTCGTGGTCCACACACAGACATGTCTTACCAGACGTCGTGGTCCACACACAGACATGTCTTACCAGACGTGGTCCACACACAGACATGTCTTACCAGACGCCGTGGTCCACACACAGACATGTCTTACCAGACGTCGTGGTCCACACACAAACATGTCTTACCAGACGTCTTGGTCCACACACAGACATGTCTTACCAGACGCCGTGGTCCACACACAGACATGTCTTACCAGACGCCCGTGGTCCACACACAGACATGTCTTACCAGACGCCGTGGTCCACACACAGACATGTCTTACCAGACGCGCGGGTACCAGACCGCCGTGGTCCACACACAGACATGTCTTACCAGACGCCGTGGTCCACACACAGACATGTCTTACCAGACGCCGTGGTCCACACACAGACATGTCTTACCAGACGCCGTGGTCCACACACAGACATGTCTTACCAGACGTCGTGGTCCACACACAAACATGTCTTACCAGACGCCGTGGTCCACACACAGACATGTCTTACCAGACGGGGTCCAGACGTGGTCCACACACAGACATGTCTTACCAGACGTCGTGGTCCACACACAGACATGTCTTACCAGACGTCGTTGGTCCACACACAGACATGTCTTACCAGACGTCGTGGTCCACACACAGACATGTCTTACCTGACATCTTGTTCCACACACAGACATGTCTTACCAGACGTCTTGGTCCACACACAGACATGTCTTACCAGACGCCGTGGTCCACACACAGACATGTCTTACCAGACGCCGTGGTCCACACACAGACATGTCTTACCAGACGTCTTGGTCCACACACAGACATGTCTTACCAGGCCGTGGTCCACACACAGACATGTCTTACCAGGCAGACGTGGTCCACACACAGACATGTCTTACCAGACGCCGTGGTCCACACACAGACATGTCTTACCAGACGTGGTCCACACACAGACATGTCTTACCAGACGTCCACACACAGACATGTCTTACCTGACATCTTGTTCCACACACAGACATGTCTTACCAGACGTCGTGGTCCACACACAGACATGTCTTACCTGACATCTTGTTCCACACACAGACATGTCTTACCAGACGTCGTGGTCCACACACAGACATGTCTTACCTGACATCTTGTTCCACACACAGACATGTCTTACCAGACGTGGTGGTCCACACACAGACATGTCTTACCCGACATCTTGTTCCACACACAGATATGTCTTACCAGATGTCTTGGTCCACACACAGACATGTCTTACCAGACGTCTTGGTCCACACACAGACATGTCTTACCAGACGTCTTGGTCCACACACAGACATGTCTTACCTGACATCTTGTTCCACACACAGACATGTCTTACCTGACATCTTGTTCCACACACAAACTTTCCCAAGCAGTTGTCTAAACATCTGAATAAACATCCACACTCACATCGGAGCAGATGTACAGGCAGACACATTGTTTGCTGTTCATAACAGGGCGACTAAGGGGATGTAACCGTATGCCAGGTTGTTAAAGTGATAACCATATACTGGTTATTGCCATGGTAACTGTGTACCTGGTTGTTAACATGGTAACTATATGGTTGGTTGTTGCAGATGAAGTGTCTGGAAGAGGAGCGCCACCAGAAGCAGGGCATGCTGACCCAGTTCCAGGACATGGTGCAGCAGCAGAAGGAGGAGAACCGTGACCTCCACAGCAAGACCTCCAGCATGGGGCGGCTGCAGGACGACTTCTCCAGGTACACTCCCTGGGGGTGGAGGGCAGTTAGGGGTGGAATGCAGTAGGGGGTGCAAGGAGGAGAACCGTGACCTCGACAGCAAGACCTCCAGCATGGGGCGGCTGCAGGACGACTTCTCCAGGTCTGGCGCACCTGTACAGGCTGCGCTGGGGGTGGGGTAGTTAGGGGTGGAGGGCAGTAGGGGGTGCAAGGAGGAGAACCGTGACCTCCACAGCAAGACCTCCAGCATGGGGCGGCTGCAGGACGACTTCTCCAGGTCAGGGGCACACCTGTACACTCGCTGGGGGTGGAGGTAGTTAGGGGTGGAGGGCAGTAGGGGGTGCAAGGAGGAGAACCGTGACCTTGACAGCAAGACCTCCAGCATGGGGCGGCTGCAGGACGACTTCTCCAGGTCAGGGGCGCACCTGTACACTCCCTGGGGGCGGAGGGTAGTTAGGGGTGGAGGGCAGTAGGGGGTGCAAGGAGGAGAACCGTGACCTCCACAGCAAGACCTCCAGCATGGGGCGGCTGCAGGACGACTTCTCCAGGTCAGGGCGCACCTGTACACTCGCTGGGGGTGGAGGGTAGTTAGGGGTGGAGGGCAGTAGGGGGTGCAAGGAGGAGAACCGTGACCTCGACAGCAAGACCTCCAGTATGGGGCGGCTGCAGGACGACTTCTCCAGGTCAGGGGTGCACCTGTACACTCGCTGGGGGTGGAGGGTAGTTAGGGGTGGAGGGCAGTAGGGGTGCAAGGAGGAGAACCGTGACCTCGACAGCAAGACCTCCAGTATGGGGCGGCTGCAGGACGACTTCTCCAGGTACACTCGCTGGGGATGGAGGGTAGTTAGGGGTGGAGGGCAGTAGGGGTGCACCTATATGCTGACACTGGGGTGGAGGGCAGTAGGGGGTGCACCTATATGCTGACACTGGGGTGGAGGGCAGTAGGGGGTGCACCTATATGCTGACACTGGGGTGAAAAGCAGTAGACTACGGAAATAATAAAATGTTTAAACTAAAAGAATTTATAAGGTACATGAAATGCCACTTTCACTGTGCAGATTTGCTTCCCTTAGTAATGCTAGAAACCTCAAATTTAACCTGATTTATGTTTCATTACTATGATTAGTTTGCTGGCACCAGCCATGTGCGTTTGTGAATTTGGTTTTATCAAAGTGGTAGATTTCTACAGCCTGTATCTGTAACAAGCACCCACATGAAGCTGATAGTACACTTAATACTGTTCTAAGCTGTGTGTGGGGCGGTGGGGTAACCTAGTGATTAAAGCGTTGGCTCGTCACGCCGAAGACCCGGGTTCGAATCCCCACATGGGTACAATGTGTGAAGCCCATTTCTGGTGTCCCCTGCCGTGATGTTGCTGGAATATTTCTAAAAGCGGCATAAAACCAAAACTCAGTCAGTCAGTCTAAGCTGTGTGAAACTCACTCACACTTTGTGGTCACAGGGCCCAGGACATGATCAAGACGTTGGACCGGGATATCGCTGACCTCATGGTGACCAACAAGGATCTCCAGCAGGACATGGAGGGGTGTCGCCGTCGCGAGTCCGAGCTCCTGGACCTCACTGAGAAACTTAGTCGGAAGAACGCCAAGCTCCAGTCTGACAACACCAATCTCAATAACCAGGTGGGGATTTATGAAAGATTTCACCAGGATAGTGCATGCTGGAATTGTTTGTAAGCCATCAAATATAGTCTTTGATTGGTATTTAGAAGTTGATTGAATATGATAACACTACATGTATATGTAAACAAGACTGACAGTATGTCTATGAAATGCAGGTGTTCACAATCAAATGCTTGTCAACAGACATCCTGCTTATAGTATGATACAGATAAGGGCTTGTGGCTTATGGTTCGAGAAGGGCTTGTTGCTTGGTATTGTGGATACAGTGTCTACCTGGAGAGAGGAAGGTTGGTGATACTGGTTCCTTTCCCATCGATGTTGAAGATGGTTCTTCTTGTTTCCCTGCCTGGTTAGCCCATTTCACCTCACCTATGTTAAGGGGGGTTCGTTGTTAGCAGTGTTGCTGACATGATCTTGAACAGTGATGGATATGTAAGTAGGATTTGAGTTCCCCGGGGGCCAACATCTTTACCTTTTATACTGACAGATAGTTTCGACAAGATTTATCAATGGATGTTTGCAGGTTGTGACATTGTCAAGTGAGGCAGAAAAATGGAAGATGGAAATACAAGAGCTGGAAACTCGGGTCCAAGATGTTGTGAGTCTCTTTTTTAGGACGTTCTCAGTCCAAATGCATTTAATGTATGTTTTTGTGAAAAGTAATGTGTTGTAAATCAAATCCCCTTGGGTGTCTGTGTTTTTGGTTCGCCTGAGTATGAGTATGTGTTTTCAGGAGGAGAAGTGGACGACAGAACAGAAGAAGAGGAAAGAGGAGACGGAATCTCTCAGGAATCTCTCAGAGCAGAGTTGGAAGAGAAGACAAAACATGGTAGGAGATACCACGTTACCATTGACATACAAGCACCTACTTGGTGTTACAGTTGACATACAAGCACTTGTTTTGTGTTACATTTGGCATACAAGCACCTGTTTTGTGTTACAGTTGACATGCAAGCACCTGTTTTGTGTTACTGTAGCCATATAAGCACCTGTTTTGTGTTACAGTTGACATACAAGCACCTGTTTTGTGTTACTGTAGCCAAACAAGCACCTGTTTTGTGTTACAGTTGACATACAAGCACCTGTTGTGTGTTACAGTAGACATACAAGCACCTGTTGTGTGTTACAGTTGGCATACAAGCACCTGTTGTGTGTTACAGTAGACATACAAGCACCTACTGTAAACGTACTTATTTTCGCGTGGTGCAATTTTCGAGGAATTGACAGTTTAGACTACATCGCGCGGTCAATTATTCGCGCAATCAGTAATTGCCGGAACTGCCAGCTGTCTCTTTGGCCGCCACTAATAGCAGTGAAAACAAACAGAGTGGCTTAATCTGTCAGGCGGCGTTTATTACTTACTCACAGGAAATCCCTATCTGTGCGATATACTAGCACACAGTAACCCGTTTACTCCCGGAAGAGATGAAAAACACATCAGTATTATGTTCCGAATTCTGACGATCTGACTAATTAACTTATACTGTATATGAAGCTCTTTGTGATTTCAAACAAGCCGGGTTGTTGTGAATGAGATGATTGAGTGTTAGTGACTATTCGGCTTCATGATGATACGTTTGTATCTAAATGAATAAATAAAATACTGCTGTATTATTTCTTTCCGAAGTCGTTTAATGGTAATCTGTTTTGTATCAAACCATCTGTCATGTGACCAATTTCCATGGCGGCCACAACACACATTGCTGTTTTCGCTAATTCGGCGATGGGATTTGGCTCATTATTTAATTATGTTTTGGGAAATCCATTACAGCGACAGTTAAGTTTGATTCTTTATGCTACTATCAGTCGTCATTTTAAGATTCCCGTAGATTTCTGTCTTCAAACGTGATGTGTTATGGTAACAACTCAGGGCGAGCGTGGCTAGACTGAATGAATGACAGGTTTATTCGCGGTGTATAAATTTTCGCGCTAAAATGTTTTGCGCGAAAAGAGCGAAAATAAAACCTGCGCGAAATATACTACGTTTACAGTATTTTGTGTTACAGTAGACATTCAAGCACTTATTGTGTGTTACAGTTGACAATTATCAGCAGCAGCTGGAGGATGAGAAGGACCTGACGCGGACGTTGAAGCGGAAACATGTCAACAACATCAAGGTATTGCCCTATCACTCACTCTGTGTAGAGTGTTTTGTCTTCATTAAATACTAGTCAGTTAAATACCAGGCAACCTGAAAATAGTTTAGATTGGAGAAGACAGTGGTTCACACAACCAGCCTCCGTCTATGTCAGGTGCGAAAATATACCGAGACCCTCATCTCAGTGATTTTTCTTGTATGAAAAGCACTGATTGCAAAGAGTGTTGGAGACAAAAGTCAAAGGAAAGAATCAAGGATTACAATTGCTGTTAATGTTTAGCTTCTTTTGGCAGGAAAGCCATGTTGATGTGTAGTGTATTCAGATGAAAATATATTTGATTTTTCTCTCTTTAATGTCAGGAAAATAATTGGAAAATTAGAACTTTCTTTAAGCCGTCCAATATTACTGAGTCTTTGGTGCAAACTGTATGGGGTTGACAGTACAGGTGCTTGTTGCTCTCTGTGTAGGACTTGACACGGCAGCTCCAGCAGGCCAGGAGGAAGCTGGAAGCACACGAGAACCATGTAGAACGAGATACCACCAGCATGGGGTCTCGTACAAGCTCAAACGGGTCTCTTAACACCCTTGGAGACAACGCAACAGCTCACAACAATGCCAATGTTAACAGCAACCACAGCTCAAACAGCAACTCTAGAGCCCCCAGCCACGAACAGGTGACACTTCACTCAGCTGTGTTACCTAGCTCACTCACTTGTAGGAGAACCTGCTTGTGATAGTCTTTTTTTGTAGGAGTATCTTATGATATCACTGTGTTGAAAGAAAACCTAATGATGTCACTGAAAAGTAGGAATACCTAATGATACCACTATATTGTAGGAGTACCTAATGATATCACTGTATTGTAGGAGTACCCAGTGATATCACTGTATTGTAGGAGTCCCTGATGATATCACTATTGTAGGAGTACACAGTGATATCACTGTATTGTAGGAGTCCCTGATGATATCACTATTGTAGGAGTATCCAGTGATATCACTGTATTGTAGGAGTACCTAATGATACCACTATATTGTAGGAGTACCAAATGATATCACTGTGTTGAAAGAAAACCTAATGATATCACTGTATAGTAGGAGTACCTAATGATACCACTATGTTGTAGCAGTGCCTAATGATATCACTGTATTATAGCAGTGCCTAATGATATCACTTTATTGTAGGAGTACCTAATGATATCACTATATTGTAGGAGTACCTAATGATACCACTGTATTGTAGGAGTACCCAGTGATATCACTGTATTGTAGGAGTACCCAGTGATATCACTGTATTGTAGGAGTACCTAATGATACCACTATATTGTAGGAGTACCTGATGATATCACTATTGTAGGAGTATCCAGTGATATCACTGTATTGTAGGAGTACCTAATGATACCACTATATTGTAGGAGTACCTAATGATATCACTGTATTGTAGGAGTACCTAATGATATCACTATATTGTAGGAGTACCTAATGATACCACTATATTGTAGGAGTACCTAATGATATCACTATATTGTAGGAGTACCTAATGATATCACTGTATTGTAGTACCCAGTGATATCACTGTATTGTAGGAGTAACAAGTGATATCACTCTATTGTAGGAGTACCTAATGATACCACTGTATTGTAGGAGTACCAAGTGATATCACTGTATTGTAGGAGTACCTGATGATATCACTATTGTAGGAGTATCCAGTGATATCACTGTATTGTAGGAGTACCTAATGATATCACTGTATTGTAGGAGTACCCAGTGATATCACTGTATTGTAGGAGTACCTAATGATACCACTATATTGTAGGAGTACCTGATGATATCACTATTGTAGGAGTATCCAGTGATATCACTGTATAGTAGGAGTACCTAATGATATCACTGTATTGTAGCAGTGCCTAATGATATCACTGTATTGTAGGAGTACCTAATGATATCACTATATTGTAGGAGTACCTAATGATACCACTATATTGTAGGAGTACCTAATGATATCACTATATTGTAGGAGTACCTAATGATATCACTGTATTGTAGTACCCAGTGATATCACTGTATTGTAGGAGTAACAAGTGATATCACTCTATTGTAGGAGTACCTAATGATACCACTGTATTGTAGGAGTACCAAGTGATATCACTGTATTGTAGGAGTACCTGATGATATCACTATTGTAGGAGTATCCAGTGATATCACTGTATTGTAGGAGTACCTAATGATATCACTGTATTGTAGGAGTACCTAATGATATCACTATTGTAGGAGTACCTAATGATATCACTATTGTAGGAATACCTAATGATATCACTTTATTGTAGGAGTACCTAATGATATCACTGTATTGTAGGAGTATCCAGTGATATCACTGTATTGTAGTACCTAATGATGTCACTCTATTGTAGGAGTACCTAATGATATCACTGTATTGTAGGAATATCTAGTGATATCACTGTATTGTAGGAGTACCTAATGATGTCACTGTATTGTAGGAATATCCAGTGATATCACTGTATTGTAGTACCTAATGATGTCACTCTATTGTAGTACCTAATGATGTCACTGTATTGTAGGAGTACCTAATGATATCACTGTATTGTAGTACCTAATGATATCACTGTATTGTAGGAGTACCTAATGATATCACTGTATTGTAGGAATATCTAGTGATATCACTGTATTGTAGGAGTACCTAATGATGTCACTGTATTGTAGGAATATCCAGTGATATCACTGTATTGTAGGAGTACCTAATGATATCACTGTATTGTAGGAGTACCTAATGATATCACTGTATTGTAGTACCTAATGATATCACTGTATTGTAGGAGTATCATGTGATATCACTGTATTGTAGGTATATCCAGTGATATCACTGTATTGTAGTACCTAATGATGTCACTGTATTGTAGGAGTATCCAGTGATATCACTGTATTGTAGTACCTAATGATATCACTGTATTGTAGGAATATCCAGTGATATCACTGTATTGTAGGAGTACCTAATGATGTCACTCTATTGTAGGAGTACCTAATGATATCACTGTATTGTAGTACCTAATGATGTCACTGTATTGTAGGAGTATCCAGTGATATCACTGTATTGTAGTACCTAATGATATCACTGTATTGTAGGAATATCCAGTGATATCACTGTATTGTAGGAGTACCTAATGATATCACTGTATTGTAGGAGTATCCAGTGATATCACTGTATTGTAGTACCTAATGATATCACTGTATTGTAGGAGTACCCAGTGATAACAGAGCAGGTTGAGGTGGACAAGCAGGTCCTGATTGAGCGGATAGTACGACTACAAAAGGCCCATGCTAGGAAAAATGAGAAGCTCGAGTTCCTTGATGACCACATCCATCAGCTGGTGGATGAGATACAGAAGAAAAACAGGTGAGACAATACCTCTGTGGTTATGACGTGTATTGCTCTGTGGTCTGAAACAACACATGGCTAGTGCCAGTTTTACAGGACCTACCTACCATTGGCAGAAATCCTTCCTGGACAAATAGTTATATGCTTGTGACTTCCATTTGCAAGATTTCGCTGTTTAGTTTTCAAAACCTGAATTATCTGTTACAGTGATCCATAGTCCGCCAATGTCATGCTTACAGGTGATGCCAATCCTGACATTGAAGCAGCATTATCTTTGTACCTGACATACTTACACTTGCATTCATGCTTATACCATGGGGCATAAAACTAAACTCACTCATGCTTATACCAAGGCACAAGTGGTACAGTCCCAGATTCACCCTCATGTCCCTTGGTTTGTCCACACCTTGCTAGTGTCAACAAAATGGTACTGATAAAACCCAGCAGAACTCACCAAGATATGACAAACCCAGCAGAACTCACCAAGATATGACAAATCCAAGCTGCTGTACCAATCCAAATTGCTGTAATCCAAACTGACTTGCTCCATTTTTTCAGGATCATCCAGAACTATGTGATGAGGGAAGAGTCGGGGACGCTGGCGCCAGAGTACATGGATGAAAACAAAGTAACATTCCTTGAACCTTCATTGTCATCTTACATGTGTAGTCTGTCCCGCCTGGCTCCCCTGGGGCTGCCATCAGTGCACAGAAAATGTTCTGAACATTCTTGAATATGTGCTTACCTTGAATAGGTGCCTATGTTGAATAAGTACTTACATTAAGTGTCTGACTTTAATTGGTGTATGTTTTGAACAGGTGTTTTCCTTGAATAGGTTTTTGTTTTGAACAGGTGTTTGCTTTGAACAAATGTGTACCTGAAAATATGGCAACTCGATTCTGTGCCTTCCTTGAATACTGGATAGGCTGGAGAAGGAAATGGCAAGCTTGAAAGTTTAGAATCCACTAGGCCATGTAACAATAAAAAGTTCAAGGGTTAACAGTAACAGTTATAATGAAGCCAGGTTAAGATGCTGATGGAAGCTGTAAGGACAACGTGAGTGTCATGTTGTAGGTGAATCGTCTTGCTGTAGACATTATCATTGTCTTACTGACTTCCAGTTTTGAGGCATCTATGGATTGGTGGTCTGTTGATGTGACTATCTTGTAATGGCACAGGGGAGATAACTGGTGGTTGGGTTACAGGGGAGGTCACTGACTTATTGACCTATTACAGGGAAGGTAATTAGTGGTCATTTGACCTATCGATACAGGGAGGTAACTGGTGGTCAGTTGACCTGTGTCTATACATGGGAGGTAACTGGTGGTCATTTGACTTATCTATACAGGGGAGGTCACTGTAGTCAGTTGACCTGTGTTGATACAGGGGAGGTAACTGGTGGCCAGCTGACCTGAATGTATTGATTCAGAGAGGTAACTGGTGATCATTTGATCAGTGTCAATACAGGGGAGGTAACTGTTGGTCAGTTGACTAGATTTGATACAGGGGAGATAACTGTGATCAGCGTTGTGTTAAATGTGTTGCATGACATGGGTGATGGAAAATATTAATATACAGTTTTGTTTGTTGCCATATTTACATTCAGTGGAAAAGACAGCGATATTTAATCTTGCCTTTCAATGTTTTCACGGATGTTGTATTGCTGTTTTCAGTATGTGCTATTGCTTTTGTTGTGTGCCTGTTGTAAACTGCGTTCTGCTATACAGCTGAACCAATGGCTGACTCAGTGTGTGTGATGCTCAGCATTGGTCAGTATCTCGGGACTGATCCCACAAACTCAATCAGGTTCACGTATCATTAAGTGTACAACATTGTATTGCATTCCTTCTCCTTCAAGTACAGTCACATGATGAGGATTTTCATTTCATATGTTTGAAGAAAACATTGTCACAAAATCAACACAAGAACAACATCATGGCAAAATCGAAGTGAGGACATTAAAATATATATATTATATTGTATATAGGATCTTTTAACATTTCCCAAACTTCGAATTTGGTTGCTTGGAAACAGTGATATCCATCTTTGCTCCACGAGCCTGTGTAGCTATGGAGGTGACAACTTGTTTTAGCAGACCATCCACACCACACTCAGGGCCATCATACTTTCACATCTTCACATATCATGAAACCATGTACGCTTTCTAACAACAGCATGAGTAAGTACCCTGCACTATCCAAGGTTAACCCGCTGTCCAATCCATCCCAAACAGTCTCATTGGTTCTATAGTTGCTGTTCCTTCAGTTTATCTGCTTAAAAATTCATTTTGTTTCACGTGTCACTCGTCCTGCTGCAGTGTCGCCATCTGGTGGTTGAAGTAGTATTCCACAGGGAAATGTTACTAGGTTGTAGTAGTCTTGGATCAGTGGAGTTTTACTGCGGGCTGGAAGGGAATGAAGACAATATACCAAATTCAGACTTGTTCTCGGTGTTGTGTTGACTGGTTGTAGCTTGTTAGAAGCTGAGACTTGGATCATAGTAATTATCAGTTGTCAGATTGATAAGAAAGTTTATCATCTGATGCATTGGATAAACCCAGGCACTGTAATTCTTCACGGAAAGTTACTTTGGGCAATGAAAATATATCTTAAGCTTTGATAGTTTTATGAATAAACTTTCATGGTAACAAAATTATTACTTTCTTGGAAACTTTTGCAAATTTGAATTATGACTGTTGATCCCAAAGATATATAATACTAGGATTTGATATGATACCAGTAATCTCTGTGCATAAAGTGCAAGTTATGGCACAGCCTATGTGGGAGCTTGAAGCAACGTGAATCTAAGTTTGCCATGCCCAGAACCCGGACACTGAAACCTGAGATGATATGGCAGCAGTTTATTGAAGTGTAAAACTTCACAGATCTCCCCCTGTCCAAGTCAGTGTATGTTTGTGATTTGAACAGGATGTGTTGTTTGACTCTCTGAAACAGGCAAACCTTGAAATTCATGAAAAGTCCATAGTTTAGCTTTTGTGATACTCTCAAACTCTCAGCCATTGCGCCACGTTTCAGAGTGAATCAGTTACTGTTGTTTAGTAAGCAACCTTATTGTTATCAGTAAGGAATTCTGCTTTCGTAAACAAGGTTTTTGAATTCAGCATTACAAACGAATAACATTCTTGAAATAAATTCAATAACGTTTATTATTATTTTTATTACTGTTTGAAAAACATTTTGTTAGGTTATAAGTTGGGTGTATAAGTGACACTCTTAGGCACCTAGCATTGCTTCTGTCTGTCTGTCTGTCTGTCAGCGTCATCATCGATGTCGCCAACGTCACCTACGCCATGTTGTTTGTGCATGTTGATGTGGCTAACTTCTTGTGCTTTCTCTCTCCGCTAGCTGCGAGCTAGGACCGAGTCACAGGTAGGCTATTCCATTCACTTTGCTTATCTCCCCCTCCTTGCCGCTCGTTGTCTCCACCAGGGTACGCTAGCTGTCTTCCTCTCATTGTCACACAGGTGATCAGGGTGTTGAGTGTTGGATTGTACGAAACATATTGAAATTTTTTTTTCAGTTTTTTTTACATAACTGTATAATAGTGTTGAATTTCAGAATTAGTAACCTTTAAGTCATGATATGTCCTCAGTAGCTTGACTTTGAAATAGTTTCTAGCTATTCACAGTTTCACATTTGTGACGCAAGCAGAAGTCTGATTTATCATGTTATCAACAGAAATGAGATATTTTTCAAAGCGTACTTCAGTTTCTCTCTGCTAACAGTAAGGCATCGCAGCATTTTATTACTTGCTTGCCACAGCTCTTTTGTGACCGCTATTGCTATTTTGGTACATGTAGTTTCAGATTGTCTTCACTTTCATAAATGTTGTCAGTTTCCTTCATTGTGAACTTGCTTCCATGGTGATCAGAATGTTGTTTTTTTGTATGAAGCTGTTTCTTTTGACTTTCCTCTTCGGGTGTTCTGATCTGCTTTCTTTTCTCACCGGCATGTTGTCATGTTTAATTTTCTCGGTTTCCATGGAAACGTTTTGGACTTAGTCTTAAAGAAGGGTGGGCTTCGTTTCCGGAGCATAACTGAAAAAACTTCTCAATATTTTTCAACAAGACTTGGTAGATATATCAAACAGAACCTTAAGTGGTGCCTTTTGCTATTTGCAGATTTTTGGCATTTTTATTTTTCCCGGTTTCCATGGAAACGATTTGGACTTAGTCCCAAAAGTGAGGGGTGGGCTTCGTTTCCGGAGCATAACTCAAGAACCGTTCAATATTTTTCAACAAAAGTTGGTAGATATATCAAACAGATCCTAAAGTGGTGCCTTGTGCTATTTACAGATTTTGGGCATTTTTATTTTTCCCGGTTTCCATGGAAACGATTTGGACTTAGTCCCAAAAGTGAGGGGTGGGCTTCGTTTCCGGAGCACAACTCGAAAACTTCTCAATATCTTTCAGCAAAACTTGGCAGATATGTGAGGCAGATCCCAAAGTGGTGCCTTTTGCTATTTGCAGATGTTTGTGATTTATTATTTTCTCGGTTTCCATGGAAATGATTCGGACTTAGTCTCAAAAGGAGGGGTGGGTTTTGTTTCTGGAGCACAACTGGAAAACTTAATATCTTTCAGCAAAATTTGGCACATATGTAGGCAGATGTCACAGTGGTGCCTTTTGCTATTTGGCAGACTTTTGGCATAGTTATTTTTCCCTATTATCATGGAAACGATTCGGCCTTAATCCCAAAAGGGAGGGTGGGCTTCGTTTCCGGAGTATAACTCAAGAACCGTTCAATATATTTCAACAAAACTTGGTAGATATATCAAACAGAACCTTAAGTGGTGCCTTTTGCTATTTGCAGATTTTGGGCATTTTTATTTTTCCCGGTTTCCATGGAAACGATTTGGACTTAGTTCCAAAATTGAGGGTGGGCTTCGTTTCCGGAGCACAACTCGAAAACTTCTCAATATCTTTCAGCAAAACTTGGCAGATATGTGAGGCAGATCCCAAAGTGGTGCCTTTTGCTATTTGCAGATGTTTGTGATTTATTATTTTCTCAGTTTTCATGGAAACAATTCGGACTTAGTCTCAAAAGGGAGGGGTAGGTTTTGTTTCTGGAGCACAACGCGAAAACGTCTTAATATCTTTCAGCAAAACTTGGCAGATATGTGAGGCAGATCCCAAAGTGGTGCCTTTTGCTATTTGCAGATTTTTGTCATTTATTATTTTCATGATTTCTATGGAAACAATTCGGACTTAGTCTCAAAAGGGAGGGGTAGGTTTTGTTTCTGGAGCACAACGCGAAAACGTCTTAATATCTTTCAGCAAAACTTGGCAGATATGTGAGGCAGATCCCAAAGTGGTGCCTTTTGCTATTTGCAGATTTTTGTCATTTATTATTTTCATGATTTCTATGGAAACGATTTGCACTTAGTCTAAAATCAAGCTGGACTTTAAGTAACTGTCAGATGATTTGTTCTTTCAAAGATGTGGGGGCCGGGGGGATATGTCATCTTCTGATGACTCTTGTTGCTTTTGTTGTTAATTGTTTGTCTGTTGATCTGTCTCGACTGGCCTCCCCAGTTATCATCCATCATGAAGCCCTGTCATGGCAGGAGTCAGTCTTGTGATGTATACTGCCACTCATGATGCATGAAATGTTGTTCTCTTGTTGAATGAGATAGAATGAGGCAATAATTTGTGTCTCTTGCTTCTCAAGTCGTGCACCCTCTGAAAACCCGACAGTATGAAAGTGTTTTGTTAGAAACATCAGTGGTAATATAGCCTTGTGATTTAAACATTCTCTGATTAAGTCGCAAAAACAGTTTCGATTCCTGTGTCTGTTGGAGTCTCACGTTTCATCAGATGTTTTTATTTGTTTACATTGTCACAAAATGTCAGGTGTATGGACACAATTTCTTTGATTTACTGTCACGTATGTTTGTTTAATTTCATTGTTTTACTGTCATGTATGTAGGTATAATTCCATTGTTTCTCTGTGAGGTGCATGTATAATTTCATTGTTTCTCTGTAAGGTGTATAGGTATAATTTCATTATTTCTCTGAGGTGTATATGTGTAATTTCATTGTTTTACTGTCATGTATGTAGGGATAATTACTGTTTCTCTGTGAGGTGTATGTATAATTTCATTGTTTTACTGTCAGCTATCTTGGTTTAACTGTGATGTTGTTTTGTTGTGTTCATGTTGCTGTCACTGGTTTGCTTATTCTTCCACCAAAGTCGAGAAATAAGTGTGTAACCCATGTCATGCAACAAACTGACGGAGTTAACGTATATTCCTCCTTTGTATTGAGGGCTGGACAGCAGCTGATAAGCATGCTCCTAGTGCATGGCACATTGTCAGTGTGCGTTCTCAGCTCCCTTGGCAGTGTACCTGTTCAGTACAGTTTTTCCTGTCTCTACGCACTGCATGATGTGGAACATTTTGATTGAGATCACTCCGGTGATCAGGTGGCCTAGTGGTCTTCATGTAGTGGTTCTGCTCTAGTCTGCTCGTGTTGTGAGGTTTGGGTTTGTCTCTACCAGTACCACACCAGTACTTTCAGATGTCTACCTCTGTGGGCGTGAAATAGTGTTCAGTGTTAAGCCCAGCTCACTCACACCATATATTTAGGCATATTTTGAGTTTCAGCTATGCAAATATTAGTTGTAGTTTAACTGTTTTCCAAGTATTTATTAAGTCAAGTATTTCAGTTGTATTGCCATTTTCTTGTATATTTCTCAAGCCAAGCAGAGCATATTGCTATTCAGAAAATGAGAAAATCCTTTTGTGATTGTGTTTGGGGTTAACATCTGAACACACTGCAATTAAACAGGCAGCTTGTAGAAACTGACCCCAGAAATTGAAAGGAATGGCTGTGTACAGTTACCTCCCTTGTTCACAGGCTCTCCTGGCTAAGAAAGGTGGCATCATGGCCTCCGTGTACAGCCAACACCAGCAAGATGGCTCTATGACTCTTGACCTCTCATTGGAGATCAACAAGAAGCTGCAGGGAGTTCTGGAGGACACACTTCTTAAAAACATCACGCTGAAGGTTCGTAGATAAAATTATGGTTACATCATGTTGAAGCTATGTAGAAAAAATGATATGGTAACATCACGCTGAAGCTGCTTAGATTAAAGAATGGTGTGTGTGTGTGTGTGTGTGTGTGTGTGTGTGTGTGTGTGTGTGTGTGTGTGTGTGTGTGTGTGTGTGTGTGTGTGTGTGTGTGTGTGTGTGTGAGTGTGTGTGAGTGATGATTTTAAGGGGGGTCACCCATTTTGTTCTGGGCAGGTGGGGGGTGTCAGCAATTTTGTACACATGTTGCTGGGGGTCAGCAATTTTGTACATAGAAATCTTAAAAATTATGCTTTAAAAATATGGAAAGGGGAGAGGGGGGCCATTGACTTTGTACATGACATGCAGGGTGGGTCACTTACTTTGTACATAAATTTTAGGGGGTCATTCACATTGTATGCGTGCTTCTCCATAAAAATCATCATATCTCTCTCACTCACTCACACACTCACACACACACACACACACACACACACACACACACACACACACACACACACACACACACACACACACACACAGAGAGAGAGAGAGACATAGTTATGAGCTGTCCCTAACATCATGTTGGAGGTTTGTAGATGGAATAATGGTAACATGTTGAAAGTATATAGACAAATTGATGATAACTAAACTAGTAGTAGCTATGGTGACCTGATACCGCACACACACACACACACAGAGAGAGAGAGAGAGAGAGATAATTATGAGCTGTCCCTAACATCATGTTGGAGGTTTGTAGATGGAATAATGGTAACATGTTGAAAGTATGTAGACAAATTGATGATAACTAAACTAGTAGTAGCTATGGTGACCTGATACCGCAGTTTTTATTTCACGAAAATGTACTGACACATATGTCTTTGTTATTTCCAGGAAAGCTTAGACACATTAGGGACAGAAATTGCCAGACTTTCCCAGGAGAACAGACATATGCAGCTTACCATACAGGAATTGCCGCACTGACAGACAGACAGACAGACATAACTGACGCTACAGGACTGCCACCCTGACTGACGGGGAGACAGATAGACATACAAACAGGAAGACAGGTAACTGACGGACTGATAACCAAGATAAAGGACTGACAGCCAGACAGATGTGAAACTGAAGATATAGGAACTGTCGCTCTTACTGGCAGACAGACAGGCAGATAACAGACGATACAGGAAGTGCTGCTCTGACAGACTGATGGACCACCAACAGATGGACCACCAGCAGATGGACTAACCTACTGACAGATGGACTAACCTACTGACAGATGGACTGACAGATGGACTAACCTACTGACAGATGGACTAACCTACTGACAGATGGACTAACCTACTGACAGATGGACCAACCTACTGAACTAACCTACTGACAGATGGACTAACCTACTGACAGATGGACTAACCTACTGACAGATGGACCAACCTACTGAACTAACCTACTGACAGATGGACTAACCTACTGACAGATGGACTAACCTTCTGACAGATGGACCAACCTACTGACAAACCTTCTGACAGATGGACCAACCTACTGACAGATGGACCAACCTACTGACAGATGGACTAACCTACTGAAAGATGGACTAACCTACTGAACTAACCTACTGACAGATGGACTAACCTACTGACAGATGGACTAACCTACTGAAAGATGGACTAACCTACTGAACTAACCTACTGACAGATGGACCAACCTACTGACAGATGGACCAACCTACTGACAGATGGACTAACCTACTGACAGATGGACTAACCTGCAGAATGTTTGCACACACTGACAGTCGGCTGGCAATTCAGCTGGGACTCTTCTTCCCCATGTTGTTGTGAGTGTCCAGACTACTCAGAGGACACCAGATGATGCAATATACTGGACGTCTTCATTCACAACATGCACAGGTCAGCTCCATCAGGAGGTAGACATATCTGAAGTGACCAACGATGGATATGGACTCTGTGATTCTCTTCGTGGTGTGAAACAATACGAGTGTACATGGAGCTCTTCCTCTTTGTGTGTTGAACATTCCTCCCATGAAGTGATACAGACTGTGCTGAATAATCAGACACAACATAGATCATTCTAATGTGGATCGAGAACTGCTAAACTATATACAGATGACTCCATGGTAACCATGCTAATCAGACTATTTTTGCACTTGTGGAACGGACTTCAACGCACAGACTGTATCCTACAGAATGGCTGCAGCAGTTTCTCAAGCTGTCCGACATTGTGTGTGAATGAAGCCCTTGGTGTTGAATGTTAGGTTTGAGGTGATGCACTTGGTAGAAGTGAGAATTTGTTGTGCCATTATTGAGTGGAACAATATTTCGAGTAGAATGCGATATATCACTATGTTTGCCTGTCACAGAAGTGGCTGTGATTGAAGCTTGTAGCACAAAGGCTGTGACTATCCCGAGATTGCACTAAGTTATTCATTTCTTGTTCATGTTTGTAAATCCGTTTCCCATTTGTTCCCGTTTATATCCTTGAAGGATGGTACGGTTAAATCCTGAAAAATATCTGTGATAGCTTGCTGCACTAGTAGTGACTTACTGATGACGAAGCTAGTGGTGGACACGGTTACAGCAGCAGTAGCAGCTTGCATCACATCTTCCTAAGACACCGTCTACCATGGTGGTTCGCTCACCGTGGCTGGTGTTCACTGGAGGTTATGCAGAAGTTAGAACATTACTGTTGGAAAAGACAAATATGGTTTGCAATTTTGCAGAAAACAATTTAACACTGATGATTTATTTACTGTCACAGTGGACACAGGTTAACAGGTTTTAACATGTTGTGTAAGTGCTGTTGATTGCCAACTATTTTCCCTATCACAAATATTTGCCATGATTTCGGCCCAGGTGAGGGTCCGAAGTACCGGTCATGTCTTCATTCTTATGCATGTCTCAGTGTTTTCTCCTTTCCATGATGTACTTACATTATTCACTCACTCACTCACTCAAGTTTTTGAGCGCGAGATCCCTTTGTAACTGTTACCATGGTTACACATTAAATATTTGTCTTCTGTCCCACAAATATATGTCAGGTCCCAGTCCATACTTGTTGGGGTGGAATGTTTGGGGATTTGGGGCAGAATGTTTGGGGATTGGTCGGTCTACCTGCTTGTATTCCAGTTGTGTAAGTGTGTTTGTTCCTGTGTAGGGATAACAGTGTTCATTCATCTCTTACTGTGTCACTCAGTCCGACCAGGGCATTGACGTAGGTATGTAATAGATGTTGCTAACTCAGTTGAACCATTTCCACGGGGTAGCATCAACTAGATGAAGGAACAGTTACACATTATTATTTGTTATTTCACAACTTTTACTAGTTATGACAATGTTTCTACTTGTTTTAATTCAGCACAAGTGAAATGTGGGTGGCATTACCATATACCATGTGTTCTTCTTAGGTGAATAAAGGGATCATGGAATAAAACCCTGAAGGATTTACTTCCTAAGCAATATTACCGGCCCTATGTTACTTATACCGATTGTTTTCCCAGGTATCTGGTACCCATAGAAGTTATATAGCTTGGCCTCTGATCAGGTTGTATGTTAGCAAAGACATCCTGCTTTCTGTCCCTTTGTAGGGATCGTTGGTTAGAACTGTTCCTTGGCAACATATGCTTATTGTGAGAGGTATTTTGATTGGGTGGTCAGACTTGGTGAATAGCATGTAGTGTTGTTCATCGTATGAATCACTGGATTGTTTGCGACTCAGTTATTTTCAGATAGTTGTCATATAGCTGGACTATTGTCGAGTAACCTTTCAAAGAAAATGTAAATCTACTCATGATCTGTTAGCTGCATTTTAAAATTTCTTGCAGTAACCTTGGTTCACAGCAAGTCATTTTCAAGATTTCAGAGCATGCATTTGTTAGACGTTTTCACATGGAGATATTCATCAGTGGGTTGTCCTCAGTAATGTATGCTGGCATTAAACAGTGACTGAATCCAATATGGTCGGATGAGACTTGGTTTTCAGTGAGTCATGACATGGGACTTTTCCTCATCATATCAATCACTGGTTTGCTTGACTCAATCATTTAAACATTGCAGTGTTCAATATTGCAGACTGATGTGTAACCACTAACAAGTAACTACTGTAATAGCAGATACTATTGACAACATCTGAGGGTTATTCCGGTAGCTATAGCTGTGGTATAACAGGCATATTCACCTGGGGCCAGCACAGGGTGGTGTTCTGGGGATGTATCTGTGTCATGTAACTCATAGCGGAGTCACAATATGTGCTTCTATCACCAGGGCAACTTCATGTATTAGATTTACATCCAAATTTGAATATTTGCAGACAACTGTCATCTTTAACATTGAAATCCCTGCTAGATGGTTCAGTTGTCAACATTCCAGACACCAGCTGAAGTTGTTATCATAGTTGAGAAACCTCCGAAGTATTAAACACAAAATCCAACCAAAGTTTCTCATGGTGACAGATACATTCCTTGTTAATCAGTTCCGGGCCGAATTGCACAGAGCAATCTTAGTTACGATCAATCTAAAGCCCCTACAATCAACTTTACAATCACCATAATCCACTTGCACAAAGCCGATCTTAGAGCGATTGTAAGACGGCATGTACTTAAGATCGCGATCTTAGCTAAGATCGAACTCAACGGTGGAGGTACGAATTTCTTAAACTCGACTTCTGTCTACAGTTGTCTGCAAGTGCGCATAGCATGCTGCGCAAATAAAAAGTGACACTGGTCCCTGCACACAATACATACCTCCCTCAATCACACCTTGCAGAATTTTCATGAAAAATTCCCAGAAATCTTTGAAGGAAACGATCACGTGGACGATAGCATATATTTTTCTACATTCTAACTGTCTTGAGTTATGAACTAAGAATGTGATATTGCAACCACAGAAATGCCTACCCTTGTTTTATGAAAATATTGAACTATGAAAAAATACATTCATAAATTTGGGTCTAGATTTAGTGGCTTAATAATTATGGAAATTAAAATAACAAATATAAACAGTATTTCCTTATGACATAACACCTAAATGTATGATTTGCCAATGGTTGTCAATGAGATATTGTTTAATACGCAGTTGTTCGGGGAATTTTGGGGGTGGGTGGATGGGTAAACTCCTAAATATATCCTAGAAGTATTGGTTTTCTTACAATAAGAAAATGGCTACAGAAGTGTTGTAAAGAATGTATGGCAGGGAAATACGAATATTAAATATTTCGAGAGAGCAGTTGTTAAATACTTATTCACAGTATATTAATGATATAACCCTTTTGCGTTGATAAATATTTTTCTAAAAGTGAAATTCTTTGGAAACGTGTATTTGTAATGCCTCGGCATGTGTATATCCCTATTTGATGAATACTTATATATATTTAAAATGCATAATCAAATTTAGATTTATGGATGAGAAAGAAACTTGATTTTGCACGTTAACTTGTATCTAATTGTAGATTACTTTAATGATAAACTAAGACAAAATCACTCCATGACCGAAAAGAAAGTATGGTGAGCCTGGCGATTGGGCATGACAGACTCTACGGCAACGACATATGCCAAGGGAAACTACTCCCATCATGCATATAAACTGAAATTATCTTCTCTTGAGTTAATGAAAGGTCACAGCCATTGTTAATCGCACAAGGACACCATTCGCTATTATCCTTTCCTTGATTATCAAAAAGGTATGTTGTTTCACACTTATTCCAAGATTGAATCGGGTGGGACTAGTACTATGCAAATCCCAGATGGGACTCAACCCCAAAAGTACTAGAATTTGTACTTTACTAAGAAAGTGTAATCCCAAATATAACATGTTGCATGTGTCCACTTTCTAAACGGCATTGTGTAATCAATGTATCTGACGTTAAATCGGTTGTGCATTCTCCGTGTTGTTGAAGTGTCAAGGCGAACCATACAGTTGTATTCAATATAAAAGCAATCTCCAAACGTAAAGCTGATTATTTTCGTGTAACAGACACTTCAATGCCATTTTGTAACTTACAATGATCTTAGCCTGCAATTGCTTTGTGCAAGTGGATGGCGGTTGTAGCCGAAAGCCTAAGATCGCGATCTTAAGGATTTACAATAATTGTAGCACTAAGATCGTTCTGTGCAAGTGGGCCCAGGTGATAGATTTTAGGAAACATTAAAGGCGGTCATGAAATTGCCTTCATGTGATGAATTCCAAAGACTGACATTATCAAAACTTCTTTACAGTTGCTGTCTATAAGATTGTGATTATTTTCTTACTTCACTCATGTCACTATATCCTTGAAGTCGAAATTTCATTCTTTCACTGCTCCAACCAACTTTAAGCAGAAAGCACCTGGCAGTACCTTGTTACAGTATTTTCAGGAGACTTGCTTCCCTTGCCACACTTCATAACGTGTATTACAATATAGTTGCGGGTGTATAGTCTGTTATTGTCCTGTGATCAGATGGAGTGTGAGAGATTCTCAATGAGTGAGATATAATTATTATTATTAACTGTGTGTATGGATGTTATTGTACCATGGTGTACTGTAGGCAAAGTATGCATCATGTGAAAATAAATTATTATGACAATTATCATGGTGTTGATACTTTATTTTACCAATAAATATTGACTCCACCAATATCACAAACAGGTTTCAGTAACAAGCTACCAAGTCATTTCTTCCAACGTCGTAGCTTTAGTCGGTCACTTGTAATCACAACTTTTAGGAATACAAACTTCAGCTTTAACAAGAAGTGAAAGTCATCAATATCCCCCGCAATGGCAAAATACTCTTCATGAATATGTCAAATGTTTTGGTGTGTGTATAGAAAAGTGGAAGGAGAGTATTGAATGGTTTTAGAGTTCTGCTCCGGAAAAGAGCACTACCACAAATTTCAGTCAAACTTGTTGCCATGGAAACGCCAAAACATATTTCATTCAGAATACCAAAACTACCAAAAGGCACCAGTATTCCACTAGACCCATCTATGCCCCAAGTTCGGTGAAGAAATAGTGAACAGTTTTAAAGTTCTGCTCCGGAAAAGCACTGACACCAATTTCAGTCAAAGTCAACCTTGTTGCCATGGGAACACAAAAAATATTTTATTTACAAATCCAATAATAACAGTTCCACCTGAAACTAAAGGACATGTTTTACACCTTTGATCTTGATGAATATGGACACGTGTCCAGTATTTTCAACAGTTCATCAAGAGGTGTGCCCTGTGTTTCTCGCTGCGCTGATCTGAATATCCTGAATCTTGAGAGATGTTTCCTGTATGACAAGAGACTGACAGGCACCCAGCATCTCCTTGCATCTGAAACATACAGAACAGAGACATGTCATGTAGACAGGAAGGAGCGGTGCCCATCGTGGAAACCTATTACATGTGAAGCAGGAGTGTAACCAAGAACAGTACATTAAACAAAACAGTGCTTTGCACTTATAGCTAACTGACTCAGATTTACATTGACTGTTTGCCTCAAGTGTGACTGCAGAACCATAAAAGGCCCTTTGAAGCTGAAATCTCACAACCAATCTCATGAAAGTAAAATAGGCGTACCCTTTCATCTGATGTTTCTGTGCCTGAAGCGTTGTCTTGCCGGTCGTCAGGGCGTCGGAGAAAGACTTGACGTGGGGGGTCGACTGACGGGTCATCACACTCAACTCCCCTAGTAGCTGCTCACTCTCCAACAGGGCCGACTCCAGTCTGTCTGTGTAAGGAGTACAAGGAGTCAGTTCTGTGTGGTTGTCTTACACTGCTGTCAGCAACATGCAGAAACCTTGACTAGACAACCATGTGGTTGTTGAGTCACACTCTCAGCAGTATTCCTGCTATATGACGATGGTCTGTACATAATCAAGTTTGGTCCAGACAATCCAGTGACTGACATGAGCACTGATCCACTGATATTTGGATATGATGACATGCCAACAGTCTGACTAACAAATTGATTGTGCCACTTCTAAACAAGCATTAGTTGCTTGGGACCTCTGTTCTTTCCCCAAATCACCATGGGCTCTCTCTCTCTCTCCACTCACGACGCACGCACCCACACACACACACTCTGTACTCAGTAATCCTTAGCAGCAGGATACACAGGGATACACCTGTCTTTCAAAGGAACACAAGAGCTCATTTCATACATACCACAAATGAGGGAATGACTGAACACAGGTCATAAGGCTTGAACCAAGGACAAGTGGGGGCCTTTAAAGCCTTCACCAAATAAATATCTTGAACTTTGATAGCACTTGTGATTCAGCTTGAAAAGATTTAGATTTAGCCAAGATGGATAGCTATTATCATTTAAATAGGGAAACATTTAACATTTCCAAAAATCAAAAGGCCAAATGTAAACCCATCATGAAAGTATTTGTTGACATGGCTAAAATGGCCCACATGGCCTCCTACACCTTGGCCCATGGACTCACCCTGGAACTGGTCTTCATTTGGTGGGATGTATATCCCAGTAGTGCGGATCTGGTGTCGAGTGGTGTCAAGACTGTCTGCCAAGCTGTTGTACTCCCGCTCCATCTGATCCAGACCACCCACCACCATCTCCAGCCCCGCTTCCTACAACACACCACATCAATATGACACCATCGTCTCCAGACCTGTTTTCTCCACGACACATCAATATGACACCATCGTCTCCAGACCTGTTTTCTTCACGACACATCAAGATGACATAGTGTCCAGACCACCCACCGCCATCTCCAGACCAACCTCCTACAACACGACACGTCATTATGACCTGTGGACAACATCACCCACAACAAACCTATATATTATACCAGGTGATGAGTGTGACCAATACGAATGTATGAAACCAATGCAAGTGTGACAGGTAGGAAAGTCACATAAAAGTACCTGTACAGCCAGCTGATCATCAAGGATGTTCCGGTGCCGAAGTCTAGCCAGCTCCATCTTCAGCTCCGCCTCCTGAGCTGCCAGCTTCTCGTTGATCCCCCAGAGACCTGACAGCTGGGCCTGGAAACACATACTGTTTGTACTGACAATCACAGACCTGACAGCCGGGCCTGGACACACATTCTGTTTGTACTGACAATCACAGACCTGCCATCCAGGCCTGGAAACACATTCTGTTTGTACTGACAACCACAGACCTGACAGCCGGGCCTGGAAACACATTCTGTTTGTACTGACAATCACAGACCTGACAGCCGGGCCTGGAAACACATTCTGTTTGTACTGACAATCACAGACCTGACAGCCGGGCCTGGACACACATACTGTTTGTACTGACAAACACAGACCTGACAGCCGGGCCTGGACACACATTCTGTTTGTACTGACAATCACAGACCTGACAGCCGGGCCTGGACACACATTCTGTTTGTACTGACAATCACAGACCTGACAGCCGGGCCTGGGAACACACACTGTTTGTACTGACAATCACAGACCTGACAGCCGGGCCTGGAAACACATTCTGTTTGTACTGACAATCACAGACCTGACAGCCGGGCCTGGAAACACATTCTGTTTGTACTGACAATCACAGACCTGACAGCCGGGCCTGGACACACATTCTGTTTGTACTGACAATCACAGACCTGACAGCCGGGCCTGGACACACATTCTGTTTGTACTGACAATCACAGACCTGACAGCTGGGCCTGGACACACATTCTGTTTGTACTGACAATCACAGACCTGACAGCCGGGCCTGGACACACATTCTGTTTGTACTGACAATCACAGACCTGACAGCCGGGCCTGGACACACATTCTGTTTGTACTGACAATCACAGACCTGACAGCCGGGCCTGGACACACATTCTGTTTGTACTGACAATCACAGACCTGACAGCTGGGCCTGGACACACATTCTGTTTGTACTGACAATCACAGACCTGACAGCTGGGCCTGGACACACATTCTGTTTGTACTGACAATCACAGACCTGACAGCTGGGCCTGGAAACACATCCTGTTTGTACTGACAATCACAGGAATCAAAATCCACCAGTACTCTCAAAAACATTCCTCTTGTAAACACTGCATTACTTTATGGTTCACTGTCCTGTACTTAATGAAGAGTTGAACTATTGCTTGTTTTGTTATGTAAAATGTACAAGAGTGGTTGTTGTAGGGTATACAAGAACTCGATTGTACATGCTACAAATGAGGGAATGTTTTAGGTTTTCTCAACGTTGCACTCAGCAATATTCCAGCTACTAGTATATGATGGCGGTCTGTAAATAATTGAGTATGGACCAGACAATCCAGTGATCAACATCATGGGCATCAGTCTACACAATTGGGATACAATGACGTGTGTTATCAGGGAAACTGACCATGGCCTCCTTTTCCTGTGACTGGAAGGCCATTCGAGCCTTGGCCTCCACAAACACCCACTGCAGGTAGCGGGCGTACAGCGTGTCCAGCTGGTCCTGGCTCACCTCTTCCGCCTTCTGCAGCAAGGAGAGATGAGTACATTAGGTTATTTGAATCCTAAGACCCCTAGATCTGTAGGTTTTAGCATTAGGGTATATAATGAACCAGTTGACTATCATGCTTCACCTTAAACACTGCTTCCTTACAACACATGACTGATGGGCACTACCTATAGCTAACCTACTTCTGAGGAGGGTGCTGGGGCAGCTAGTAGGTTAAAGCTTATCTCGAAATGCAGACGACAAGGACTAGAATCCATACATGAGTACAATGTGTGAAGCCCACTTCTGGTGTCCCCTGCCGTGATATTGCTGGAATATTGCTAAAGCGCGTACAACTATACTCACTCCCTATTTCTTTGGAGTGAGTGAGTGAGTTTAGTTTTACGCTGCACTCAGCAATATTCCAGGTATATGGTGGCGGTCTGTAAATAATCGAGTCTGGACCAGACAATCCAGTGATCAACAGCATGAGCATCAATCTGCGCAATTGGGAACCGATGACGTGTCAACCAAGTCAGCGAGTCTGACCACCCGATCCCGTTAGTCGCCTCTTACGACAAGCATAGTCGCCTTTTGTGGCAAGCATGGGTTGCTGAAGACCTATTCTACCCTGGATCTTCACGAAGTCTTTGGACTGATGAGACAGTGGGTTAAGTTTGGTCAACGATATGACATAACAGAAACAAGCACTCAGTAATTGCTTTAGTTTAAAACTGGGACTTTTTCCAAGGTTCTAATTTTCTTAAATTTTAAGCAATTAATGTAATAATGTGAACTAATTCGAGAAATCTTCTCTCAGGGAAATACAAAGACATTAGTTATGACAATATAAACTTCATTAGGATTTTATATAAATTATTCAACTTTGACATTACTACAGGCAGTGGATGAATGTCACCCAAGTCAGCGAGTATTTCTTTGGAACAGGGACTGAAAGTAAACCCTCTTAGTGAATTCATAATTGAATCATAAGAAAATAGATGATTGTGTGCTGTATACAAGGAACTTCCTACATGGGGGCCGACAGTCACGTGTACATTACCACGTATACAAGGAACTTCCTACATGGGGGCCAACAGTCACGTGTACATTACGTATCTGCGTATACAAGGAACTTCCTACATGGGGGCCGACAGTCACGTGTACATTACCACGTATCACCACGTATACAAGGAACTTCCTACATGGGGGCCGACAGTCACGTGTACATTACCACGTATCACCACGTATACAAGGAACTTCCTACATGGGGGCCGACAGTCACGTGTACATTACCACGTATCACCACGTATACAAGGAACTTCCTACATGGGGGCCCAGTCACGTGTACAGTCACGTGTACATTACCGACGTATCACCGCGTATCACCACGTGATACAAGGAACTTCCCCTACACGTATCACCACGGGGCCTACAGTCACGCGTGTACATTACCACATATCACCACGATACAAGGAACTTTACATGGGGCCGACAGTCCGTGTACATTACCGCGATATGCATACAAGGAACTTCCTACGTACAGTCACGTACATTACCACATATACAAGGAACTTCCCTACATGATCACCATTGCATATACAAGGAACTTCCTACATGGGGGGCCGACAGTCACGATGTACATTACACGTACATCACCACGTATCACCACGTATACAAGGAACTTCCTACATGGGGGCCAACAGTCACGTGTACATTACCACGTATCACCACGTATACAAGGAACTTCCTACATGGGGGCCAACAGTCACGTGTACATTACCACGGGCCGACAGTCACGCGTGTACATTACCACGTATCACAAGGAACTTCCTACATGGGGCCGACAGTCACGTGTACATGTACATTACCACATATAGAAGGAACTTCCTACATGGGGGCCATCACCCATGAAGGAACTGACCTACATGGGGGCCAACAGTCGTGTACATTACCATACAAAGGAACTTCCTACATGGGGGCGGACAGTCACGTGTACATTACCACGTATCACCACGTGTACAGTGACACAAGGGAGATGGATCATCACCTTGAGGGCAGCATGTTTCTGGTGTTTCTTGTCTTGCTTTATGTGGCTGATGTCCGCTGCAAGAAACAATATAGGTTCAGTATGTCGGTTTATTGTGAGATACTGCTTTTGTGTTGGTAGCCTAAGAGCCTTGATAACAGTGTTAGCTTATATCAATAAGAAAGAAGTTGTATCCATAGAACTTTCACAATTGTTAATTACACCAACTTCTAAATGCCAAAGTCAACTCTGATACAAGTTAAAACAATTGCTAGGCTCATAGATGCAAACATTTAACTTGACATTCATTTACATTCACGATTTTTTGTTGAGAAAGAGGTGATATGGGTGAATGGATGAATTTATCTAACTGACAGCAGCTATATCTCCCACAGCACGTACCAAGTGATATCACAGAGGTCTCGGCTTGTATTGCGGAAGCGTCTATGTCTTGGGATATCATGGAGGTGACATTATGTGTGGGTGTCGAGGTCTTCTTCGCTGGCTGCTGCATGAGCAGAAGCTACAGGTGTCGTCACTTGGCGGTTGCGTGACTCGGACTTCGGCTTGCGTTTCTTGACAGAGCCAGGGGCTTCGATGCTCTTGTGGGAAACATTCTTCCCTACTGCGAAACTCTGAGACAGGAGCACAGTCAGATACTTTACTAAGCACTCAGGTATATATGTTGATAGAACACATTCTGCATCAAGCAAGGTTTCTATCCAATCCCTAACCATGACTCCCAACTTCAGCTCAACAACAATTAATACAGATTATTCTTGACCAAGTACACTATCTGTATCCAGCGTTGCACTGCACCTGTCCTATACTGACTGACTGAGTTGGGTTTTATGCCGCTTTTAGCAATATTCCAGCAACATCATGGCGGGGAACACCAGAAATGGGCTTCACACATTGTACCCATGTGGGGAATCGAACCCAGGTCTTCGGCGTGACGAGCCAACGCTTTAACCACTAGGCTACCGCACCTGTCATATAAACCGCCCTGCACCTGTCCTATAAACCAACAAGATATAACCCAAACCTGAAAACAATCCATCAAATGATCCTAAAGTTAGTCGTTGCACAAATTTGATGAGGACTTTTGAAAATTATCCACCCAATAGTTTTAAAGTTATTGGTCTTTGGACAGACGGACATAATGTCTTTGTATAACTATCTATGGCCGACCGTTTAGGTTGCGGGTATAAAAACCACTTGTGTTCAATTCACGAAAGCACATTTCTAATAATGTCAACTGCTTTTAAGCACATTTGAAGCATGTCATTTGAGCTTTAATGCCTCCAAAAGTATTTTCATATATCATCTTCTGTATACCTAAAAAATATCAGGAACATGAAGAATCCTTGATAACCGAGACGAAAAGCCAGAAATCTCCCATCTAGTGCAACACAACCTACCCTCTCAGAGGAGAATGACTTGGACACCTTGGCTGCACTCTGCATGTAACGTGATGGGATGACAGTGCCCCCTGGTGGTGAACAAGATGGAAAAGAATCAAAAGGGAGGTTATTATGGTGAGTTTGGTTTTACGCCGCTTTTAGCAATATTCCTGCAATATCACAGCGGGGAAAAGCAGAAATGGGCTTGACACATTGTACCCATGTGGGGAATCAAACGTGTCTTTGACATGACCAGTGAACGCTTTAACCACTAGGCTACCCCACCACCCCTCACTATGGTGAAAGTGTTAGTGTATGGTATTAGTGTTGCAGCATCAAGCACAACCAGAGGGAGTGTTGTATGTACAGAAGTCATTGTCATTACAGCTCGGACATTGCCATCATTTCAATATCCATGTCCACACAATGTTTTGTATATAAATTTCCTTAAAGATGGGTGATAGTCTCAGTACTTGTTATATTTTTTCAACTTGTACTTTTTTCTACTGTTGTAGCATACAAACTGTCACAACAGCTTCTCAATAGTGCAGTGATGTGTGGGGTAGCTCACCTTTCTTCTTGCCAGGGGTTCTCTTAACAGATGTTTTGACACTGGAAGATCTGAAACAATAGACTTAGGATAATATTTCTCCAGAAAAAGACAGAAAATACATGATCATTTCCTGTAAGAAAGACATAGTGGGATGGACATATATGTTGAGCACGTATTTCCTGTTTGGAGTCAAATAAAAACTTGATGTCAATATTCAGAATTATCCAAACTACACCTATTCCTGACAAATACAATTCCTGAAAGACAAGTGACATAGTGGAATATACATGAATTTCTTAGCCCACAACCTGAAGATACAGCAAATGTAGAAGCCATGAGGTTGTTTTGGACTGATGAGTGAGTGAGTGAGTGAGTTTAGTTTTACACCGCACTCAGCAATATTCCAGCTATATGGCGGCGGTCTGTAAATAATCGAGTCTGGACCAGACAATCCAGTGATCAACAGCATGAGCATCGATCTGCGCAATTGGGAACCGATGACGTGTCAACCAAGTCAGCGAGTCTGACCACCCGATCCCGTTAGTCGCCTCTTACGACAAGCATAGTCGCCTTTTGTGGCAAGCATGGGTTGCTGAAGACCTATTCTACCCCGGATCTTCACGAGTCTTTGGACCGATGAGACAGTGGGTTAAGTTTGGTCAACGATATGATATAACAGAAACAAGCAATCAGCAATTGCTTTAGTTTAAAACTGGGACTTTTTCCAAGGTTCTAATTTTCTTAAATTTTAAAGCAGTTTAGCATTTAGGCAATTAATGTAATAATGTGAACTAATTCGATAAATCTTCTCTCAGGGAAATACAAAGACATTAGTTATGACAATATAAACTTCATTAGGATTTTATATAAATTATCCAACTTTGACATTACTACAGGCAGTGGATGAATGTGAAAACTTAGATGATGTAGATCAATCTCTGTTGTTAAGTATGTTGGATCTAAGTTTGTCTGTCGTACCCTTTCTTACTGCTGGTCACATATTCGAGGAGAGAGCAGGCATCACTCTCACTGATGACCGACGGGGCATCGTTATCGGACAACTGCGTCTCAGACACCACAGTGATCGGTTCCGCTACCTTCACAGAACTGTCAGACTCCTGCAGACAACATGTCATTACGATACATTTCTGATCACATGACACATACTATCCAATCAAATTACAGGAAAGAAACAAGTGGTGACATCATGAGTTCTTAACACAAGTTCAAGATTTCTGTCGGCTGTCTTCCAGAACCATAACCCACATTTCTTTGATTGGCATTCTAGAAGTTGGGTAGATGAAGAATGAGGACTATTTTTGGCATTCTTGAAGTTGGGTATATATAGTATGACCAGAAATTATTGAGAATTTTAGCAATATGTTTAATTGGATTTCTTGTATAAACAACCTTGACCATCTATCAAGTGCTTGGTTTCATTCAAGAGAAACAACTCCGTTAATCCTTTTTTGTTAGTTTGTGAAGAGTTATCCCCCTTTGTTTACTTGCTAGCAGACGACAATTTCAGTGATCCTCACTATGGATGATTTAGAGAAGAGGAAGTTGATTTTAGAGTATTATAACAAGGACATCAGATCAGCTAAAGTGATTTCAAGTAGAACAGGCATCCCTTTGTCCACTGTTTATCGTGTTTTGAAAAATATTGCAAATGGATATGGCATTGGTAGGCCTAGAAAATTGACTGTCGGTGACAGGATGCAGCTTGGTATTCTTGTTTCTAAAAACAAACGAAGGAGTTTAGAAAACTTAAGCCTAGGGATATGATTGATAGAGGAACTGTGGCTGTCTGTAAGGAGAGACAATTAGAACTAAGGCTGCATGCAATGGGTTGGCAGAAAAGGGAATTCCATCACCGATCAGAAAGCTGAACAAAAGGACATAGATACACAGATTCTTCGAGGGACATTTACTTCCATCTGCTCCGTGTTCTATGGAAATTTTGGATTTTCCAGCAGGACAACGACTCCAAAACATCGTTCAAAGCATTCACAGGCCTGGTTTGGACCCTAAAAATATGACATTATTAGATTGGCCAAGCTATAGCCCTGACCTAAATCCAATAGAAAATGTTTGGGGACTTATGAAGGAAAGTGTCAATAAGAAAAATCTGACAAATATTGCTGAAATGAAAGAAGTGGTGGTCCGATATTGGGACAGCATGGACCACTTTCTAACTTCTTTGATTAGTAGTATGCCCCGCCACATTGAAGCCTGCATTGCTGCCCATGGTGACTTGACAAAATACTAACTGTTCACCTGTCTTTGAATCTGGAGTTATGTTCTGCTAATATTCACATTTAATACGTGAGTAATGAGTGAAAAAATATCTAAAAAATTACAATCTTTAAATTCTCAATAATTTCTGGTTGTACTGTATATCACACAAATTACTTCCCATGTACCACTTGCTTGACAATGACATTAGAATCTATGTCGAAACTTTGCCTATATAGAATAAAGAAGTTGTATATCCATAAAAATAGTCCTCATTCTTCATAACCCACATTTTCATGCTGAAAGTTTGTTGATAACTGTTCAAATTGTATGAAATATGTGATTTTGTGACTAAAATTAATATTTTATACTTATCCTGACTCATGCTAAATGCTCGTCTCCTTCTCCTTGTGAATGATAGTGGAACACTTGAAATCCTTTGGAGTTCCCTTCTAAAAAGCGGACGTAAAATCATCACTCATCCACGAGTAGTCTCCCTTGCCTCCTTTGGCGCCCTTTTTGGTCACATGACCAGCTATGTTTGTCACTCTCTCCGTTTGTACGCCTGACACCCGGATTTACATGGAAATCCAGAGTGCCCTGAGAGGGGAGGTTGGGAGGGCTGACCTCATGAGTCAGGATAAGTATAAAATATCAATTTTAGTCAGAAAATTACATATTTTTCCTTATCCTGACTCATGCTAGATGCTTGCAGAATCCGTCGGAATTGGTGGTGGGTCAGGCCACATCCTGGATTCACTGGCTGCTGTTTTACATCCTGTATTCCATCCATGGGAACTTATGAACATTCTGTTCTTCTAACTTCCATTTGATGAGTCAGGGGGGAACCACAACTTGTCAGATTACTTCCGAAACTTCTGACATTTTCGTGTGGATTTTAGATATACTAATGTTCCATTAGTTATCTATTGCAACTCCATCTCTTGACGAGTGCATCAAGTGGAGATGCGACCCTTCTTCATGTACGTTAAGTCCTATACAAGTACAGGGTCTATCACTCATGCTAGTCTGTCCTAGACGTGTGCATGGACTTTAACCATTTGCTCTCCAGAGCGTTGGTTTTCACAAGGCACGTGATAAAAGGGTGAAAGCGCCTTTGTGGAACCGTTAGTTGTTGTGCTACAACAAGTGGCCCAAACTGGTGAATGCCTGAGACGTTTCCGGTGGCAATGTCTCTGAGGTAGTTGTTGGCAAACACTGTGTCCGATTTCCAAAAGCAGCCCTCCATTATTGTTGTAATCGAGCAGTTTCCATGCAGAGCAAGTGTAGAAGCCAAGGCTCTGACTTCGTGGAGATTGGAGGCTCGTAGAGGCTCAAGTCCTGCTGCTTTGTAGGCCCTTAGTATGACGGCTCTCATCCAAACTGATATAGTTGTCCGTGAGACTTCCGTGGGCATCTCAGTGGATAAGGGGATGAATAGTAGCTTGAATTTTCGTCTCCTTGTTTTTGTTCTTTGTAGGTAGACTTAGAGTGCTCTGACAGGGCATAAGAATAAATCCTGTGTATCCTGTGGCCCAAGGACTGTAGAGAGTGCTGGGATGTGGAACTGTCTGTCAGGCTGGCCGGGCAGTTGGTTCTTGGCAATAAAGTCCCATCTCAGTCCTAGATGTACGATGTCATGATGTCTTGATTCAAATCGTGTTCGTTCAAAGTCCAGAGCATGTATTGCTGACATCCGTGCTGCTGTTGCTAGCGCGATCAGGAACAGCTTTTTCTGTGTCAGTAGTTCAAAGGTGTCACTGGTGAGATGTTGTAGAACTACGTTGAGATCCCAGGCAGGAGCCTTGATTTCTTTTGTTGGTCTTCCAACTTGAACGAGCGTAGTAGTGCCAGTATCTCTGGTACTTTGGTCAGCTTGACACCCGTCTTCATGGTGATAACTGTACTGAGAGCAGCCAGGTACGTTGAGAGTGTTGAAGCTTTTAAGTGTCTCGTCTGTCGCAGATGACACAGGTATTCCGCCGCTTGAGGATGGGTTGCTTTTACCGCTGTAAAGCCTTTCCTCATTGCATACTGTTCAAATCTCTGCCACTTGTCGTCGTACAAGTTGAAAGTTGATCTGCGTGGAGCTAGTGTCACTGTTTTCGCTGCTCTGGCGGAGTACCCTCTAGTCTTCAGGCAAGTTTTGATACGCTCCATGCGTGTAGCTGGAACAATGCCGGATTCCCGTGAGCTTGCTTGGTGTGTGGATGGACGAGCAGGTTCGACCACTCTGGTAGTTTCAGGGTTGGACTTCCGAGTTCTTGTATGAGGATGACGGAAACCATACCCTCGCTGGCCAATAGGTAGCGACCAAAATCAGTTGCAGCGTTGTCGCCGTCTGCTTGATTTTCTGTATTACTTGTGGTAATAGTGCTGGAGGTGGAACGCAGCATAAGCGTTTAGTCCTTCCCATGAGATGCTTAAAGCATCTGTTGCCCATGCCTGAGGATCGGAATCGGTGAGACGAATGTTGGTAGTTGCTTGTTGAACTTTGTTGCAAACAGGTCTATCAGTGGAGATCCTATTGTCTGTATGATGAACCGGAACACTTCTCGGGTGTAACATCCATTCCGTCGGGGATGGTTGTAGTGGACGAGATAGGGCGTCTGCTATGACATTCTTTGCTCCTGGAATGTGGCATGCCTTCATGTAGATGTTCAGGTCGAGGACGATGCTGAACAGGAGAAAGCTGAGTTGTAGCAGACTTGTTGACCCTTGTTTGTTGATGTAGAACGCTACTGTGGAGTTGTCCGTGTGGACCGTGAGTCTTGCATTCCTTAGTACGCTGGACCAGTGTTGTAAAGCGTTGATCACTGCTTTCATCTCCAACAGGTTGATGTGCAGAATTTGATCCTGACTCGACCACTTTCCTGCTGCCACTTCGTTGTCGAGGTGAGCACCCCATCTTTGTAGTGATGCATCCACGTAGAGATGAGTGTTGCAAGCCGGCTCTGACAAAAAGGTTCCTCCGCAAACATTCGACTTCTGAGTCCACCATAGGAGTTATGGTTTCAGGCTGTCCGGTAGTATCAGTGGATCCAAACTGTCGAGATGGCGTTCACAAATATTGTAGTGGGCGCAGCTGTTCCCTCTGCGAGTCATGTCTTGAGTTGAGGTGAGTAGACCAAGCATGCTTTGCCAAGCACGTAGTGTCAACGGAGAGAACATTGCTTGAGATATCATATGTTGTATCTTGACCTAACGATCCTCTAGGACGACCGTGTGATTCTGTGGTGTGATGAGCCATATTCCCAGAAATTGAAGATCCTGTTTTGGTTCCAACTCTGATTAGGAGATTACTAGCCATCTACTGCAATCATGTCCTACGCTGTAGGTAAGTGGATCTAGGAACCCTTGCCATGTCCGTCATGGAAGCGGAGAGATGATCGATTCTGGAATCATGGCTTGGAGCTTGTCTCATCAATCTTCCGGTAATATGTAATGAAGATGTTGTCACCAGAATCCGAACAATGTGCAGCGATGATGCATAATACGTCGTCTCTAGATCAGCAAAAATCTATGATGTACTGGGACCGCCGTCGATGTGAAGTCTATTTATAGTCGACTGGCTGCCACGCAAGCAGAAACCATCTCACGTTTGTCGCTGCAAGTCCCCAGATAACCAATATTAAATCTGCTGACAGGGGAAGTCCTCTATGACCCGTGAAGATAGTCGAACCACGCTGTACCCTGCTAACTGGACTGTAAATGGAGCCTTTCCCACGTTGAAAGAGTTGTTTACAACTGTAGAGGACTTCGTGGCACGTGACTATGACCGAGTTCTGCACAGGGCGTTGTCTCTCATGGACCGATCAGATTACAGATGTGACGTCACCCGTGTTGCAGGTTAATGATCCTCGTAGAATCTTGTGCAGTCGTTGATTTCTTCGTCAACACTCGGCCTTGTCCGTAACCTCTCTGTTCGGCTTGTGCCGGAGTTACACGAGTGTATAGATGGCTGTATAGATGGCTGAGTGGAAGCGCGCAGAAACTTCGCCGCGTAGTACCGATGTAAGCAGACTCTTCCCTGTCTGTTGTGACTGCATTCTTCAACTTTATATTCTTTACTGCAGTCGTCATCTTATACAGATGTTCTATAAAGTTGACCGTAACCGATGTCTCGCTGAGGAACTGCTACAATGCTGTTAACTGTCCCCTTGATATCTTGTAAGCCCATGTGATGAAAATTCATCTTCAGTGTTTCATCGGATGTTATCTGACATCGTTACTTCAGGTGTGCGTCTCTTCCTTCAGCCACGCGTTGATCCAACATAGCCAACATCTAGTTGTAGTGTCCAGTTGCGTTATCTTCTTATCTTCCATCTTGAAGATCCATTATGGGATTCACTGATGATCTTGTAATCTTAAACCCTGATGTTATCATGAAGGGCTCCGTATGATGAAGGGGAAATCTGCTATCGTTGAACGGCAGGACATGCTGACTCTGATTATAATCCTCCCCGTAAGTGCCTGCGCGCAGGTTGATGAAGGTCCAAGTTGGAAGATCCGTAACTGCGCAGTCTGTAGAATCCTGGAGAACAACAGGATCTAATTCTGTGTTAGAATCCTTCCTGCTGAGAAGCTGAAACCGAGTGGAGGCTCCATCGTGGACTGCTAACACTAAGCTGGTGTTCGTTGAATCCTCAAGGCTTCTAGCTGCTGATACTTCTGACGGTAAAGATCTTCGCGAACGTAACCGTTCAAGCAGGCCTTCATCCGAGAGAGCTTGTATAGCTAATATTCGTTTGCGCAGGGCGACTGTCATCGGAGGGGTCTGCTATGCTGAGCTGACATTAGTAGAGTTCTCCAGACTTCTAACTTCAGACGGTGAAGTTGGACATTTCCCTATCTGAAGATCCATAATGACGTGAGTCTATGTATGTAGATCTGTATGTAGAGCTGCGTGCAGGTCAATGGTCCCGGTGTGACAATGTATTCCTCCTGAAGTCTTGAGATATCTCTCTAGGCCTTCACGAAGGCTGATTGACGTAATCTCCCCTCTGTGAGATGTGGAGTGCGTGCGCGCAGGTTCCCAATGTGAGTCTAAGTCCGACAGTGATGACGATCCATATCTGCGGCGTCTGTAGGGTTCTGGAGAACGCTTCAATCTGCTTCTGTGTGGAGAATCTTAGAGGCTCCTTCGGGGACGTCGAAGGCTGAGCTGACGTTGGTAGCGTTGTCCAGACTTCTAGCTTCAGACGTTGAAGATCGTCAGGTGCGTAGGCCTTCGCGCAGGCTTTCCTCTTCATCCAGGTGCGTTGGAGAGGCTGCTGAACCTTCGCGCAGGCTTGTAGTTGTCGTAGTTGTCAGAGTGGTCTTCGTAGCAGCTTCCTCCTGCGCGCAGCGACGTTCCATCATCGACATCATCTGATCTGTAAACTGTTGCATAAACAGCCCCGGGTTGAAGTTCTGCGACGTATGTTGAGACTGCTGCAGGGTTGATGATGCCTCTGAGAACATTGAGGCCTCTTCTAAGGTACGCTGCACTTGTGAAGAGTTGACGCTGCTGCTATCTCTAGTACCCGATGTCTGCGTTGATAGAAGGTCTTATGTCAATGTCTGCGCTGATATAGTTGCCGATGTAGCTGTTGAAGCAGGCTTCGTCTTCTTGCTGACGACTGTGACTTCAGGTATGATGATGGGGGGATCATCATACATGTCTGCTTCTTCCGGAGGTACAATATCGGCAGTGAAGGGTCTCGTCTTCTGCGTAGAGCTGTGAAGAGACTTCGACGAAGTCTTAGGAGCTGTAGACTTCTTCTTCTGCGCTGAAGATCACTACTTATTCGTCTGCGATGAGGACAGCTCCGTTGACGACGATCTCTACTTATTCGAGACGGAGTTCATCACTGGAACAGCGACCTGCTCTGGTAAAACGCTCAGCAATTCACTGGAATTATGAACATCGGCAGCAGTAGTTAACACACGCTGATCAGCGCAATCACTCGATTTACCAGACATGACTTGTGAATACCTTCTTACCTTGTGAATACCTTCTTACCCTACACAATACCTACAACGAATACAAGTTTTCATCAATTGTAAACCAGATGAAAAACATGGCAAATAACGTATAATTTAGACATAATATCAAAACATTTGATAATATACAATCCAAAAACTGTATACAGCTGCCATTTAGATGTAAAAGGTCCAAAATAGAAAAGGATATGTGCCGTATAGGGACCCAGGTGCTCTCACAACCGTCCTCAAGGGCGAAGAAGGAGAGAGTGACAAACATAGCTGGTCATGTGACCAAAAAGGGCGCCAAAGGAGGCAAGGGAGACTACTCGTGGGTGAGTGATGATTTTACATCCGCTTTTTAGAAGGGAACTTCAAGGGATTTCAAGTGTTCCACTATCATTCGCAAGAAGAAGGAGACAAGCATTTAGCATGAGTCAGGATAAGGAAAAATATAAACAACACATTTCGAGAGGTAAATTATATTATACGTTAGTGAGCATGGTTTTATGCCGCTTTTAGCAATATTCCAGCAACATCACCGGGGACACCAGAAATGGGCTTCACACATTGTACCCATGTGGGGAATCGAACCCGGGCCTTCGGCGTGACGAGCGAACACTTTAACCACTGGGCTACCCCACCACCCCTTATTATATGTTAATATGTCCAAACTGAAGCAATGGTGGGACGGATCCATAGTAGGTATCACAACAGCTGGGAGATTACATGAGATAATTGTGAATGACAAAACAGGGCAGATTGTGAAGTCAGAGTTGACTTGTGGATTTCACTTTTATTCCCAATGCCATGTTTCGGTACTGATGCTCATGCTTCAACAGAGCAAGTCCTGATAAAGATTACAAGTATCTGTACCGAAATGTTGCATCGAAAAAAATGATAAAACTTTGAATTCCAACTGTTAGTTCTGTTTTCAGTGAAACTACATGTTACAACTGCCACTGAGAGATCAGAACAGATTGTCCTTATATGGAGTTCTTGTCTTCAGACTAAGGTCACACTTGGCAGACAACTGACCTGGGAGTCGTCAAAGTTGGGTTGTGGATAGTGTGGAACCCGTGCCTTTCCTGCTACTCTGTCCTCACTAGGCTCCACAAACACAACACGGGATGTCGACATCGGGTCTATCCGGGCCCCTGAGTGACAACGCCCATGGTAAACATTGTTCCTTCTAACATTTCCAGTAGGATCTACTACACAGGCAGGTACAGATATCAACACCAGGGTATGAACATCTTATAAAGAAAATTATTGATACAGGTAACCAGTGTGTTCAAAGTTCTTGTGTCCTTGAGTAAGAAACTTGAAATCCAGATCAACTAAACAGTTAAAATATAAAAATCAATGAAGCTGCAAGTCTGCACCCAAACATCCTGTATTTTGCGCTTGCGCTGACGGAAGTCAATTACTAAACTATTGATAGTCACACACACTATCAATGCATCGATAGTTCTTCGTTTCTAACATTGATTAATTGCTATCGGAGACTTAACAATTGCAATCCATCGATAGTGGTTTGAGGCCTGTTGCCAATAAACAAGATAGGTGTGTGGCTACACGTCTGATTTGGCCACATAATCTTCATTCAAAGAGTGGGGAGTTTGTTTTTCCCTGAGGATACACAGTGTTTACCTTCTATCTGTGTTTCTCTGATGACTCGGGGAGAGATGGCATGGTGGTGGGAGGACCCTCCATCTGTCAGGGAGAGGTGGGGAACCTGGTCTACCTCCACCTGCCACTGGCTGGAACCTGTATCTCTGTAACCATACCAGCACACTTCACGTACTAACAACTTACATTTTTAAAAGAAAATGGACTGAGCGATGGCAATAAAATGACTTCCCAAGAGGGCTGTGGCATCTGGCAGACGTTAACAAATTAGGATTCAAACTTCCTGAACATATTGAACAGTTGCAGTGCCATCATTGTAGAAACAGGTAAGAGAAATTTCAGTATAATTAGTTTAGTGCTTTCTGAAGAAGGGGTGCTTACAATGGTCAACACACAACTGCAGAGTTTTACACAGACTTTGAAAAATGGGAGTCATGGTGACTCACAATATCTATTTTGAGAGTCATTTTCAATATTTGGGAGTCATGAAAATTTAATATTTCTTTGTGTTTATAAAGCAAAAAGCAAGAGTTTGGTAAATATTTTATTGTTTTGTGTTCTATTGTAATTTATATAACTAGTTAGTAACAAAAGTTGTATTCTTCTCTCGAGGGTAATACGGTGTGATGTACACCTTTTGTAGCAGTGTCACCCGAGCCAGTAGCAAGGATAACTGTCTCCTCTGAGTTCTTTGGAACAATATGACAGCTCTGTCAAAGTCAAACTATCATCGAAAACTATCATTGTTTGCTTATCAAACTGATTTTATTGAACAGAATTCTGAGGGTCACCCATAAAACTTGCGTCAAGCTTGACTCGTATGATAACATTTTGAGAGTCTTTTACAAAATTGTTGCGTCAAATACGCAGGAATCATGCGTCATGTAAACCCTGCAACTGATGCTGGGCCAACAGGCCATAACTGTCAAATGACTATCTGTAAACCTTCAGTTCAGATGATTTACAACAGGTATATTGATTTTATAGTATGTGCTGTGTTCAATACCTGAGCTCCCTCTGAGCACTGTGTACTGAGTGACACACTACTCGAACCGGCGACTTCTCAAAGCCCATGACCACGTCTACCTCAGCCTTGTGTGGAGAGAGGGTGTGTCGAGAAGCATCCAGCACCAACACCTGCTTGTCCTGTATGGGGTGGAGAAGTTGGGTTTTACATAACCAGGGTCTTTGAAATTACACCACTCTGACCTGAACTTTGTTTATATAGTATAGTGTCAACTTGATGTCAAGAAAGCAAGTCTTTTTACGTCTACAAGTACAAACTCATGGGCAAGGATATGCTGCAAGGATATGCTGCTGAGAAACCTGGAAACAGGCTAATGAGGGTGAACCAGCATTCCACCATCATAGCTTCTGGAAGATCTAAGGGATGCAACTCTGCAGACAACTGGACCAAACATATCCCTATCCCGTATCGAAGTCAGGAACGCACTTTCCTTCATTACAGAAGACCACTAAAGTATTGGATTTTTTCCAAACACGCAAGTAAATGAGCAAAAAAAAAAAAAAATTAATTGGCCCAAATCATGACTTATTACAAGTGTTGCTTACGTTCAATGGAGTTTTGACAGCTCTTTAAGTACAAAAACCATGATAATGTAAAGGTAAGCAAAAATGTCAAATTCATTCATCAATGGAATACAATGCACCTTTAAAACTGTTAACATTAGCTATGGTGATATTTTCCTGATCTTCATGTAACAAATTCTTTTCTATTATGTTATGTTATCTGGACAGAAAGCAAGATTGGTCCCTGCAGAATCAGGCTAAGTAAATGAGTGAGTGAGTCAGTGAGTTGGGTCACATAAACATATGCAGCCACATGTGGAGCCATGTTTTCTCCATCTACTGGTAATCACCAACTAGAGCAACAGTTTACCTTACGAAGTTGAGGGAAGTCAACCTCAGAGTCTGAGAGATCAAGGCTGTCTTGTGGGGCACTAGGTCGCGGTGACCTGCTCTCAGTCTCTCTGGGAGCTTGTCTGTAAACATCAAAATATCACATCAGAATTACTGACAGATGAACGGCTAGTGGTTAAAAAAAGACAAAGACTGAATGTCTTATTGTTACAAAGAAATATTTGCAACTGTATTTATTATTGGTTCAGACCTCTCTTCCACCATTCCATAAACACACAGAATGTACTATGACCAAAGTCATGTAATGTTTACTGCAAAGTTACTGGACTTCCAAGTCTGATAGTTGGTTTTGTTATTATTGTCACATATTACCTACTTTGTATTGGTCAATGTCCTGTTCTAACATCCATAGGGTATCTGGACATGTAAATAAGCATGGTTTCAACCACTGTCATAAAAATATATCTTTTGCAAGTCATATTACATTTGAGGTATTTCATACAAAGAAAATAGGCAATGGCGAGGGATATTTGAAACATATGCAGTCAAGCAATATCACTGACATAACACAGTGTAAACACCTACTTGCGTGGTGTCTGGATTCTTTCTGTTTGTTTAGGGGCTTCAAAACCTAGAATCAAAACAAGAAGTTCTATATATCACGGCAAAGAGCTTCACATAGAGTGAACTGGGTTGAACACTGCCAATATCAGGGTGTCAGCCTGATGTGGGAACAGAGGACCAAGTCAGGGGTTCAAAAATCCCATCGCCCGACGCCCGGGACAAGTCAGTTTTCATTTCGGGCAATCAAATAATGGTATCTTACTTGTCCGTGGGCTACTAGATAATTTCCACTTATGGTTTCAAACCGCAAAGAAACTTGGATTTAATTTCATATCTGCTCAAAATGTAGCTATTACATTTCGCAATGACAATAAAGTAGAGTTATCTTTCTTTGCTATTTATCACTTTTCAATAAATAGTCCAGTAAACATTAACATCAAATACCATGTTGATTTCTACTTTCATAATTACATCATCATATTTATGTCATAAAATCAGGGCAAGTGGAAAATTAGTCAGGACAAGTTACTTTCTTAAAGTCACTTGCCCTGAGGCAAGTGGCTTTTAAAAATTTTTTTGAACCCCTGCAAGTGATAAGACAAGCAGGGAATGAAGTTATACCACAAATGCATTCCTTGACCTGTCAGTGACAGGGTCAACTGTTGGTCATGTGGACAAGGTGCTGGACATCAATCAAGGTGTGGTTCAGTTCCCATTGGTCTTAAATTATGGGCCAATACTCATGACATATGTACATCTATACATCAATGAAACCCACAAGTACAGATAAACTGCTGACACATCTAGAAGCATCTACTGGCTAGCGAACAGCTATCACCATATTTTAGCGGTATTTACAAAATTACTCCGCGTTCGTTAAATTAATGAAACAGAATTAATTATGTTACTGAATTAGCTATTCACCGATGTGTCCACCCAGTTCACTGCCGCTGATCATGTTTTTATATAACGCAGCGGAAGGGAATTGTGGCAGTATAAATAGATATAATCTTTTATTCCTCCATAGTGAAGAGTACAGAAAGAGACAATATTTATGCACTTACTTCAGGATTTTCATGCGCATTTGAGCCAATATCACGTTTTCTTAATCAGTCAAATGCAAGAGTCACAATGAGTCACTGGAACACAGCTTTGTACATCATGGTGATGTATTTTATGCACAGAGTGGAAAACTCAATCAAGTCCTCTTTGATCAGAGGAAAGTCGGTTGTACACGACAACAAGCACTCTGTAAGTTCATTCGGGTTCATGTTGTGAACTTTAAGCGGCGATAACAGTTCACTAGCCAGTATGTGGATGCCAAGCTGTAAGAGTTCCTTACCTACACCTCACCTAATTTTTTTCAAAATACAAAGATATACAAGTAATGAAAAGTACCTTATAAAATAGGCAGGGGGTACGTAATGAACTCTTTCCTGACAAGCAAATCAAACAGCTGTTGGCAAGTTCTGGAGCTTACAAATTATCATAAGGGTAGTTTGGATCTTCAGGCAACATGATCCTCCACAAGTACAGGTTGTATATTTTTTGTTTCTGAAGAACAAAATATTGCTTTCACCTTGTTGAAGTCTCACTGTTGGTTGAGGTGGTTGACTTGCTCCAGAAACAAGACGACCTTGAGCCAGTCGACGCCTGAAACGACCAAAAATGAAGTGCTAGAATAACTTGGCGCATCCGACGGGTAGTTCAGCCAGCTAAACCTCAAGACGTTTGGCTGGCTGAACTAATCCGACAGGATGTTACGGGAATTATGTAATTACGTCTGAGGTGGCATTTTCTCCATGACTACATGATAAGGGTGCTATGTCGGAAAGCGCACGTTAAATCTCCAAATCAGCACCATTATCATCTTAGACAGAAACACTCTAGAGTCTAAGCAAACAGGAGCTTCGAATGAACCCAATGACAAACGCTTATGTTTGCAAAACCATAAGACAGGGATCAGATTTGAAATTCTATAACCTAAAAACATTTTCGCCAACCTGTTTTTATTTTGGCCGACATTTGACTGTGGGGCAGGGCGATATAAAGAACGCTTAGTTCCACCGGTTGACATTTTCAGTCAATCTTTAACACTGAGCTTGTTCCATCCTGTTCAATCTTCGCGCCAGGCGCATGCGCATATACTGTATCAATTTCCGCTACAAACATTTCCGGGTTTATGCCAGCCTGCCATTGCTAGATATTTTACTCCCCTTCACACAATATGAAATACACAATGCCATTGTGGAAGCCGCGGTGGCTGAGCGGTCTAGGCGTCTGACTTTGTCTGCTGGCGATTAGGTGCCTGACTCTAAGAGTGTAGGTTCGAATCCCGGATTGGACTCAACCCCAAAAAGTACTAGAAACTGTGCTTTACTAAGAAAGTGTAATCCCAAATATAACATATTTAACACAATATGATCGATATTAATTTCAAACGGTATTTATCGTTGATTACATATGTCTTCTGAAATGAACATTCTTTACAGAAAAAACAGTTCCTAAGGTATCGTTATAAAATATAAATGGAAAAGTGTTTAGAGCTTTTCATCAGTTTAAGAAACTGATATGTATTCAAGACTTGCATTGACTGTAGAATTGGGTATATTTGTTTCAGGGTCAGTATGACAGACGAGGATTTGTCTGTGCATATAAGGGACCGTACATAATTTATGGGGGATGGGGGTGGGGGTTGGATTATTTTAAGGGGGTCACCATTTTGTACATATGTATCAATTTCGTACATATGTACTAGGGAATCAGCAATTTTGTACATAGAAATATTTAAAAATTATGAGAGGGAGATAATGATTTTTATGGAGGAGTATGTACAATGTGAATGACCCCCTAAAATTTATGTACAAAATCAATGGCATCCCCCCTTCCCATAATTTCTAAGCGTAATTTTAAACATAATTATATGTTCAAAATTACTGACAAAACACACACACACCACACACACACACACACCCTGGTACGTGTGTACAAAATTGCTGACCCACCCAACCCCCAGCTCCAAAGAACAAAATGGGTGGAAAATTCGTCCAAAATTGATGTTTGTTGTGCGTTGTTAACATAGTTGGTTTCTACTAATTCCACCCCAACGTGATCCAACAGCATCATTTAGAACATAAACCTAAATCGGTTGTTTGAGGCGCCGAAGGCCCGTGTTCGATTCCCCACATGGTACAATGTCAGAAGCCAATATCTGGTGTCTCCCGCCGTAATATTGCAGGAACATTGCTAAAAAGCGGCGTAAAACCATACTCACTCACTCACTCACTCGGTGGTGCGAAAGTGGTGTGCTCCATGATCCTCTGACGTTACACCTGTGAAGGTACGGGTTAGAATATTGATCTTCAGTAACCCATAACAAATTACCTTAAAGACTTCATCATGTCATAAGGTCTGGGTTAGAATGTACCTTCAGTAACCCATGCTTGTAGTAAGAGGCGACTAACGGGATCGGGTGGTCAGACTCGCTGACTTGGCTGACACATGTCATCGGTTCCCAATTGCGCAGATCGATGCTCATGCTGTTGATCACTGCATTGTCTGGTCCAGACTCGATTATTTACAGACCGCCGCCACATAGCTGGAATATTGCTGAGTGCAGCGTAAAACTAAACTCACTCACTCTGACGTTGCAGTAAATAAAACGTTTCGTTTTGGTCAATTCTCTAGAAAGCGTGGAGTTGAGTCAACATTTGCAGTATATAACAGGATAGTTTTTTGCCATTCATATTCTAAAAGGTGTACAGCATCTCTTGTCTTAAACGACCCTTAGCGAGTATTGTAACTTCCAAGAACTCGCTTGAAGAGACAGATTTATGTGTGTATATAACGGGCCCTGTCGTTTTTGCAACGACCTACTTTCAAGGCTCTCCACATCTATTGATAATAGTTAACGGAAGTGGTAACGTTTATTCGTATATTTGACATATCACATTATCGGTTTACAATATTTATATTGAAGCGAAAGGAATTCTCCCGGAGCAAACCCATGCACTAATTTCTCCCCAACATCCGGGGAATAACAAGATGGAGGAAAAGGAAAGCAAATTCGATGCCAGAAAAAATACACGATTTGACTGATAAGGCACAACAAGAAGCATGGATTGACAACGGCAGTTAGGTCTCTAAGTTACAGTAGGTAGACGTCGTTGATATTGAATGATTTCATTACAGAAAATAGCAACAAATTCTCAATGACAGTTGTAGCGGGCACCTGCACTGTCGACTCGCTTTGACACCAGTTGACTGATCCGAGCCATCACTGTCTTTGACTGATGACATATGTTACTTAGGTCGCGAAGCTCATTGGCGCATAGTAACTGTTTTAGGACACTACACTTTCTTAACCTGATGTGTTCTGCATGCAACATTTTCTTCAGTCTGTTTGACGTCTGTTTTTTACTGTGACATTACCAGGGAGGCCATGACCAAATTTGGAATTATATATTTCCCGATTTTCTGCTATAGTTAAAGATGCAACATACTTTTATACAGTGTCAAAATAGTCAGTTGTTTTAGTTGGGGCACTGGGTAGAGGGCAGTTCACAAGTTGCAGGTGCCTGTTCCCGTTTCGTTGATGTAATTCAATTTTATGTGTTTTACTGTAAAAAACAAATAGTTATCCAATATTAAGTTCAACATAACAGATTACTTTACAGACTTCATCATGTCATAAGGTCTGGGTTAGAATGTACCGTCAGTAACCCATGCTTGTTGTAAGAGGGGACTAATGTGATCAGGTGGTCAGGCTCGCTGACTTGGTTGACATATGTCATCGGTTCCTAATTGCGCAGATCGATGCTCATGCTGTTGATCACTGGATTGTTTGGCCCAGATTCTTTTATTTAAAGACCGCCGTCATATAGCTGGAATATTGCTGGGTGCAGCGTAAAATTAAACTCACTCACTCACTCATCATGTCATGTCAACTCATATCTGATGTTTGAACAACTTGATTGGTCTATGGACTAGATTGGGACTACTACTCATGTTAAGCTTGAGTAACAAATTTGTGGTGTCTTGGATCCCCTGTTCCATAAAGTGATTTGCTAAAGTATTTGAAAGTAGGGACCATGACACATTAGTCTTATGAATTATCATGGTCATGTGATGATGGTCCAATTGTACAGGCGGATGTGTGTATGAAACAATACATCTTGAGTTCTCATGTGATGATACAATACACCTGTGTTCTTTCTAGGTCCTGCCTTGCACCATTCATGCACTAACATTTTTATGGTACACTGCACTTGTACGGGCAAGTCATGCCAGCTCATTAATAAATATTAAATTAATCTTAAACACTCAAGTTTGTTTTCCCTCAGGAACTCATGCAAAACTCCAAAACAAGTATGTTACTGTGAAAAAATATAACACTACTTTCATTTGCTGAAGTGAGGTATTATTATTTTCAGTACTCTGAATTTAGCACATTACCTTCAACTTGTGTTTTAAATGAAAAATCTGTGTAATTGAAAAAATGGAGAGCTTTGTAAACAGACTGTTGTCTGTTTCGTTTAGTGAACCAATCACACTGCATGTTGCATTGGGGGCACACCAGCTGTCAAATGCCGATGTCAGTCTTAACCTATTTCATTTGAAGCAAAAAAGCAATATATCATGTTTATAGTATTATTCGTTATACTGAATCTAACAAACCCTAGTAGAAGGTCGTGTCAGCTAACCTTTTGGACTGACCAATCAGAACACAGCTTACCAAATTGCGAAAGTTAAGGGTCACATGTAACGTAAAACACAACTTTGCAGATTCTGAACTTATAAAGTTGAAAAATAACTAGGGGTGGGGTGGGTATTGCAGGGAATTTTCATATTGCGATATATTGCGATGCGAAAGCATGTATTGCGGTATGTATTGCAATATATTGCATGAAGTATTTTTAAACAAAAAAAATACTTATAATCGAGTTAATGCTTGATTTATAGAGCAAAAACACAACCAAATTACCATGCTTGATTAAGCTTTAATAAAAACTTTTAATCATGATAAAATAAAAATGTGAATAATATTTGGCACAAATGAAAAAAGGAACTACCCGAAGATTTCTGAGTGTTACGAAGTTTTCCGATTGCAAGTCAAAATACCAGTTTTCGATCAGCGTATCGCAATATGTATCGTTTTCATGTCTGAACCAGTAAATATCGGTAAACCGGTTATATTGCGCAGCCCTAAAAATAACGCGATGAAAAAAACCCCGCGCAAAATCAACCGATTCACTTAATTCACCCCAGCTGGGGTGAAAAGTGATTTCAACAGCTGTGCTGCGACATGCTGCACTGCGCTCATGGCGCATGCGCAGTGAATTGGTTCGCGCAGCTTGGAAGCGGGATGTCTGGATTATAAGGTCGTGAGCAGGAGTAGTCTAATCTTGGTTGTGTACACAAACAAATAGTAAATAATCTACTCGTTACGTTATATTACCGTCTATAGGCCGAATTTTGAGGACCTAGCATTGTGTAATTTTAATTACAGTTTTTATGTAAAATATATATAATCAACACTAAGGTTATACGGACCCTCATGAACGTGGTAAGCACATGGAATGGGGTAAAATACGGAAGCCATTTAAATTCACACATTTTTACCGATGTTATTGTAAACTAGCAGTCAATGGAAAACGAGACGGTAATCAGTTCGTGATTGTTGAATGGGGTAAAATAAGCGAGCCAGTTTGTTGCTACAATAAATATGATACTTAGAGAACCAAAAAATATTATACATATTCTGTCAACTACACTTCGTTTCGATCCGTGACTAGACGCAATATATATGATTGTGAATTCTTTGAATAATGTGGACCAAAGTTATAATTATTGGAAACTGCCAGTTGTCTGTGGTCTGTGTTTGCCGCGTTTAGGACCCTATCGCGGGGGATCGACTTATGCACGAAACATACCATTTTGACACTGATTTTAAGGGTCAAGTTTTGGGGTCGTCTTATCCATGGGGTCGTCTTATAAACGGTAATATACGGTATATAAAATAACCTTGTTAAGGATCTAGATCTACTCAGCTATGTGTCAACCAGTGAGGCGTTCGACATTTCAAGACGGAAAACCTTCGCTGGTGGTGAGTACTCGGAGTAGGCTTTGATGTGAGCTATTTTTCTAATGTTTTGTTGATATTTCACAGGCGCGAGCTTTTTGTATGTTATGACAGGAGATTACCGAGTTATATAATTTCATGTGACTATTTCACCACACGTTCTTCTTACCGAGTCACTTTTTCAGTTTGATACTTAACATCAGCGTCATTATTTAGCAATGCCAGAATTTCTAACTGTGATATAGATATGCCTCTGTCACAGACAAAACTCAATGTCTGTTTTATTGACACCTATGTGTCTGCCTGCCTGCCTGTTTGCTAATGACAATATGCAATACACAACTTTGATCACTGACCACATGCAATTTGAACTTAAAACCTATCAGGCTATACACCATAAACAAAACGCATTGATTTATGGCTCATGCACCCGAGTTCTGTCTCTGTCACATTATGTAATTACACAGACAGGCAGGTGAAATACTTGTACACACGACATGTTATGGTGTCTGTTGATTGTAAAATGTGTTTCACCAAAAATAAGCATGTATTTACAAAACCCAACATCTCTATACACACACAAAGAGAGTATTGGTAAATGAACCAGCCAATGAAAGCCTTCGTTACACTAAAGTCCACACCCACCCTCTCTTACTGGGTTTGGTATCTCGGGTGCTTCGTTTCGAGGGAAGTAAACCCAAGTTCAAAATATTGCACTTTGGATATGCGATTGTACGCTTATAATTTTGTTTATTTGTTTTTTCATAATCCGCAATGTATATTTTATATCATGAATAAGTGATAATTGTGTTTTAATTATGTTTGTTTTTTTGGTTGCATGGGACCTTTAACATTCACACATATTATTTGAACCTTTACCTAAAAAACTCGAACGATTCCAAATGCTATTTTCCACACGATCGCTTCCGAGTGATACACATGGAGGGCGCAATGAGTATAGTTGCTGAACATGGCATTTTGTCAGTATTCAAGGATGTTATCTTGTGGAGGTATAAGCTAATAGAAAATAAACGCATTGATTTATGACTCATGCACCCTGAAGTTCAGGTCTCTGTCACATTATGTAATTACACAGACAGTCAGGTGAAATACTTGTACACACGACATGTTATGGTGTCTGTTGATTGCAAAATGTGTTTCACCAAAAATAAGCATGTATTTACAAAACCCAACATCTCTATACACACACAAAGAGAGTATTGGTAAATGAACCAGCCAATGAAAGCCTTCGTTACACTAAAGTCCACACCCACCCTCTCTTACTGGGTTTGGTATCTCGGGTGCTTCGTTTCGAGGGAAGTAAACCCAAGTTCAAAATATTGCACTTTGGATATGCGATTGTACGCTTATAATTTTGTTTATTTGTTTTTTCATAATCCGCAATGTATATTTTATATCATGAATAAGTGATAATTGTGTTTTAATTATGTTTGTTTTTTTGGTTGCATGGGACCTTTAACATTCACACATATTATTTGAACCTTTACCTAAAAAACTCGAACGATTCCAAATGCTATTTTCCACACGATCGCTTCCGAGTGATACACATGGAGGGTGCAATGAGTATAGTCTCTGAACATGGCATTTTTGTCAGTATTCAAGGATGTTATCTTGTGGAGGTATAAGCTAATAGTAACCATGTCATTAGAAATGCCTAAGCGTATATACTGCAGGTCAAATATCTGGGTTTTATGCGGATTTTTGTTTGTTGATAGATCAGTGTCAGCGACCAATGAAAAGAAAATCCAAAAACCGTTTTGTAAGTCCCGCCGAACCCTAACAAGTAGTCATTGTCTGATTGGTTAAATCCGTTTGGCTGTCTCGCGTTTGATTGGACGGTCATAGGTCGCTCAAAGGTTAGCTGACGCAACCTTCTACTAGGGTTTGTTAGACTCAGTATAGCATTGTAACGAATAATACTGGGCCTAAGTTTACTTAGACTGACATGTTTCCATGCAGCAAATCGTATGTTATATATGGCGTGCATTATCCACCACAAAAACAATGGTATCACAAGGTATGGCAGGTTCATGTTTAGAATTCAGAATCAAGATTACAAGTATCCTTGTGTTATTGGTTTTCGGTCACTGAAGCACATCCGTTAATTTCTCGATTTTCGCATTATTCATTGTTAAATTGTCCAGTTGTGTTGCATTAAACGTTTTGAGTTGGAAACTGAGTTTTACAGTGTTAGCTAGACAAGGAAAACTGTTCAGTGTTGAAGTGTTCAATCAAGTTGTTAATGAACATTGAGATTGGGTATTATTTATAGTTTACTGTTTATTTATCTTTTCAAATTCATTTTGAGTGGTTGTGAACAGTTTAATAAATGTATTGAACAGTTTTCAAATTGTTGACCTTAGCTCTGCTGAAAGTTAAAAAAAAGTGCTAATTACAACAAATTTTGCAATATCATACAAACAAAATCTTGAAGTGTCTTCAGTGCTCATTCTCAAAAGAGGGCCTGTGGCCGACCTGCCCTCAAATCATGTCAAATTACTGTGACTTGTTACCCATGCAGAACTTAGTAACTTAGTTACTACTGGCAAACACGGATGAGTTGGACCGGCGCAGAGAACGCGTTTACGAGAGGTAGGCAGTGCACGGCAATGAGCAAACCCATTTGGTTTGTGAAAAGTAGAGCAGATGTAGGGTAGTGCATGTGCATTGCATGACGATGAAATTGATTCCACGCGTGGCTGCACACGCCTTGTTCATAAGACTCTCACGTGGTCGGTGTAACAAGTCGGTAATATTCGGATATATAGATATATATACACCTCATATTAAAAGCAGATTCTGTAAAGGTATAAAACATAGTAACTTATGAGCCAACCATTAATGGTTATGAGAGACTATAAATTCCCATTAATTTCTTAAGGTTAAATGCAAACAAATGCACGTGCCACTGTCGAACTCGTTGTTTGCTGAGACAGGCCACGTGCTTCACCCATCGCACTACACTTGATCGCGGACAACCTGGGGCCCCTTCGCTAACAATGGCAAGTGTTAGTGGATGACACTCATACATGCTAATAAGGGTCAATTGTCAGGTTGGTGCTCAACTTCTCCTTGTTTGCCAGTAAATGAATTCAGTTATATCAAGAGCTTTCCTTTTAAATCTGCTGCTCTGAAATATGTTAGAATCAGATGTGTACATTCCAGAAGTTTCCACATGATTTTCATTAAAACATTACCATTTTCCTTTGTGAAAGGCAGTATTTAAATAATGTTAGTCCAACTGGTTGTCAAATTCAAAATGTTCAGTTTGAACATCAGTTCAAATTTAAGATGGACATAAACATGAAATGATACATGCACATGGGTAGGTGAATCATATCTTCAGGTGTAAAGCTGCTATATTTTGGTTGAATTGTGACACCTTTAATTCACATGGTACTTTTTAAATACTTCTACATTATTATGAGTAACTGCATGTTATGGCAAAGAAGCTTAAAGGCACTATATCACACCACACGTCTCTGATAGTAGATAATGCATTTCCCTCAATAATACTAACTATCAGCCCTCAGGGAAGCGACCACAGAATTTATTACCCCCCAAATTATGTATTTAAATTACAATATTAAATTAAAAGTTTGAATGAATTAATGCAATGTTGCCATCTACTGGTCGAACATTATTTCAAGAGTTATATCCCTTGGAGCGTTCTTTACGAATATCCTAAGCACAACTTGTGATTGAAACCAGTTGCAAACACTGACAATACAGTTTGTGATAGGTTTCGATGTACGAAGCAATTGTTTACATTCCATTTATGGCAAGTTTTCTCTGCCTGGAAACTGTTGACCTCGAATTTTCAATTATCAATTTCAGGTAAGTCGTAAGGGATAATAAGTTTTTAATTGCATCAACAGGATGCTTAAGTGATTGCATATGCCCCAGTATATATTATATAGGCCAAAATATTGACGAAAATGTGTGACATTGTGCCTTTAAGGCTGTGAACCTGAAATGGTTTATGTGTATTATCGCTTTTGTTGCAGTTTTGATCAACAATGGGCAACTCGAAGTCGACTAAGGCTGATGTGGTGACGCAGGGGATGCCACAGAGGGAGAGGGACCTCCATCTGGCCGTCATGGGCAATGACCGCAAGAGTGTCAGCAGCCTCATTGCACAAGGTGCTGACATCAACTACCCCTGGAATAACCCGACTGTCCCAAGCGTCAAGGACAGTACCACACCCCTCCTGGCTGCTGTATCCCTGAACCATGTGGACATCAGTGTGGTGGGTGAACTCATTGTCCTCAGGGGGTTCGGGATCCCCAGTACCCCAAGCTTGTCCCCCCTGTAGCGTACTTGGCTGCCACGTTATAAATCCAATACCTAGTGCTTGTCCTTCTTGCAGATTCTGAGGCACAGTAGACCCCAGTAATTCAAGCTTGTCTCCCCCAGTGGCGTACTACAATGGATATCCAATATCCAATGCTTATTCTTCATGCAGAGGGGCGGTGGGGTAGCCTAGTGGTTAAAGCGTTGGATTGTCACGCCAGAGACCCGGGTTCGATTCCCCACATGGGTACAATATTTGAAGCCCATTTCTGGTGTCTCCCGCCGTGTTATTGCTCGAATATTGCGAAAAGAGGCATAAAACCAAACACTCACTCACTCTTCATGCATATTCTGATGCTGAACCTCTGTACCCCATGCTTGTTCCTTTTTGGCCGTAGGGGCAAAATACACGATCAATACCCCAAGTTTGTGTCCAATGAGGCTTTGAAGGCAATAGAGCCCCCACGTTTGACTCCAATAGGAGTCAAACATGGAGAATAGCACAATAGACCCCAATACCCCATTCTGGTTCCCTGTGTGGCAAAGTGGTTCCCTGTTCCCGGTGATCGTGGAAAATTGCATCTGGTATTTGTAGAAACACTGATAACATTGACTATTTGCCTTTCAGATGTTGCTGAAGGCTGGTGCTGGAATTAACAGAACGGACAAGAGAAACTGCACCCCGCTCTACAAGGCTGCTTTCCATGGCCGACCGGTCTTAGTGGACATCCTTGTGCAAGCTGGTGAGATGTTAGAAGCATTTGCAGCAGTGGTTTTATGATTTTATGTCTGAATGGCCCAATCATACAAGGTGCTGTAATTGGCTGTGCGGAGTTGTGTCCCTTAGGCTCCAAGAACCCTGTAATGGGGGATCCTATACCTGCTTGCCTTGATAATGGTTCTATTGTCAGCATCACACCACTTTCCTAGTTGTTAAGGGCTAACTGCATCTGAGGCATGCTTTCCCTGACAGAGCTGACACACTGTGATGTAACTCAAAGACTGTTTAGAGCAGCCTTAAACTGGCACACTGTGAGGTAACTGAAACACTGTTTAGAGCTTTTGTGTCGGGTGAATCAAAACCAATTTTTTTGTCAGGAAGCCAATTTTGAGGAAGTCTTACTTTGGCTTGTTTGTCCTGTCAGGTGCTGACATTAACAAGGCGGATCTGGAAAGCCAAACTCCGCTGTATATCTGTGTCCAGAACGCCATCGTACACTCCAGCTACGCCACTGTGGAACGACTGCTTGCCGCAGGGGCATCTGTTAACATGTAAGTTTGTGGGAAGCTCGGCTTTCGTTTGACATTAACTTTTCTTTGTCATTGCTGCCAAATATCCAGAAATTCTCATTATAATAGCTAGTTCATCCATCCACAAAAGACGTCTGTCTGATTGTGTCACGTTACTTTGGTGACCTAAAGTGTTTCATAGGAGGGGAATTAGGTTGTCCAGTCATCTAATGTGCATGCCAGTATGGTCAAGGGTTCGATTCCTGGTTCGCCCCGATAACGTTCTTGGTTTGTCAGTGCCATACCCATGCCTAGATTCTCCTTAGTAGATGTGATCGCCTCCGTGGTGTAATGGTTAGAGCGTCTGCCTGGAGAGCAGAAGGTCGCGGGTTCGATCCCCGACCGCGTCATACCAAAAGACCTTAAAATATGGTACTTGTTGGTCCCTGCCTGGCGCTCGGCATTAATGGGTACAACAAGGACTGGTCGGTTCGGAGTCAGTATAATGTGTCTGAGTGGGGTATTCATGCTTCACCGCGTCATGGTGTCTCAGTGGGCTAGCACTTTAAAACCAACTTCAGTCTGGACTAGTACAAGCAGCCGCACATACACACGCATGCACGTTGTCATATGAGCGAAATATTCTCAAGCACGACGTTAAAACCCAATTTCACCTCACCTCACCTCACTTTAGTAGATGTTTGAGACTGACTTCACTTTGGCCTTTCCTAAGCTAGAATCCGGGTATTGAGGTGGCTGGAAAAGCTGATCAGGCCCAGTGACTTCTGTCAGCATTCTTTGATGGCCTGGGTTGTTCTATCGGGATTCTCTTGTCCAGACTCAGTTATTTTAGGCTGCTGTCATATGGCCTGAGTATCCTTGCTATCTTGACATCCTATCATCTGTACTATCTAGTATCATTTAGCCATGGTATTGACCTGTGTGGTATGTCCTCAGGGCTGACAAGTCAGGGAAGATTCCCATCCATGTGGCAGCCCACTGGAAGCTGAAGGACATGATCCGAATCCTGCTGAATGCCAACAGCGACATCAATTCCATGGACCTGAAGGGCCGCACTCCGCTGTACGTGTGCGTCAGTTCACTCAGCACGGGGCTGTACTTCGAGGATCTGAAGTACCAGGTGCCGTGCATCAAGGTGCTGTACGCAGCAGGCTGCGACATGCTCAACCTGGTCGACTGGCTCAAGTGGAAGGGGCCGGGGATTCCTGCAGAGATGCTGTCCGACGACGACAACTTCCGCAGCTGGTACAAGTCGAACATGAACTCGCCCCACACGCTGGTCAACCTATGTCGCAAGACCATCCAGCAGCAGGTCTGCTACCAGGAGAACATGGTCAAGGTCATTCCAAGGTTGCCAGTTCCTCCCAAGCTGCAGACGTACCTGTCAAGGAAGATGTTCCATCTGCCCAAACCTTGACTCTGCAGATGCAAGCTGTGATTGCACATGTCGACAGGTGCAGTCCCTCCCTCGGGGGAGACATGTGACTGTTGCAGGTCTTTAGAAGGGAAGGAAGTCCAAGGGGTCAGGAGTTCCTTCACCTTCTATGACCTTTCATCCACTCATATCAGTTACCCGAACTTATGGCTTTAGAAACAAAAGTATTATTGAATTTGTTGTTTCAAATCATCGACTGAGAAGGGACGGATCCAAGGGTCAGGATCTTTCCTCTTCTTTATTGACCAAATCAAATAATTTTGTTCAGTTTGACTTTCTCGAATTCACGATGTAGATAATCAGTGATCCTGGCATGCATGTTTGACAAGTTGTATAAAGGACAATTATCCAAAGGGGTCGGGTAGCTGTCCTTTTTAGTCATTTAGCATGTTGCCAAGGATACAGAATATTTTTGTTAAGACCTCTGTTTCAAATGACTTCACAAATAACAGTGCTATTAAACAGTGATCTGTAAAAGCATACAGTATGTAGATAATTGTTTGAAACAGAGGTCATGTTGATTATTAAATCCCTGACAGTACAATGATAATAATATTCTGCAATCACAGCTTGGTATGGCCATGTTGAACTTGGCTACACAAGTTTCCATAGGGCTGTATGTTGAGACATCTCCATCTCAAACTTGCATTGAAGGTAGCTGTGTTTGTAGAAACATGTCATGGGTGTTCTCCCACTAACTTGGGAAGTTCTCAGGCAATCTACATATACTACAGGTAGTACACAGGTGAATGTTCTTGCTAGTCAAGAAACTGTCTCAGGTTCAATGATTTCGCATTGGTGCACATTGTATGGTGATTCCTATTGCCTACAGCAGTGGTATGGGTGCAGGACTGACTGATGCTATATGGTGCATTATCTATCATGCACTTTGTGTTGGAGATGACTCAATGTATTCCACAGCCTTTAGTCTTAGTGTCATATTGTTTTGTTTTTGCTGATTTTTGCAGATCGCTGTCAAATAATTGTGATGCAGTTCCATTTCAGATGTGGATTTTGAGGGAAAGGAATTAATGTTTCTCCTTAAATATCAGTAATTTACAAGTGAACGGTCTGTTTTTTGAGCTTCATCATGGAAAATAACTGATTTTGTGTTAAAATGTTACTTGAAAAGGTTACAAACACACAGGTGAGAGGGGAGGCTGTTGGATAGCATTGTGGTCCTGCTGTTAGATATTGTCTAAACTGCTGATTGACAATGACGAGAGATGACCATTGTTGATGTCAGTTACGGAATGTATTCCAGTTGTTTTGTGTCTATAGTGCTACTGTTGACATGAACGTCATTGAACTTCATGTATAAATATTTTATTGTACAAGGTGAATTTTCTCCTGTATGTTGGTTACTTCCTTGTTTGAGATTTGCATCAGAATGTTCTGAAAATTTCAGGTAATTATTATCTGGAGACAGAGTATTGTCTTCAAGTTGATCTTCCTGGTAGAGTTTGTTATGTATACAACCTCTTCCTGGTAGAGTGTGTTATGTATACAACCTCTTCCTGGTAGAGTATGTTATGTATACAACCTCTTCCTGGTAGAGTGTGTTATGTATACAACCTCTTCCTGGTAGAGTGTGTTATGTATACAACCTCTTCCTGGTAGAGTGTGTTATGTATACAACCTCTTCCTGGTAGAGTGTGTTATGTATACAACCTCTTCCTGGTAGAGTTTGCATTGCATTATACAACCTCTTCCTGGTAGAGTATGTTATGTATACAACCTCTTCCTGGTAGAGTGTGTTATGTATACAACCTCTTCCTGGTAGAGTGTGTTATGTATACAACCTCTTCCTGGTAGAGTGTGTTATGTATACAACCTCTTCCTGGTAGAGTATGTTATGTATACAACCTCTTCCTGGTAGAGTATGTTATGTATACAACCTCTTCCTGGTAGAGTATGTTATGTATACAACCTCTTCCTGGCAGAGTGTGTTACTTGTACAGCCTCTTCCTGGTTGAGCGTGTTACTTGTACAACCTCTGTGTTCGCATTTGTTTGTTGATGTTTCTGTTTTACTTATTGCTGGCAATGAAATATTATGAAAACATGGCAATGAGGAGATTGTATTTTCAGCTGTTGTAGCAAGTAATATTCATTACAGGAATATGTTTTCAGTTTTACATTTGTAGAGCTGGGATGTTTCAGTAGGGGTCTGTGTTAATCTGATTTCAATACTCCACTCAACCAAATAATTCAGAATCTGTTTCACAAAAACATGACCTACAGTATTCACCTTGTGTCGCATGGTAACAGACTGACTTTCAGTCAGGGACCAATGTTGGAGATGTATGTCGTCAGTAATTAGTTCAACATTTACGTATGATTAATGGAGTACTGCATCACTTTGACGCATTATGAAACATCCCCCCTCTTGATAATGAAACTGTTCCACGAGCAACCTATCTGGCTATAATTATCTCCTCCTTGTCATATCTCTTACAAAGTTATGTAAATATTATGTCTACAAGTTGTGCTTTGAAGTGAATTTTGCAGTTATAAATTATACCCTATGATATGTTGCCTCCAGTGTTGTTTCACTGGTGGCGAAGAAGGTAAGCGGTCATAGCAAATCCATTCAAGATGTTTTTGAGTACGAGACTTTTGTGAAATGGAGGAATGATCTGTTTTCTTGGTTGGGTCTGCTATGTCGTTCATCTTGCATTGAAGGATATGAAATTACAGCAGGTCTGTCTATGTTATACGTTGTTTATGTTACTCATTGAGTGGCACTCCATTGGTCAATATTTCTGCGAGGAAAGTGTTCACTTCATATGTTCACCTCAAACATATTCGTAGATCAATCACGGTTTTCGGTACTGCTCACATGGGTCAATCGGGTCTTTTGGGGTGATGTCATTTTTATTAAAATATAATTTTAAGGGATTTTAGTCCTACAAATCAGTATGCGCACAAAACGATGCATATTCATTTGAATTTTGGGAGATTTCCAGATATTACTTCCATTACATATATTTCTATAACCTTAGATGGTCGTGGTTCTAGGACAGAGTCTGGTAATTTGTATAAGGGGCATTAGTCAGATGTGCTTTCAGTTAAAACATATTTGTACAAGCTTTGGGAAGTACTCTAGCTTTCATCTCTCTCTCTCTTATTGAGATCTGCTCTTTGGAATCAAATAATGCTCATATCCATGAAGGAAAGTAATAATAATTGCGTTTGTTGTTCAAGCCAAAAATCACTTCTTTATGAAGTTGTACCTTACTATGGTACTAGCTCCTATTGAAACTTACAACCCACCAAGCCAAGCTTTAATCTAGTCGCCAAATTCAGTTTGATTTCTTCCATATTGTCTCAACAGACTTTAGACATGGTGTGCTGGAGTTCATGTATCTACAGGGTTAGACACAGCCACTAGTCGCACAAGACCAGTGGGATGGGGTGGACGTAGTTGATGCCGTCAACTTGACCATCGCATCAGAGTATAATGCTGTGGACAATGGTACCAGGAATGATGGTAGATATTGTGATGTGTCTCGAGGGTTATCTTGAAAGTAGTAGACAGCCATTGACACTTCTGCTGCATTGGAGAGCTTTATATGGCATGTTGCAAGTTATTTATATTACGTAAAACAACTTCCATTTATTGAAGAGGGGTGTTGGCAACTGCATGCAGTAGCGTGTAAACAGGACATCCCCTCAGCCATGGAACTAGCTGCCATTACTGGCTGTGGAGAGTTTGTGTGGTTCACGACGGGTTTCAGTCCAACTCTAGCTGCAGGTTTTTGTGGCATTGTTTTTGCTGTAGATTTATTGTACCTGAATATGGCCGACACGTCTGCTCCTTCAGTTTAACTTGTATTGTTTGTAACACAAGTTCCGCATACATTGACAAAATAAAACATTTCAGAAAGTGGTTGGAATGGTTGTCTTTTACATGGACCCTTTGGGAATATGGGAGCAGAAATATACTCAGTTGGATCACATTTGTCTTCAACTGGTTACGTCACACAGTGTGAAAGGAGAGCCCAGATGACTCAGATCAGATTGTCCACCTGCCAGCTGCCTTTCAGTCACCTGTCACCCAGGTTAAAAAATAAAAATAAATGAAAGCTGAAAAAGAAACATACTCACTTCATGACTTCAGCGTGTCATCTGCTGCACCAACCTTCAAGTAGGGCGTGTGTTGGAGGTGGAGATCTAACATCTAGTTCACATTGACATCCCATTCCACTTTGTCAATCATCTATTAGGGCTGGGACGATACACTATGTCACCATACGATACATATCGCGATATTTTACCTGCGATGCGATACGATACAATATACGATCTATTTCAAGGTATTTCTGTTTAACACTATTGTAATAAACAAACAAGTAACTCCATCATACTTGCATATTTTTCTCTAAATAAGTACTGTAACATGTTTAAGATAATAACTGTTTTGAAAAAAAGTTGTGTATCGTTTTGTATCAATACACCAGTCCACGATACGATAGCTGTATCAAACTTAAATGTATTGCGATGCATCGATGAATCGTCCCAGCCCTATCATCTATTGACAATGCTTTACAAGTGAAAAGAAACTAGTTCTGCACACAGATTACCAAACTCACACATATTGATGGCAAGCTAACTTCTCTGTAATGAGTGAGTTTGGTTTTACGCCGCTTTTTGCAATATTCCAGCAATATCACGGCGGAGGACACCAGAAATGGGCTTCACACATTGTACGCATCTCTGTAATGGCTTCCCTAGGGTGCACATGGTACCTGTCTTTATTATTTCAGATAGCACTGTTCCACAGTGTACAGATGGTTGACTGTGCTGACACGAGTAGTAACATTACAGTAAGTTATACACAGACTATAACGATGCAGCTGCGAGCCGGTAGCATTGGTACACTGATGTTCCTCACATGACAAGTAATTATTGAGAATGTCACATCTCTGTGTCAGGGTCAGATGCTGGTTTGTCGCTACAAGACATGATTATTGCCAGGCAACATTGACTACATGAAAAACTGCTTCAAGAACATTCACCCACAGCTCAACCAATGCTGCTACCTGCTCCGAAACTCGGGGAATACCACCGCTAGACATCACTGAAGATAAAGTTTACCGAAAGTGACTGGGTGTAGTCTGACACTATTTTATTGCAAACAAACACATAAGGTAAAATCAAATATATTCCACCCAAAAGAAGTTAGGAAATAATTAACAATAGTAATATGGAGAATCTGGTGTTCTTTACTTACTGGAGTAGTATACTGCCACAACCTGAATATCAACAAGGTGACTACAGCTGGCTGATTGTACACACGCCTGTGTGGTCAAGGTCAAATATGATTATTATCGTATCAACATCTATGATATTCAACAACTGCATAAAACAATGTGAGTTACAATATGTAACCTACATGTTATATATCTGTGTATGTGCATGCGTGCATGCACATGTCTGTGTGTGAGTGCATGCAAGTGTCTCTGACTGTGTGAGTGTGCATGCAAGTGTCTGACTGTCTGTGAGTGCATGCAAGTGTCTGACTGAGTGTGCATGCAAGTGTCTCTGACTGTGTGTGAGTGTGCATGCAAGTGTCTGACTGAGTGTGCATGCAAGTTTCTCTGTGTGAATGTGCATGCAAGTGTCTGACTGTGAGTGTGCATGCAAATGTCTCTGACTGCGTGAGTGTGCATGCAAGTGTCTGACTGCCTGTGAGTGTGCATGCAAGTGTCTCTGTCTGTGAGTGTGCATGCAAGTGTCTCTGACTGTGAGTGTGCATGCAAGTGTCTCTGACTGTCTGTGTGTGTGTCAGTCAACAAATAACCAGTCCAATGATCAATACACTCAACTCCCAGGCTTAGTCAGCAAGACTAGCATCACAACGTCAACAATCAACATCTAAACACTACACAATGCTGGGCCAGATCTGTTTCGGGGTACAGTCGTCAATGCCAGAGACAAGCCCAGCCACCCTCTCTCGTTTGTATCCCAGACAGTGAGACACGTAGCGGACCCCATCAACAGTACGGTCCTTGTTCCTATGCTGGTGGCCAAAAACATGGACAGATGAACCTATCTGACGAATCTGTGCTTCTAACACCTTACATCCTGCAAAGCGGGTGAAGTTGAAGGATCGTGGGTTTATATGACCTTTCTTGTGGGCTTCAACGGCACTTTCAAGGCCAAGTCTTTTCCGGTCAGTTTCAATTTCTGCCAGTTCCGTGTCAGAAGGTTTGATGAGATCTGTTCTTGGGAGGAAATGGCTGAATGAAATGACAGGGTCTGCATATTGTTTTGAACAGGTCTGTGAATTTAGATCGGCAAAATATTTGGACCGTGTTTCTTTGGAACTTGGCCAGACGCACATATGGTTGTCCATCCACATGTGGTCAGACTTGTCTTCACCAACTGGGTTCTGAGGGGCCACGTATAGCGAGTCTTCTGGGTCTTCCTGTGGAGTAGAGTACCAGGAGAAGAGTGGCACGATCCATACTGCGGCCATGTGAGACACACACAGTAACTCGGGCTTGGTCCCGATACCCAACTCGTTACACAACGTCACTATTTGGTGAAATTTAGTGATTGAATCTTTCTCCAGTTCGGGCTTCCGTATCCACAGTTCATGGTTACCTGTAACAGTGAGTGAGTGAGTTGAACAGTGAGTGAGTGGGTGGGTGGGAGAGAGGGGAGCAGGGAGGGTTTTGGCTGAGTAAATGAGTACATTGAACAGTGAGTGAGTGGGTTGAACGTTTTGTGAGTGAGTGGGAGGGAAGAAGGGAGGGAGGGTTTTGGGTGACTGGGTGAGTGAGTTTAAAATAGTGTAAAATAAAACAGTTTTAAATAAAATACACAAAGCTGTTGCAATCTGTCCTTTAAAGGAGGGTCATCCAGAATACAACCTGCATTTGGGGAGGGTCATTTGGACAGTGTTTCTTTGGAACTTGGCCAGACGCACATATGGTTGTCCATCCACATGTTCAGGTTCCAACCCCCCTGAAACAAACACACACCCCCTCCCCCTTCCCCCTCTTTCCAAATTCCTGGATCTGCCCATGGTCATTATTCTCGGGACAGTACAATGCACCCCTGCACCCCACCATGGTTTTCAAAATTAACCCCATACCAGCTTCAAGTTGCAGTGGAATGTAGATCTACTCATGTTCTCACCCGGAACGTAGTACACCCTGAAGAACACCTGCTGCAGATGTTGGAGTGTCTGTTGCAGTAGAGGCAGGGAGTCGGTAACGTCGCCCGCAACTATCAGTGCATCATTCTCGTAGTCCAGGGGGGACCACTGCTGGACAATTTCCATGTTCTCTCTGTGGTCAACATGGAGGTCAGAAATGGCAAACACACGGCGCAGCATGATGGACGCAGTAGGTCTTAGTTTCATTGGAGTCCCTCTGCAATAGTCGGAAGTAGAGTTGTTTGTTTTGTTTTTTCATGTAAAATAATTCAAGATATTTGGCAAAACATTTGTTTCTATTTCCTGGTTTGTCAATAGATCTCTTGGAGTCGGTTTTAATATATACTGAGGGAAACAAATAAGAGAATACATGAATGTACAAGTGTTTCTTTACTCTTTTACAGGTTTCTTAGTAAGGCCAGACCAATTTTATTCTTGTTTTACAGATGCGCCTGTCGTATTTTTTCAAGAATAAGAAAGAAATTAATTAATTTTCCCTGCTCAAAACATAAATCCTAATGTTTTTAAAATAAATATAAAAATAAACTTACAAGAAAATTGTTTTCAGATTGTTTTTTCTTTACCCATATACACTTAATAAATTGCCAAATGTAAAATACTTTGAGTATTTAGAAGGAATAATATTTTGACTGGTGATTTTATTTTATTTTTGTTTTCCCTCCTGCCTTTAGGTTTTCTGAGGACAAAAATCCGTAAAACAAGAAATAAAATTGGTCTGGCCTAAGAAAATCTTAAAATAAACAAAGGAACATTGGATTAGGAGGTGTTCCCCTATTTGTTTCCCTCAGAATATATTGCTTGTCTTATCTGTCATGTCTATTTTGGGATTGTCTTGATTGACAAGGGAAACAAACTTCAATTACAAAAAGTATTTGTCGCCGTTTACTTTCTTTATGATGATACCCAAACATTGTTTTCAATAGTGGTGTGTTTTACACCACCAGTAGTTTCAGGAATAGGATTTCTACCATGTAACCGCGTGAGGAACAAAACAGCCATCACACTATTCCCAGACACAGAGTTAACACTTCCCTCACATCACAACTGACATTGTGAATTGATTTAGTTGGAATATATTGGCTTATTATTTCTTATTGGAATTCAAAACGAAGCATCAATGTAATTCAGTACTAGGGCACTTGACACTCATCTTACATGCCGTTTGTGTATGAGATTTACAGTTTCAGGAAAACAGTCAGTGTCAACAGGAAGAAAGCGTGTACTCACACAGGAAATCTGAACTCACAGTGAATCCTCCACAATCAGCTGACTCGCTCGTAAACGTTCTGCTACTTCCGTGTTGGTTTAGAGTTAACTCCCCTTGACCACACGTTTTCATTATATAACCACTTGCCGCCAGTCAAATTCTAGGTGTAGTCATTTTAGTGTTGTTTGGTATTTAGCCCCCGGTATTTCATATTATAGATATACCATCATAATCGTGACCAATTCAGTGTTCAAGTAATAATTTAACATTGTTCTGCCAAAGTCAGTTCCCGTTGTTATATTCACAATGGCTGTTTTTAACTTTAAATGGTTTTAACTTAATTTAATGTTTATACATTTTATGCAAAAGTTTTGGCCCTTCCCAGTGTTTAAAAAATAATTGGTTGTGACAGTGTTACAAGCATATTGTATTACAGATACATCAACAGTTCTGTTGAGAGAGGTGAAAACCATATCTCACTCACTCACTCCCGTCGAGAGCGCATCAACCTGGTGGCTTTTTATCCCGTCGTCCACAACGCTGGCTTCAGCATAAGCCAGAACGACGTCATGCACCAACATTACAATAAATGTCGGCATGTTATACCACAGAAACGATTTATTTACATAAGAAATGGCTATATCATACGTTGTAGACAAACGGGAGGCCGTCCTCTGTACATAGGTTGTATTCAAAGAGAATTTGGTGAAAGCATTACCAAAGGTAATGTCTTTGAAACTAAGAGTACAGTCAACTATTTATTTTAGTGTATTGTGATGGTGTAATCGCTAAAACACGTTCTAACATCCTACAAGTCTTTTAGGCTAGCCTCTGCATCCTCCCAGCTACTTATCGTGCCGAGAATTACGTTGTGTAGTCGGTGCATGTCATGTTGACGAGATCCTACTTTTTCAGAGATTTAAATATTTGCTGCACTCACATGCCTCACTTCGTCCTTGAAACGACCTCGAGCGTGTTCTCGTGTCAACTTGTAGATATATAAAGGTGACTTTCTTCTGTCGGGTAGACACAGCCATCCACTGGGGACCCCGCCCACCCAGCATTGTCCCCCGGTAAATGTCATGATGGCGGTGGATATAGACATTTAAACACGAGTGTAGAAACTGACTACCGTAAACCTCATAAAACTTGTGTCAGTTAATTTACACGACCATGCTGCTAGGAACTGAAATCAGAAATTGTAATATGATTTTACGTTTTGATCAGGGACAAGCTTGTGACAAGTTGTTTCACGAACACAAGGCTTCACCATACAGCGAGCCACGAATTAAGCAAAATGTATACGGACTACAATCTCATTTAAATCCGATCGTAATTCTTCATACCGCCACAGTTGCTTCAGTCAACACTTAGATACTATTTAAATAGGATTGTATGAAATAGAATCAAATCAGGAACTGACACAAATGGTGTCAACGCGTGTATCAAATGCGCTTTGTCTTTGTACGAAACTTGGAAAGGCTAAAAAGCACACGGAATATAACCGTCTTTTGACCGTGTCTTCCGTGAAGGGTGATTTTAAGGTCGGGCAATTTGACAGTTGAGATATAAAAGTGTTTCAAATGCCACCTATCTATCCCTATTTAGTTTGTTGATTTAGCATTATGATACCCTAAATACACGCTACCATTAAACATAGTGTTTGTTGTTTAACGCTGGACAGTCTATAAATAATAGAGTCTATACCAGACAATCCAGTGATTGACATCATGAGCATCGATCTACACAATTTGGACACGATGACAAAAACCAACCAAGTCAGCGAGCCTGAACACCCGATCACTCTTGTCGCCTCTTATGACAAGCCTGGGTGGATGAAGACCAATTATAACCCGGATCTTCACGGGTTACAACATTGTTTAGGATGTCGCCTTGATTTCGTTATTTACGGGTCATCGTGACGTAGCTGTTATATTGCCGACGTCAGACAACAGGCAAACACAGATGTAATTATTTTCATGAGTCATTTATGCCGGGATTACTCCATTCTTTTAAAGTTTGTAATGTACGGATATCCGTAATGTTTTGACAAATATTTAGAGATTTTAAAATATTATTGACCGACTTTATATCTAGACATTCATCACCCATTTTATATTACGTATTTATCATTGTTATAAATTTGCATTCTCTATAGCGACCACATTCACCCCTCACAGCCCTATCTGTCGCATGTTTACCTGGATCTCTGTAGATAACACACCCATCCAAGTGTGTTTGTTTCTGCACTGTACACCGGCCAGATAACACGACACAGCAGATAACTACCTAATCTAACAAGGCGCCCCTTGTCTGTGTATGTGCAGGAATGTGTGAGTTGGGTTCAACGCCACCGGGAACATTATTTCAGTTATATGACGGCGTGTCTGCTTAATGTGGGAAGAAAACCCGGAGTAATGCGGTTATAAGACGTTTACCGCTTTGGTGAACACAGGTGTAACGCTTGCAAACCAATTGGGGATTCGACCCAATGATGTGTGGAACATGGCACCAGTGACCCAACTGTGTGCGTGGGGACATTCCTAATGTCTTGACAACTTGCGCTAGCTGCACTCATGACGTACTGGAGAATATCTTCGTAATGATGTCTTTCTTTTCTAACGAATTACCGTAGTACTCTATTGCCTTTAAAAACGAAGGAAACCACTCATCTAGGTAAATCTGACATGATTCATTGATTATAAACAGTCTTATGTAAACTAATTATTGTACCTAATGGCTAACGGTTGATATCCTATCAGATTTCTCTTTAACAGTCCACGGCACTGACTGACTTGTAAGTGTATATACCTTAAAGTTGTTTGTTGTAATAATATTCTAGATATATTACGATGGTCTACAAATGATCGAGTCTGGACTACACAATCAAGCGATTGACATCATTGCGATCATTGGCAGAACAGGTGGGGTGCGATGATACCCTGAAGGGTCAATGAAGGGGTGTTATGATGAATTTTATGGAGAAGTATGTAAAATGTGAATGACCACCCCCTAAACTGTATGTACAAAGTAAGTCACCCCGCTTTGCATGTCATGTACAAAATCAATATCCCCCCCTCGATCCCTTCCCATACTTTTCAGCACAAATTTTAAATACACGTATAGGAACGAAATTACTGACCCCCTACCTTCCTGCTTACCCAGAACAATGTTCTCTCTCAATTAAACGCATTGACACATGATTTGCAGAGTTTGTTGTTGAGAGGACGTCACTTCCGGAACGAAACTATGAAAGTGAATTTGGCCATTGCGTTCATCATAATAGAACATGTATATACCTCTCAATGATCGAGGAAGATGTAATTAATGCTTTTTGTTAAACTCCAAATGCTCAGACATAATTATCTGCTTGACTGAAGACGTACAATTTAAGTCGACAAGATGGAGTTTGAATGATGTGGAACAAACTTGCAAGGACTAGTTATTGGCCGCTGGAAACGAGTCTGGTAAACGGCATTACCGGTCCACAAATCGACCTTAGTTCTACGACAGTTGAACTCCAATATGTGTACGCTTACAGTCATAGAGCGGAGACCGTTTTGTGGAACCAGTACCTTGGTATGCTGTGGCTTATGGCAGGGTGGCGTCTTGTTGACACTCGGACAGGGAGTATATGTCTTTCACAATGGTCATGACCGGAAGTTCCAAACTGAGCAGGTCACCTTAATAACCTTTGATGACGTGGTACTTACTGGCCAGGATGCCCTTCCACAAAGAGCTTTAGTGCCAGGGTGAACGTAACTCTCATACTTGAACACTGGCTTAGTCGTTGCGGTAATATTGCGTTGTGCACCGGGGCCACATTTGCACAACACGATCTTAGCACTCCGACTATCGTAAGTCTGTGTTAAAGTATGAAGTTTTGATCACGGTTACGCTAAGACCGCTTTGTGCAAGCGCACCCTACACTGCACGGCGCCGATCTGGGTGTGAGTCAGGTGCTGTGACGGTGTTACTGGGATATTCTAGACGGTTGCTTGGGGATGCTGCTACGCAGACTGGGCGCTGATGCCGCTAATGTTTGTAGATGGGGTGAATATTCCTATACATGAAGCAGGTATATTGCGGCCTGCAATTGGCCGGTGGTTGTAAAAACGAGTCACTGCTGCTCGGGTACGATGACCCCTAAGAGTGAGGAGAAATCATTTTCATGTTGGACTTGACAGTGTCACTTACTTCTAGTTTAACATGGATATCCACCAGAGACTTAGTAAACGGACTTCGAGCCGACCAGTCAATGTACCATCTTTTAATTATCTTTTAAAAGAACGCCGCGGGATCGAACCACTGACCATCATCTCTGTCGGCAGACGCACTGTCCACTATCCAACAAGGAGACGTCCACCTCAGAGTGACGAAATGGCGTTTCACACATCAACGTTCCAACAATGGCATATCAGCCTTAAGTCGTGGTGCACTGGCCAGAAAATCCGATTTTGACGAATTTCTACTGACCTTGAACCATGATCTGGTAAGAAAGTCACCCACCTGATCTTCAAGGTAATGTGCTCTGACAAGCTTGAGGTTTAGGTCCTTTTTCTGACCTTTGATTTCAGAGGCTGGACACAGCAGGGTGTTTTCACTGATGTCACTCATTTAATTCTCAACAACCACTGTGTTTGTTTAATGCTTCATTCAGCAATAGGTTTGCTATAAATCACTGCCAGTAAACAACCCAGTCTGGACCAGACGATCCAGTGATTGATCTTGTGACAATAAAGTTACTGAACTTGAGCCTTTCAGTCGCCAAGAAGGAAAAATCAGATTGCTGGGCACACAGTCCAAACTGGAAATCCAGGCATTGGCTGCTGGAACCAGGAACCACCACGGCCAACCTCTGACTGGTACCGATCTCTCACTGCAGTGATGGGCACATGTTCTGTTGAAGACAACAAGCAAGGTGTTTGCACTGCTTTATTCAAGTACTCCAGTGTACAATGGACTAACAGACAGATAGAGCTGATACAAATATACACATTCTGATTACCTGATCTACCTACAGGATATCTAGGTACCCATCTCCCTCACCCTGCTGGGTGTCTAGGTACCCCAAACCCAGGATAGGATGACACCATCCAGTGTACCCGTCTCATACATTCACCCTACAAGGTATCTTGGCACCCGATACCCACTGAAGGACAAAACAGCATGTCCACCATGCGTAACGTGAATCTACAACGTCTACCTCACATTCACCACCTGCTACAGATTCTGCTACTTTTCCACAAGTTCAGGGCTGTCAGGAGGGGTGTTCACACCTAATAGTGTAAGCCCCAAGGCTAGATACTGGTCATCCATGATTTCCCTTGACTGTTTTCCCCTTTCTCTCAGGTAATAATGGATGAGTGGTTTGTTTACCATCCTCAAAGTCCTGGATCAGCCTTTGGTTGTATCTTGTTGGAGTCCAGGCCTTGTCTGGTGGCTCTCCACAAGATGCCTTCACATTATAATGATCTCCTGTGAGTAGGCACCCTTGTGTCCAATAATACCATCTCTGGACAACAACCTTTCCATGGCCATCACTATAAGATCTTCCTGTGGAATGGTGATCCATCCAATGTGTCTGTACCAGGGGCAACCTCTAGACAAGACACGGTCATCACTATAAGATCTTCCTGTGGAATGGTGATCCGTCCATTGTGTCTGTACCAGGGGCAACCTCTAGACAAGACACCGATGAAGTACAACTATCGGTGCACACTGGGACATGCAGAGGAGGGCCACTACATGGATGTACTGGGGTGGGACATGGAAACACATCGCTGTATTACACAGCAGGATATAACAGCTTAGAAAAAATCCTAACATTGATTCTTCAATACTTCATCTTTATCAGTAATACAGCTGCTTCTCAAAAACTGACTTTTCATCTTTATTGACTTGAGTTGGCAAACAAATCAATAAACACAGCGAACTTTAATCAACATTTCAGCCCTTAAACAGCTGGCTCTTAATCCTTTGCCAATCAATAGATAAAACATCAATACTTGGCTACACCAAGAAATAGATGTGAGAAATCTCCAAAGCTAATGTACAGATCATGTGACAAGATTTCATTCAGGGTGACAATATTTTAAGTTCTGACAGTTCTAACCCACCTAACATACATGGCGACAATTGTGCCTCAAGCTACTGTTCTCTAGCTGTCTAGGTCAAGTGATGGAAAACTCTCTATATACAGAAACAACAATCTACATGTTAGTCAAATACACAGCCATTTGATGAGAAGCCTATATATAGTCTCTACATAACACATATATCACAGTGAAATCTGGTGTTGTCTCCCCTTAGTACAAGTCTAACTCACAAGGTGGTGTTCTACCATAAATATGGTACGATGGTATGCAATGAGAAATTGATTCAAATCGTTTTCATCTGAAAAAATAAGCCATAATGTTAACTTTCTCTCAAAATAAGATACAGTTTTGCATGCAACTATTTTTCTAGAATGCTTCTAATAATACATTAGTCTTATTGGGAGCAGCAAAACATATATTCAAAATTTAACGCAAAAGAAGTAATAACATCAATGAGCCATAGAACAAATATCCAAAAAAGAACTTTGTTGGAACCAAAACAAAAATATTGCAAAAAAAATAAACTCGAAACATGGACAGATTCACTTAGTGAAATGATGTATAAACAATGCAAATTAATTAATCTCACACATTACAGACACAATTATGTACAACCGCAATCAAACATACTTATGTAGACAAGCAACCAAGGGTATTGATAATGTTAATATACATAGTTCCCTTAACTTGTGGACATAATGCTTGTCAGCCCTCTAACCCACTAGTGTTTAAATCAAAGTACATGTTATCTTCAAATTGAAACAATTAATGAGTGACACACAATGAGTTGATCTCATGAACTTGGTTAGTTTAAAGAAGGTCAAGTTTCTCTGCACTCTTTGTAACTACACACCTGTCAGAGCACTTTCAAACAATGGAATGTCGTTTACTCAGGTGGACAAATTCACAAAAACACAGCTTGTCATCTCTACCTAAAGGCGTCTAGTTTACTGGTACACGTTCCGAGACATTAGCAATAATGACTAGCATTTCAGTGTCATGACAGAATAAGCGTGACCTGTTGGTTCCTTATTAAATCGAAAATCACAGACAACAAAACATAGATGGTACTTAAAGAATAAACCTGTAATTTGATCATCACGAAAGAGCTAAAAATGTCTCCATTCCTAAGATATACTACTCAAAATAGGATAAGGACAATCTGATCCTTCCCTACTGCTATCATTCCTGTGTCAAGTCACAGACTAAGTATCGTCTTATGATATAAACAGGTGGACCTTAACTTGTTTTGAGTAGTGTAATAGCACTGATAACTTCATATACATAAATCTCTATAACAGTGTTAGCAAGTGTTTCATTACGTTCATGTCAGAATATTCCAATGTTAATGACTCGGTTGTGAGCAATAATCATCACTTCAATCAGCCAATCAGCATCCACATTCTCTCCTCCATCTTCAGACAATGAGCAAACATGTCTTGTATCATCTAGAATGTTGCACATTGGCTTCTAAACCATCAACTATTGACAGAGAAAATCATCCTATGACACATTGTGTAGTTAAATTCTTCTAGAACATGAAAACCTGGTTCACACACATGTATATATTACTATATCAGACTCCAGTGTGTCAGCTGGCACTGTGGGACAACCCATGAACATTGTCACACGCACAACTTGCACCAGCATACGTCAAGTTACTTGTTGGAATAATATCAAAGGTTTTACAAGACTTTGTTGAACAGCTCAGCTTTGAACAAAACAGATATTTCACTTTGAATAGTATTGAATATTAATTTGATATAAAGCAATACTAGTTAAGTTCATAAAATAAAAAGAGTGTGTTTGATATCACAAAGTCCAAATTTGAATGTAAACATTTTCTGATTTTGTTTATTAATCTATACTATCGTTCTCTCAGTTCCACGTTGTTCAGTGTTCTGCCTCGACTCAGTCTGCCACTGTAAATACTGCAAGCTCAGGAGAGTTGTGCTACCATGGTTACAGATGATTGACATTACAAGGATGTGACCTGATCCTTAGCAGCGTTAGCGTGTGAACGGGAGGCGTCCCTGGGGTAGTATTTGGCTAGCGTGGCTGCAGGGATACGCTTCAGCATTTCTTTGGGGAAAATACGCAGTAACTGCCAACCAATATCCAGAGATTCGAAGATTGTTCTGTTCTCATAATGACCTGTTAGAGAGAAGAAAAGTGTCAAGTTAATGTATAACCTTTTAGAGCAGTTGAAAATGATGATGTGAGTGAGGTGAGGTGAGGTGAGTGAGGTGAAGCGAGTGAGGTGAGTGAATGAGGTGAGTGAGTGAGGTGAGTGAGTGAGTGAGGTGAAGCGAGTGAGGTGGAGTGAGGTGAGTGAGGTGAGTGAGTGAGTGAGTGAGTGAGTGAGTGAGTGAGGAGAGTGTGAGGTGATTGAGGTGAGGTGATTGAGGTGAGTGAGGTGAGTTGAGTGAGGTGAGGAGGTGAGAGGTGAGGTGAGGTGAGTGAGTGAGGTGGTGAGGAGAGTGAGTGAGTGAGGTGAGTTGAGTGGTGAGGAGAGAGGTGAGTGAGAGTGAGGTGAGTGAGTGAGTGAGGAGTGAGTTGAGTGAGTGAGAGTGAGAGAGGTGAGTGAGAGTGAGGAGGTGAGGTGAGTGAGGTGAGAGGAGTGAGGTGAGTGAGTGAGTGAGTGAGAGAGAGTGAGGTGAGTGAGTGAGGTGAGAGAGGTGAGTGAGTGACTGAGGTGAGAGGTGAGGTGAGAGAGGTGAGTGAGTGAGGTGAGAGAGGTGAGTGAGGTGAGAGGTGAGGTGATTGAGGTGAGGTGAGTGAGTGAGTTGAGTGAGTGAGTTGAGTGAGGTGAGTGAGTGAGTGATGCATACTCAGACATAGTGAGTTTGGAGTACAACACATAATTGGCTGTACACAGTGGCAGGTGTTACACGTTGTAACAATGTTGTAGTGTACCAGTATAACAGCTGAATGTCTCAGTTTATAGCTATACACAGTGTGGCAACCCATGTAAATAGTATCACGCACGAAGGATCACCAGGATGATGTACACATACCTTGAGAGATGAAGTTTTTCTCGAACTTGGTGAGGAACTCTAGATAGAGGAGATCTTCGGGGGACAAGGCTTCCTCTCCCACCACGGCCTTCATAGCCTGCACGTCCTTACCGATGGCATAACACGCGTACTGAAACAGACACACAGAATTATGGGAGGAACTCTAGATAGAGGAGATCCTCTGGGGGACAAGGCTTCCTCTCCCACCACGGCCTTCATAGCCTGTACGTCCTTACCGATGGCGTAACACGTGTACTGAAACAGACACACAGCATTATGGGAGGAACTGTTTCAACCCTGCAAACTTGTTTCTCTGACAGTAATGATTCCAACACTTCACCAATATGCATAAACATACAATGCTGGCAAAACCACTACATCACAGTAATTCAGTCACAATGTATTGTTAACAGTGAATGACTGCAGTATAGGACATTCCTGTGTGAGTGAGTTACGATTTATAGTCAAATCGGCAACATTTCAGCCATATCGTAACTCCTGTGTGTGTGAGTGAGTGAATATAGTTCCATGCAGCTTTTAGCAACATGGAACAGTTTGGGAGTTCACACCCTGGTCCTTCAGTGTGACCAGAGATAATCTTGAACTACAGTTTGGCTAAGGTGAGTATGTTATCTTGTTGAATGCCCTACTACAGCTACATTGTGTCAGCTTGTAAATTACTGAGTTTGATCCAGGGAGACCCAGTGGTTGATACCTTGAGTACCAAACCACACTGCCAGGGCACAATGAGTGAGTGAGTGAGTATGGTTTTACGCCGCTTTTTTAGCAATATTCCAGCAATATAATGGCAGGGGACACCAGAAATGGGCTTTACCCATTGTATCAATGTGGGGAATCGAACCCGGGTCTTTGGCGTGACGATTGAACGCTTTAACCACTAGGCTACCCCACCGCCCCAAGGGCACAATGACTAAGCCAGGTCACACATAGTCAGCTCTTACAACAAGCAGGGGGTACTATCCTATACTGGAATCCACCCACAGGGACGCTACCAACACACGTACTCACCAGCTGGTTGGACACGTCGGAGTGGTCTTCCCTTGTCATGCCTTCGCCGATAGCGGACTTCATCAATCTTGACAGGGAGGGTAGCACGTTGATTGGTGGATAGATCTGGAACGGACATTACACACTGCATCACAGGTACTCACAACATGATATTGCTAGTTCTCTTACAAACATTAAGACAATTTTGTGACATAAACAATTCTATCTGATCTTTACCATAGTGTATACAACCTGTTAAATATTGATGGTGGAAATTTCTTAATTATAATGCTTTCAATAACAGGATTGTCTGGATTAAGAGGGTTCAGTGTACACAGTAACTGATACTGATCAATATTGATCAATGTTTGTGAGATAATTACCTGTCTGTTGTGGAGCTGTCGGTCGACGTAGATCTGACCTTCTGTGATGTAGCCTGTCAAATCTGGGATAGGGTGGGTAATATCTGTAACAGACAGACACACACCATGAAATAGATGCGCAACACACAGCAATATTTGAAAAATGTAACATCAGAAGTATAAGAGATGGATTTCACATGTCTCCATTTCAGGGGATTTAAACCCAACCTGTAAGTGTGAGAAACAAACACTTAAACACCATGCTTTCTACTACTTTGGTGCTGAGAGAGAATGACAGTTGATGTGATACAGCGAATTGACCTGAGTAGATCCCTCTATTGAAAGTAGTTTCCAGCAGAGAAAGTCATTAATAGTATCTGAGACAGACTTAGGCACGAAACTCTATCTTTATGCCTATGGAGGAGAACCTAAGTTTCTTGCCACTAAATGCAAACACTGGGCAACATCGTACCATCGTTGGGCATGGTGAGGATGGGGATCTGTGTGATGGAGCCGTTACGTCCCTCTACACGACCTGCTCGCTCGTAGATGGTGGCTAAATCTGTGTACATGTAACCAGGGAAACCACGACGACCGGGCACCTCCTCTCTGGCGGCCGACACCTGCATCGAAAAGTACATCAATGAACATCATGTCACGGCCATGGCCATGAATTGATTGCAAAACACTTCCACTGCGCACTCGCGCGCGGCACACACAGACACACACAGACACAGAGAACGGATATTTCTGGATTGAGTTAATTTTGTGCCATTAAGCAATTCAACAACTTCCTGTATTTGTTAGTTTCAAACAAAGGGAAATTATGCATGATTGTTGTTTAATGCTGAGCTTGGCAAATATTTACACACAATTTGTAACAAATCCTATCTCAGTAACATCCAGCTCGGTCAGGATGACACATAATCAAGTCCATCAGATTCATTAAGTTGCCTTCAGGTGGCTGGTGATCTATACCGGAACACAAAAGCTGCAGGTCGAGTTACATCATGGCTAACCCTGGTGTACTGACCTCTCTCAAGGCCTCAGCATATGAGCTCATGTCGGTGAGGATGACCAACACGTGCTTCTCACACTGGTACGCCAGGAACTCGGCCACGGTCAGGGCGATACGGGGCATGATGATACGCTCAATCCTGAATACAAGAAAATATTATGACAATATTATTGAAATACATGTATTCAAACCTGAGAGACAATAGCTATGTGACTCAGTTCCCACCAGTCACTTGACACTATCAGCAATTCCTGCAGGGGAGGATTACACAGTATAAGGTCTCTGGGACAGCTATGTGAATACTGAAAGTTTCTTAATGAGAAACAAAATGCTTGTGATGTCCTGAAGCTTTCTGCTGTGTGATTAAAAAGGTAAAACACTCACGTGGGATCATTAGCCAAGTTCAAGAACAGGCACACATTCTCCATGGAACCGTTCTCTTCAAAGTCATGTTTGAAGAATCTAGCAGTCTCTCTGTTGACCTGTAGGCAGAAGGAGGACTCTTATAGAACTGTTGACACGGGGAGCAATGTGTCCAATGGTAATCATGGTGTCTGAGTAAGAAACTTTGTTCATGATGCAATAAGTCTCAAGTCGCTTGTTACTTCATCAAAATCCACTATGTGATTTCAAAGTGTATCAGTGTACATTTATCAATAACCTTTCCAGTATAAGTCCAATGAGGTATTCATTTCATTTAAGATGAAAAGGTAACCCGATTTGGTTGAACATGTACTGTTATGATTACAACCATTCAGTCAGTGTCTACTTACGCCCATAGCAGCAAACACAATGGCAAAGTTGTCATCATGGTCGTCGAGCACACTCTTTCCTGGCACCTTGACCAGGCCGCCCTGGCGACAGATCTGGGCTGCAATCTTAAAATAAGCATCATGTTACTAGGTTGTTACTGTCAGCTGCTCACTACCAGAGTAATGATGCAGTGTTTGCAAGAAAGAGGGTTCATGATAAACTGGAGCAAAACTCGGGACATATAAATCCTTTTTCAACTTTTTGATCGTTTCTTCTTTAATGCCACATTCAGCAATATTAATCAGATTTTGGTCTGTAGATAACAGTCTGGACCATACAATTCAGTGATTGATATCACGAGCATCGATCTACATCACTGGGATACGATGACTGGCATCAGCCAAGTAAATGAATCTGACCACTTAATCCTTTCAGTAGCATCTTACTCCAAGCATTGATGCTAAAGACTGAAAATTTCCCACTTGAACGCACATGGGTACTTTCTTAATGATCATGAGGATTAGTTGTACATTCAACAAGTTCTCAGCCATAAAGGTCATCCACTTCCTCAATGTGAACAGAGATATGATATTGGGGCAGAATGTGCTCCAAACATTGTATCCGTGGGGGAAATGAAGCCCATGTCCTAACACGCCAGCAGCTAGTCTAGGACCAGGCCGCGGAGGTGTACTCACTTCATTGTGTGGTAGACCAGCAGCAGAGAAGATGGGGATCTTCTGCCCACGGGCAATACTGTTCATTGTGTCGATGGCAGAGATGCCGGTCTGTATCATCTCCTCGGGGTAGATCCTGGACCAGGGGTTGATTGGCTGACCTATCGTAGATACATTCAGTATAACAAACTTATAACTCAATGCATGATATCATTTGTTAGTCACAAGAATGGATTCTAACTTCAATGTCATGTCAGCAGGTTCTTGCTACGTATTGCTTGGAAAGGAGATGACATACGCTTCATAATCCTGACACTATTGAAATAATTTATGCCACTGTGCCTTTTATTCAAATGGTTTGTATCTCGATGACAGAGAGGTGTTTCACCATTGATAATTCAACAAATACTACATGGAGAATATTCCAGGAATATCATGGCTACAAGTTTATGTCTAAAAACTCCCAGTCCAGGTCCTCTGTTAATGCTGTTAATGTCATCTCACCTTGGATGTCCAGGAAGTCCTCTGCCAGGACGGGAGGACCGTTGTCGATGGGCTTGCCAGAACCATTGAACACTCTCCCTGGGAAAAGAATCGAGTGGAAAGTAAGGAAATGATAGTTATGAGTTGTAGTTTACTATTTGCCAAAATGGCTGTAACACATCGATCAGTTGATCAATCTGATCAAATTTCAAAATTGCTACAAATAATTTTGTAATTTAAATACAGTGAAGTTAGTCTTCACTCATAAGTGTAGTCCACAGGCCCAAAGTACGAGCATATACATTGTTCAACAGTAGACTGGATTTCTCTTCATTTGAGCATGTTAAATAAGCAAAGCAATAGTTTCAATATTTTCAATCTATTTGAATATACAGCTTACAGCAGACAATAGCTGCGTAATTGTTCATGTTTTGTAGGTTGTCTGTTGGTTGGTTGAGGTGTCAGTGAGAGATAAATTCAGTTCCTGGTGAACACATGTTCAACACTGATAAGATGGTAACACATACAACTGGCTGCAGAATGTAGATGCCATACTTGTATGGAGTGAGCTGGCAACTCATCACAGATAATTAAGGAAGTTTTAGAGGCAAAACATCTTTTTGAACATTTTTATGAAAAGCATCATGTACAAGGAAGTCTGCCTGTAACATGTGACTTGTTGCCATGACGATGTTAATACCTACCCAACATGTCCTCTGACACGGGCATCCTCAAGATGTCGCCGGTGAACTCGCATGTTGTGTGCTTGGCATCAATGCCTGATGTGCCCTCGAACACCTATACAAAGATAGAACAACAGAAGGGATGAGAGAGTGACACACACACAGAGTATCAGACAGTGTGAGATAGCAACCCAAGTAGATCCACAAGTAGTGTTGATGACCTTTCAGTGGTCTCCCTCACAGTCCCTGTGCTGCAGTATTTTCCTACTGGCCAGCCCTTTCTGTAATGCTAAAGCCCTAAACGAAGCAAGTCTTTTCCTCTGAATCTGTTTCTCACTGGGGCTCATTTTCAATTTAAAAGGAATTATATGTTTCTCTCAAAATGATATACATTCAGAGACTAAACATAAGTCTAATGTTTCAGCTGACACCACCACTAATGGACATAGTTAGCCCTTGCTTCCAGTCAACTGTGAATCATGGGAGAACATGTGTGCATATCGGAGTGGGTCTTGTATACTCCTGTGGGTGGGGGAAGGGGACTGAATAAGTGGGTGACTTACGAGAGTGAGTGAGAGAGAAGGAAAGGAAAAGGGAGGGTAAATGAGAGAGAATGTCTACTGTGAAAAGTAAGAGTGTACACAAGTGTTTGTTGATGTACAAATTGCCGGATGTTGGAAGTTGTCCTTCAGTCTAGTGTCATGACAAACGTGGTACAGGAACAACTCAATGGCCATGCTGTTATTGTTGACATCAATAAGGAAATATTTCACTGATCTGGTCATACAGGAGATGACTTCCTACTCTGAGGTGAGTGTCAGCCAGTCGACAGGACTAACAATATGTGCACAGTATACACATAAAGAACTTCTGAAGTCAGAACTTGTCATTCAAGTTAAGAGAGAATGAGGTGGTCATTTAGTCTACCATTTCTGAAACCTTCAGCACTGATATACTGGGAAAATACAAAAAATACACCTGTGTAGGTGCTGAATTAAAAAACAATGTAATTGTAAAACAAGTGAAATGTCTCACAAAATGCTGTACATTTAAATGCAGACAGTTGGCATTTAGGTTTCTCATTGAACTATAGCAAGTGTTTTATGGAAATGTGTCCATCACACAACAGCAAATGAAAGTGTACACGTTCAAACTTTTATTTTAGTTATATATACTAACAGTACTTGAACATGTACTAATTGCATTTAATATATGTACTACCTGCACCTTAACTGACATGTATGTCTAACTGATTGTACCATCAAACACAATCTTTATGATTCACATTAATACTGATCCACCTGACTCACACATGAACACATGTGATCATGTGACCCGTGCTTGTCATGCTGTGTGTGAGCAGCGCTATGTGACCTCCGACCTCACAGATGACTTAAATCTGGGTCGGACACTTGACTGATAATAAGGTTAACAGTAAACTCGTCAGGTTTCGTCAACATCAGGACCACAAACCACATAGAACATCCTTTCATCACTGAGATTATGAGTGTAAGTCCACCACTTAGCAGGGCGTACGAAACAAAGCATGCTAAATCTTACTTGTTAAAAAACAATCAATCTTAACAACATTTTTGACATTCTTAAAAACATATTTCTGTTGTGTAATACTAGTCCTGCATAACATACGGCATTGATTCTATTTCCTGTGAAAAGAAGACAGAAAATGTCATCCCCTAAAACCATTTGCTGAACAAAGTTGAACAAATCCCATCACAAAAGTTTCTGTTCTAGTTCATTCCAGGAAAAAGAAGAAAATAATTGTGCAATGCAGGTTAACTATTAAATTCTATCAAGTGAAATTGATTCCCTGGTAATTGTTTAATTAACCTGGCCATATTTTACTGTGTACATTTTTCTAGAAACCCCGTAACCCAAAACTTCAAGCCACATCCTCTACCAGATAACTGCTTCCATATTGGCCAACAGTAGGATGTGTGTGGTAGGATGTCACAGATCTCATACTTTTGTCTACAACGTTTTGTAGTTAATGATTAAATAAACATGTTCTTTACAGTTATTTGTGACAAAGTTTTCATTAAGAATTGACTACAAAATGTTTTGCATTCACGGAAACCTGAATGCAAAAGGTCAGTATGCATACTTTGGCCTTCACATAAGCACCTCCAAAAAATACTGATGTTTGTTGAGAAAACAAACAATGAGAAAGATTTTGAATACTTCAGAACTGCTTCCTGGCTGGAAGATTTGGCTGTTGTTTGCATGTGGAAGATTAACAAGAGTTGTTAGTAGGTGTTGCGGCTGTTGTACTATCAGACTGAAGCTGGTTTTATAGTGCTAGCCCAAGATAACCAAGTGAAGTTGATTAGTGGTGGTCCGATTAATTTGAAATAATCCGAAGATTGGTGCGAGTGACTGCAATCGATCATGTTTTCTACTAATCGAACACAGACTGAACACTTGTTTTCATAAACAATATTTTTCACAAAGTTTTGTCTGTTACATTTCATAAGCACACAAGTTAGATGATTGAATTTATCTGAAAGACTCCAAGACATTTAGTTCCTGACATACTAGTCATCCTTTAAAGATGTGAATTTTGCCCCAAAACCCCTACTCTTATTTTTATGTGCATTAACAAATTTCATTAATGACACTAACCAATTTTTTTCGATGATTGATCGGTTGTAATAAACCAATCATCAATTATGAGATTTTAACCAATTCCCAACACTAATGAATACTCCACTCCAACCAGTCCGACCAGTCCTTGTTGTACCCATTAATGCCGAAAGCCAGGCAGGGACCAACAAGTACCATATTTTAACGTCTTTTGGTATGACGCGGTCGGGGATCGAACCCGCGACCTTCCGCACTCCGGGTGGACGCTCTAACCACTACACCACAGAGGCGGTCTGTTGAGTTAGTGAGTTGTCTACATGGCTGACACCATAGACCAGCTGTTTGTGGCCAGTACAAGTATTCAGGTCTCCTGCAGGGAAACTATTTGCTGACAGGGCATCTTTTGTGGCCCTACTGGGAGATACAGAAGACATGTTCCCTACAGCCAAGTGAGGTAACCAAGTTTCTCCCGTCATACATGCCAGTCACTCTATGCATTCTGTTATTGCAACCATACCTGTCTTCATTAGTTATCAGTATATCAGTTCTGATATTACATCCTGCATGTGGTTATCAGTTCTATTATTACATCCTGCATGTGTCTATCAGTTCTGATATTACTTCCTGCATGTGGTTATCAGTTCTGTTATTACATCATGCATGTGTCTATCAGTTCTGTTATTACATCCTGCATGTGGTTATCAGTTCTGTTATTACATCCTGCATGTGTCTATCAGTTCTGTTATTACATCCTGCATGTGGTTATCAGTTCTGATATTACATCCTGCATGTGTCTATCAGTTCTGATATTACATCCTGCATGTGGTTATCAGTTCTGTTATTACATCCTGCATGTGTCTATCAGTTCTGTTATTACACCCTGCATGTGTCTATCAGTTCTGTTATTACATCCTGCATGTGGTTATCAGTTCTGATATTACATCCTGCATGTGTCTATCAGTTCTGTTATTACATCCTGCATGTGGTTATCAGTTCTGTTATTACATCCTGCATGTGTCTATCAGTTCTGTTATTACATCCTGCATGTGGTTATCAGTTCTGATATTACATCCTGCATGTGTCTATCAGTTCTGTTATTACATCCTGCATGTGTCTATCAGTTCTGTTATTACATCCTGCATGTGTCTATCAGTGCTGTTATTACATCCTGCATGTGTCTATCAGTGCTGTTATTACATCCTGCATGTGTCTATCAGTGCTGTTATTACATCCTGCATGTGTCTATCAGTGCTGTTATTACATCCTGCAATACAGTGTCATGTGACTGACCTGTACAACGGCCTTTGACCCGCTGACTTCCAGCACTTGTCCACTCCTCTGACTGCCATCGGCCAGCGTCAACTTGACAATCTCGGCATACTTGGGGAACTGAAAGTACAACATCATGATCAGAGTGAATACTGTTTAATACATCAATCACCATTTGTCATTTTTCTCAGCACCTGGGTGTGCTCATCAGTGATAAAATTATGGTAATTTACCTCCACCCATGTGCCTCACTCTCTCCTCATATACTGAGCCCAACATTTGAATTTACAGGGAAATCCAAAGTGTTATGTGGGGAGGATGGGAGGAGGGAACCTCATGAGTCAGGATAAGTATAAAATATCAATTTTACTCTAAAAATTACATATTTTCCTTATCCTGACTCATGCTCTTTTTGCTTGTAGACTCCGACGGAAAGGGAGGTGGGAAATATATAATACTTTGGATTTTAATAATTAGTGATTTGAACTGTGATGATTGTAATAACCCTATGGGAACTTCATAAAGGTACTGAACTGATGAATTCCTGCTGCTAACTTATCAGCTGCCATATAAAGGTTATTACAATGTACTTATTATGATAAAGTATATATAACATTAATACAATGCTTAAGACTAATAGACTTAAGCTTGTTAATATGCTAGTATAAACTCCTTAGAGTTTGTTAGCTAAAATACTTTAAGATATAAACATAGTACTAAGCTTAAGATATGATTAAACTTAAGCTAATTATATAATAGCAAAACTCTTTAGAGTTTGTTAGTTAATATACTTATATGTGCTAATATATTTTTACAATATGAGTATAGTACTGTGCTTAAGATATAATTAACTTAAGCTACATATATAATAGCCAAAACTCTGTAGAGTTTATTAGCTTATAGATTAATAATGTAACCATAGTACTAAGGTTAAGATAAGATTAGACTTAAGCTAAATGTATATAGCAAAAAAAACTCCTTAGAGTTTATTAACTAATATACTTTTATGTTATAACCATAGTACTGAGCTTAAGATATAATTAAACTTAAGCTATATATATAATAGCAAAACTCCGTGGAGTTTTGTTAGCTAATACATTTTATAATGTAACCATACTGCTTAAGATATGATGAAACTTAAGCTAATTGTATAATAGCAAAAACCCTTTAGAGTTTGTTAGCTAAAATACTTATATGATATAAACCTAGTATTGAGTTTATGAAGGAAACCTTAAGCTACATATATAATAGCAAAACTCCAGAGAGTTTGTTAGCTAATATACTTATATATGATATAAACATAGTATTGAGCTTTGATAGTATTGAGCTTAAGATTTGAAGGAAACTTAAGCTACATATATAATAGCAAAACTCCGTAGAGTTTGTTAGCTAATACAAGTTATAATGTAACCATAAAGCTTAAATTATGATGAAACTTAAGCCAAATATATAATAGCAAAAACTCTTTTAGAGTTTTGATAGCTAAAATACCTATATGATATAAACATAGTACTGCTTAAGATATGAATAAGCTTAAGTTACATATAGCAAAAACTCCGTGAGAGTTTGTTAGCTAATACATGTTATAATGTAACCATATTGCTTAAGATATGATGAGACTTAAGCCAAATAGCAAAAACTCTTTTAGAGTTTGTTAGCTAATATACTTATATGATATAAACATAGTACTGAGCTTAAGATATGAATAAGCTTTAAGCTACCTATATAATAGCCCAAACTCTGTAGAGTTTGTTAGCTTATATATTTTTACAATCTGAGTATAGTACTATGCTTAAGATATAATTAAGTTAAGGTAAATATATAATAACCAACTCTGTAGAGTTGTTAACTTATATATTGTATGATGTAATAATCATAGTACTGTGATGATAAAAAAGAACTTAAAGCAAATTATATATAGCATGTAGCTATTTAGTACTGTTATAAGATAAGTAGAAATCTGTAAGATTGACTTATCTTCTCCGAGGAACTGTCAACTGTTGTGCGAGGGACCATGGGATCGAATTGGTGGATACCTGAGACGCCCTCGGTGATGATATCTCTCAGATAATGGTTGGCAACCACCATATCGGATCTCCAGAAAATAAACCCTCCATATTTCAAATAACATTGTGTAGATCAATGCAGAAGTTAGCTCTAATATCATGAGTATTAAAAGCTCATGGAGGGTCGGATTGGGTCCATCCGCCTTGTATGCACGTAGTATGACAGTTCTGATCCAAACGGAGATATAGTAACGTGAGATTTCATTCTGTGAAGTTGATGATAGAGGAAATAATCTGTTGTATTATTCCCTTCTGTTTGGTTCGGTGGAGATAAATTTACAGTGCTCTTGCTGGCCATCGTGATAGAATCATCGTATCATGAAGTCCAAGTATGTCATCCAGGCGTGTTCATAAACCTCACTTGTGAGGTGTTGGAGCACTATATTCAGATCCCCAAGTTGGAGGGTGAAACTTCCGTTTTAATTCTCCAATCAGAAAGTTTAAGTAGGTTTACTAACCATCTAGTTGTGTTAGTAGCTTGATTATGAAATTCAGCTGTAGTCTGAGACGCTGTGGATTTAGATCCACTTGTATCCCCGCCGTCTAGGTTATTCGCCTGCTAAGTCCTTGACGATGTAGGTGCACAACCAGGTGTGTCTGTCCTCGTTGAAGTTTATGTAAAATTGCCTGACTGCCGTGCCCTCGCCCTAACTTGACAGGGGAGGTCTCTAACCTGAAGAAAGCAGCCCAATCATGAAGGTTCAGATTAACTGGACTGTAAGGAGGCTTGCTCGTTCACTGATATATAGTTGTCACTTGTAACGTAAGTGTTGACCTGTGAACTAAGATCGACCTCTCGTGTAGGTCGTTGTCCAACGCGGTCCAATCAGAACAAGGCATTTTGATTCTGTAGAATACCCGCTGTGATGTCACCGGTGTAGCAGGAAAAAAACCTTGTATAAAATCTTGCCGCCGTTGATATTAGCATAATCGCCGGTCTTCACCGTAGCTTCGAAGTTACCCGAAAGTGACCACGTGTTTCGAGGGTTAAAGGTAAACGCTAGCGAAACCTCCGCCAAATACCTCGCTCTGTAATATTAATGCTGGGTAGGTTATTTTCCTGGCTGTCGTGAAAGTAACTTCAGTTTTGAATATAATTGCTAACTTTCTTATATAAAGGTACAATAAACTTGCAAGTTGTCAGCTTGTAGACTGTATACATGAATGTATCGTCATAATTGTAGAATTAAAGCTGAACTTGTTGTACATATTTCTTCTCAGAAACTTTGACGATTATGAGTTATACTCGCTGTAACAAGGCTGCTGTTCAATTTCGATATTGAATTGTCTGCAGATCTGCGTAATGGTCACTTATGTAGATACCGTATCGTAGTCCGGGATTGCATATTCTACCAATCTATCTGGAAAGGTTGATTTCTGTGAAGATCTATGCAACGCCGTTGATTAATTAATATAGCGATGTTCTGTGTTGTAAATAGCCTGTGCAATTGTCTTCGCGTGAGGCTTATAGACGGCATATGGCATACAGTTGATAGACAACTTATGCGATGTCTTGAACGGACTGGACGAAAGTAGCTATATATGACGAAAGTGGCTAATATATGGAGACCTTGGAGGAGAATTCCTCGGTGGACGCCGGAGATTTCGCGAAGCTCTCAAGTATCCAATCTAGATTTCCTGTGTGAGGTAGACTTGGAGCCACTTAGCCTTCGCGACCTTCGCGAAGGTATTGAGTCAGAGCCCCGATCAGTATATATATAATATATGATGAAGCTTGCTTCGCGAATCCACCTCTGTGTTCAACAGGAGTGAGTGAGTGAGTGTATTGTTTTACCGCGACTCAGCAATATGTGGGGTCGGTGAAGCGCTTACTCCTCCCGTGACGCCCCCCTTGTAACTGGTGAGGCTCTAGCTCCTTCGCTGAGGTGGCCTGGGACTTCCTAGGCTTAAGTGTCTAGAAACCGATCAATATATGAGCCGCTAGCTTCATACAGGGTGTGGTTCTTGCTGGTTCTGCATAAGTAGAGCCGAGTAGATCATCCTATCATCTTCAGAAGTCGCGGTCACGAAATCTGGTGATAAGAATCTCATTGATCGTTCTAGATCTATTAATGCCAATAACATACGCCTCTGGCGTTTGAACTGTTATGGCTTTATGGTAGGCTGTGTCCACATACTGTGGCACCGCAGCAATCGAGTCGATTGGAGGTAAGGTGATGGCGTCTGCCTCGTCTTCCTTTATCAGGTATGTCTGCGCCGAGTTGCCACTCTTGGAAGGTGAGAGAGATCTAGGTTGTTTACCATCCAATATCGTATCTCAGCCGCCTGAGAAAATGATGCCTCCTTCATTTTCTATTCCAGCATCACTGATGAGAGGTTGATGCTCTTCTGATGGTGGACTGTGTATTTCTATCTCTATGTCGGGTGACGCCGGGGAGACCTGACTGTAGACTTGTGTGCAGACTTGTGTGGTGACCTGTGAGACGATCGACGTGGTGATGTACGAGGAGATCGGCGCCGGTTAACGGCGCTGAGATCGTGTTGGTGAACTTCGCGCCTATGGGTTGACCTTCTCGGAGACCTGTGAGGAGAATGTTGATAGCTTCGCGAAGCTCTCGTGTAGTCAGGTGTCCTTCGCGAAGGCCTTCAGCGAAGGCCTTCGCGAAGCTTCCTCTGCGCCCCGGGTCCTGGGGAACGGCGATTTGACCTTCGCGAAGCTTCCTCTGGCGTCCGGTCCTGGGGAACGGGCGATTTGACCTTCTCGAAGGCTTCCTCGTGAGGTCTGACGGTCTGAGTCCGCATCTAGGGATGAAGCCGAGGAAGGTGATGATCTATCCCGCCTTCGCCGAAGGCCTTCGGAAGCTGTACATCTGGTCCTTCGTGGAGGTGGTCTGCGACTTCCTTCGCGAAGGTGGCTTCGTCGTGGTTGCTACGCTGATGGGGGTGCCTCTGGGGTGTCGTCTGCGTTGGAACCTTCGCTGGAAGGCTCGGCCTTGGGCTGGCTGCTTCCCAGTCTGTGGTGGCCCTCCATCATGATCATGATTTGCCGCAACAGTTCATCTGGGATGGTCTGGCGACTTAATTAGTCGGTGCCCTCAGGGAAGTCGCCTGACGCCAGTGTAGAGACATCAGGCTGCATGGCTTATCTCTGCTGATGTCACTGTAGCTGTCTCCGGTCCGCTTCTTGTGGCGTGACGCCGGGATGATGATCAGCTGATCATCGTAGAGGCCCAGTTCAGCGGCTGGAACAATCTCGGTTGAGAAAGTCCTAGTAGACTTCGCTGATTTCCCCTCAGAGGTCGACGCTGCCCTGGGGGCTGCGAAGTCTGCGCTGGAGTGTTGGTAGCTTACGGGACCCTCAGGAAGATCATAGAATATCAGCGTTGGTACATCAGGCTGCATGTTGATCTGCGCTGACATCACTGTTGCCGACATCGGTCATTCTTTTGATGTACATCAGGTATGATGATCGGCTGATCATCATACAGGCCCAAATCTGCGACACGGGAACAATCTCGGCTGAGAAAGTTCAAGTAGACTTCGTTGATTTCCCCTCAGAGGTCGCGTTGAGATGCAGTAGAAAACTCTAGTCTTCGGGCTGCGACGATGGGATGTCTGGGGAAGCAGGACGCTTCTCTTGAGGCGGCGGACTACGCCCCACCTCTCCACCACTCTAGCGGAACACCAGACGGGAGCGGGTCGACCAACAGCAGTAGACTGGCGAGGGGTTCAGGTGTATCAGTCATGGCTAGACTCTGCATAATGCGACCTATCTGCGCGCTGCGCCTCAAACGCAAAGTAATTATTTATTAAAGGCAGAAATGGATAAATTAGTACCGCAACTGCAACGCGGAATAAAATGAACATGGCGCAGTACAACTAGGGCATATTAAATGCGGATCAGCAGCAGAATAAAAACGTAATCTGCAACAGAACAGAATTTTTATCAACGTAATCCACTGAAACAAACACGGCGGCCCCGTGAATAAACAGTAGAAACACGACTAAATATCAATATATAATTGTTGAAGGATACTAGCTAAACCTCTATAGATGTCTATACGAGGTAACTAACTAAATATAATCAAAGGATATAGTGTGTCGGGAGACACAGGTGCTCTCACGTCCAGCTCACTGGGCGAAGAAGGAGAGAGTGAGGCACATGGGTGGAGGTGGCGCCCTCGTTCCCGCGCTTGTGGAAGGGAGGTAACTCGTGCTGAGTACTAATTAGTGATTTTACATTGAAGGGAGCTTCAATTAGGGAGATACAAGTGTTCCACTATGTTCGCAAGAAGAAGAAGAAGACAAGCAAAAAGAGCATGAGTCAGGATAAGGAAAAATTATGGTAATTTCTAACACTGTTTATTTATTAATGTGGACTAATTCAAGGTTACTATGGTCACTTGGACGTTGTTCTACTTTATAAATGGGGAAAACAGCTTCTTCTGTGACTTCAGAGAACAGTCAGAAGAATTTTGACCATAAATTTTACAAAAAATATGAACTTAAAAAATACGATTACAATGTTTTTCCCAGATTGCCTATCTGGGGCATTTAGTTGGGTATCCTAGATACATCCCTGTAATCATAGTGACTACTATCTTTTAAGGTCCTGTTTTGTCCATTCAAAGTCTAGGTGCCCAAAGATATTGTAAACTGATTCAAAACACTTGGCGTCTGATTATCAGAGCAACCGTAATCGGGGTGAAATGGTATACTGCAGTATTAGTAGAACAGTGGTATTTTGCCTTCGGTTTGGTATACTGTAATGCACTCCAAAAATTCTGTTTTTGTTTTTATACCTCCATTTTATTAACCTTTCTAAACAATTTCTAAAATGTCTAGAAATCAAGTCATTTTGACAAAATCTATGCATTTTTTGCTTGACGGCCGCTATTTTCCCTGAAGCAAGTTCTCATATACCGAATGAAGGACTTGTACTGCAATAAGTACCGTGGTAAGCGTGTACCGTTTCACCCCTAAACAGTAATACAAAATTCACGGGAAATAATCACATACAGTTCTATTCCACTGGACTTACAAAGGGCACCTGCTAAATCACTAGATGTTGTGTATAGTCAGGGTTGACATGAACCTAAAACACACTAGCTGTTGTTCAGAGTCAGTTTTAATAACAAAACATCCACAAGCCAGTGTTACATATAGCCTTCTACACCAGCCCCCTGGCAACATGACCACTGTGTGGACAGTCCTTAATGTTGCAGAGGTATGTTATTTACAGTGATGTCTGCAGTCTTGGTCTTCAAAAAAGTCTATTTGTTGTACAGAAAATAACCAACTCATTGTATAAAACAACAGTCATATTTACAGAGGCTTAGGACTACATATACTGAAGACAAAGATCATTCCCACTGTTATAGACAGCAACATATCAACCAATCATAATGACCTTCAGTGACCTTCACAGTGTAGACAGCAACATAACAAACAAAACATAATGACCTTCTCTGACCTTCACAGTGTAGACAGCAACATATCAACCAATCATAATCACCTTCAGTGACCTTCACAGTGGAGACAGCAACATAACAAACAAAACATAATGACCTTCTCTGACCTTCACAGTGTAGACAGCAACATATAAACCAAATCATAATGACCTTCACAGTGTAGACAGCAACATAACAAACAAAACATAATGACCTTCAGTGACCTTCACAGTGTAGACAGCAACATTACAAACAAAACATAATGACCTTCTCTGACCTTCACAGTTTAGACATCAACATAACAACCAAATGACCTTCACAATGCACAGTCAGAGACGTAACGTGTACGCGAGACGGCCTATCGTCTCGTGTACGCGAGACGGGTGTGCTCCATGGTACTAACTGAAGCGCTTGACCCTAATTAATTAACATGATGCAGGCAGCAAATCAACACCATTATCATGGGACCTCTATTGTTCACAATCATAACATCCATCCACACTAAGTAACTTTAGTATTAGCTCATAAACCTACTGTACATTGTACAACTCAATCATTTCACAGACTTTCATAAAAATGCTGAAACTATATAAACAAGTTGAAAAAAGAAAACATACTAAATTATCCGTGAATCATGCAAGACCATAACAAGGCTATTACAAGGCCATTATGTGACTTCAAAATCAATAATTTTCATACTTGGGAGTATTTTTACAGACAAACTGAGCATAATGTTGACTGTGGGCGATCTGGTTAACAGATTAGGAGTTTTCAGATCAGATATCCACCAGCTGCACCACAAATGACGGCTAACCCTTGTGTACAATATTCAGCTGACACCAGATGTTCAATGTCAGGTCACTATTGCACTACATCAGGCATAACTTAACACCCGATCAGTCTGCTATCTCACATGCATTCATCACGTTGAATGGCTCAATTTCAGTCAGCTCTTAAGGACATGATTCAAGAAAAAACATTTTCCTAGAACCTGGTAGGATGTAGAATACCACCTGTCTTGTGATAAATAACACTTTATACTTCAAGACATTCATCATAACCAATGGAAACTATTTTGACTAACACTATCTGTGACAATTAATATTTCATACCAGTTCCCAGACCCCCTGAGAAGCTCTGCCTAGATAAGGCTGGTTGTCGAGGTTTACAAGTTGGGAAACCAAAGGATGTGTTCACTGCTGATACACTATGGATCATAACTGGGTAGAATCTAGCCCTTTCTCCAAGGCTGTACTGAATGCTAAGCCCATGGATGCATATTAATTCTATCCTTCGAAAAGGCAAGTCTAGATAGGCGGACTGACTGACTGACTGAGTTTGGTTTTACGCCGCTTTTAGCAATATTCCAGCAATATCACGGCGGGGGGCACTACAAAGGGGCTTCACACATTGTACCCATGTGGGGATTCAAACCCGGGTCTTCGGCGTGACGAGCCAACGCTTTAACCACTAGACTACCCCACCGCCCCAGATAGGCGGACAGTACTCTAAGGTGAGGTGAGGTGAGGTGAAATTGGGTTTAACGTCGCCCTGGAGAATATTACGCTCATATGACGACGTGCATGCATGTGTATGTGTAGGTGCGGCTGCTTGTAATGGCCCAGACTGAAGCTGGTTTTATAGTGCTAGCCCACTGAGATACCATGCCGCAGTGAAGCATGAATACCCCACTCAGACACATTATACTGACTCCGAGCCGACCAGTCCTTATTGTACCCATTAATGCCGAGAGCCAGGCAGGGACCAACAAGTACCATATTTTGACATTTTTGGGTATGACGCAGTCAGGGATCGAACCCACGACCTTCCGCTCTCTGGGCGGACGCTCTAACCACTACATCACGGAGGCGGGCAGTACTCTAAGGACCCCAGTCAGATATTTATTATTTTTAGAAATTATCATCTAAACAATTAATTTAGACCAAATATAGAGTCAAGGAATATGTATCAGCAGTGAAGGGAAGCAACTCTGGACAGTGAACACACCCATGTCTCCAGCACCCTCTCCAAGCCCCTGAATCCACTGAGAAGAGCTTACCTTGACATCATCCAAGATAACCAGAGGTCCGTTCACACCTGACACTGTTTTGTAGGCTGGAAAATAATATGCAGACAGTGAATATAGGATGACGGCAACATGTGGCAGAATTATTCATGTTTATCAAAAAGCAGCTTGAATATAATTACCAGGGTTATAGTTTGGGTAAAACAGTTAGATGAACAACCTGTGTACATGATGTAGGCTTTGGACAAAGTTTATTCTGAACTGAAAATGTATTTTGAATGCCTTGTGCATATTTACAACATTAAGATGAAGATTCAAAGAAACAATTATCGCCGATCATGGCTACTATCTGTACCAGCTACAGCTAAACAAACATTTACATGTTTTGGGAAAATAAAAAATAAATATAAATTCAAATCTCGCCGGCCGCCGTAATTCACTCACTTATCACCATCTCTGGATTTCTAGGATGTAATTATCATGAAGTTTGAATTACACCATGAGAATATCATACAGCATGGCTTGATTTAAGACATGTTAACCTCCTTGCACCAGGTGCAACCTAAGACAAAAACCTAGTTGCACCAGCCAAATTCCAATTGCAACATAGTGTGTTAAAACATCAAAGGTTTCAGTGTACATATTTCCGTGATGTAGTAGGCTACCCATGCAACCTTGGCCACACAGCCGTTCAATGTTTACAAAAGCTGTCATAGCCGAGACGTGTCTATAAATAGAAATGTTTCAGTGCCATAGGTATTCAAAGTTTAGAAGAAAAATGAGCTGATATATTTATGCTTATAATGTCAGATTTATTGTTGATTTATTTCTAAAACAAATGACTTGCACCTGGTGCAAGTTAGACTAATAACTAGGTTGCACTTTGTAATGTTAGGTTGCACCAGTGCAAGTAATGAAGCACTAAATCGAGCCCTGAATACATCACTTCCAATTTGCTACATGACAATGAGCAATCGTGCAACATATTCAGCTCCAACACAGCACCCCATTGTAGCGTGCCAAGTCAAAGCACCCCAATGGAGTGCCCCATTGTACACACTCAATGAGGAGACGCTATGTAGAGCCCATGGATTAAGCAGTGGAGCTGCTCTACCCTGTAATCCCTATGGGTGGCTGGAGAAACTGGGGACCAATGGTACTAAAGCATTCCTATGATGGTAATGATAAACATTTGGGGAGAGACCTGGATTAAAACTGGTAGAAAACATCTAAGAGCCAGGACCATCCTTACTTCATAACCCCCAAAGTCCCATGGTCTATAAGATATAGGGAACCCTCTTTACCCAGTAATCCCCATTGGTGTACAGTACAGTACAGACGAGGCACATGCTGACCATCTTCATGTCCCTAACACAGGGTGTAGGCCTCCATCAGCCAGATTTGAACTGGATCAATGACTATCAATGCCTCCCTGTAGAAGCAGTTGACTTCCCAATGATGAATATCAGCGTCCCTTATTCGTATTGATCAATAATCACAGCGAGAGACGCTTCCACCGCCCCCCCCACACTGAACACTCCATTCGGGCTGGAGACATGTTGTCTCATACTCCAAGCAAGTCTCCTTCAGATCAGAAGAAATCATTAAACTTGGTTTTACCCATTGAGCTATTTGCTGCTACTAACCCCAACATAACTGTTCATGATTCAGCTTCAGTTTCCTAAGTGCTTCTAAATACTGCTATGATACGTTTCCCTCATAAATATGACAAAATGGTAATGATGGATTTGGCAGACTTTGTTCTCAGCAATCAGTACAACATGGTACATAGCCTGCTGTTTGAATACTCGACCAACGATGGATCAGGCTGTTATCTATGCCCTTATTGGCTGCTCGTTCCACGTTTGTTTCTAAACAAGTCAAGTTATTCCACATGGGTCAATATATTTCATATAAAAAGGGCGAGATTCTGCTTGTCTAAAGTCATTTCTCCATTAATTTTGGCTCTTAACACAAATACCCTGTACCCTGTTCCTTGAAGTGATCACAGCGCTGAGAATATGGTAGCTCTCATACTTTAACATAGACTTGTGTAGCGTTACGACTGCTTTCTAAATGGAGCCCAATGTCCTCTATGTACGAAACACAGCTTATCTTCTGAGGGGATTTGGTTGTGATGTCGTGACAACTGATGACGTCACAATGGTGTACAAAGCATTGTGATGCAATTTAATTTCCAAGTAGATATCCTTATTTCATCCTGGTGGTAACTTCTCTGGAAGACAGATTTGGATGATAAACAGTATTTCCCACTGATATTTCACAATCTAAGCCATCCATGTGAACTAAAATCTTCTTCAGGCTGGAGCAGCACTGGATACTTTTGTGGATGTTTAAAAGTTCCCTATTCCATTATGTGTACCAACAAGAAGAAAACTTTCAATGTTAAATAAATTGGTCTTTTTTAAATATTCTGTGCATATGTGCATTCCCACGTGATACCATGTGTGACAGAGTATTCAGCACTGTTGTCATTAGCATCACATGTAAAATACATCACAAGGTTATTTTGTTAAACAAAGTGTGATTTGAAAGTGCATCGTTAAATTAACAATAACTCATCTCAGTTGTGTCATTCTAAATTTAACAGTGTCATTGGCATGTTAACACATGGAACACACCGAACATAATACTGACTGACTGAGTTTGGTTTTACGCCGCTTTTAGCAATATTCCAGCAACATCACGGCAGGGGACACCAGAAATGGGCTTCACACATTGTACCCATGTAAGAGATTAGAACCCCGGTCTTCGGCGTGACGAGCCAACGCTTTAACCATTAGGCTACCCCACCACCCCGAACATAATACAGCGATATCTAGCTGTACTACATCTCAAGCCCCAAATGGGTGATAGAGTTGTATCTGTACATCGCACCATGTTCCCATGTTTCTACTATTGATTAAACCAGGCAGTTGGTGCTTCACCTGACACTTGTATTGTGAACACAAGATCGGGACTGAAACATCCGTAATGAAAAAATTATTCCGGTAATGGGTCCAAATAACTCTCAGCCATTATGTAAGTATGATACAGCACAAAGACATCTAACTAATTGAGGAGGTTCAGCTCTCTGAGCTGTATCCATAGTCAGAACTGACAATATCGTCACTATCACCAGCCAATGCCTTATGTAACAGAGCGGCCATTTTACATGTCATAAAGTTATGATCAATGAAACGTTTAATTGTCTACTACAAAGACTGATGTCAACAAAACCTCACCCCACAATTGTAGTTTGAGATCATTTAAATAACCTGCTTTCATCTGTTCAGATTTTACTTGGACACTTGGACGATGATGAACAAATGCTTTAGAGGACAAGTGGACGAGGAATGAGTCCCTACATAACATATAACAACCCGTGACATTACCCACATGTCTGAGTCAAGTCAAATTCTGGTCGGTCAGTACGTTCTGCTAACAATCAGGATAATAGCCTACAATTATGGTAACTCGAAACAGGACAGAACATTGGACTGTAAACATTCTGGCAGACCACATGGACCAGGAGAACCAGAAGATGAATTGGGTGTTATCGTTTCCAATTAAAGGAGAGGGGAGGGGGATTGTGGTTGTTTGAAAACCCCAACTGATGGTGAAATGAGTTGCTATGTCCTTTTGCACACATGAAAAGAAATACATTTATATATCTCCTGACTTGAAAATGATTAACAGTGAGTATCAACAATGGCAAACTTAGAACCAGACATGGAAATATTTAACATTCCAGACAAGCTGAACACTAAAACACAATTATGCAAATATTTTTGTTTGCTTATGTCAAAAAGGCATAATAATGTCCAAAAGTTAATACATAATAAAGACTTTTATAATATGTGTGTCAATATATAAGTCTGTAATTTCGAGATGTGTATTGACTATTTGAATCTATTCTTATCAAATAGAGGACAATCAGTGATAACATCTGTACTACACTGCCTGCAACACTGAAGTGTCACATGTGTGAGGGAACTACATTCACAAAAGTTGCTGCACGCAAAATCTGTCACTCAAGTATTATCTTTGAAACAAAAATAGATCTACCCAAATGACCTAAACAGGACTCAAAAGAGGGTTCATCTGTGAGAAATTATTAAAATCTCAACTTAAATGAAAAATAATGCCTCAAAATGTCATCCGGAATACTAAAATAACTTGAACTGTTTGATTATTGAAACCAACATATGGTGGGATACATTTAACAGAAAACAAGGTCAGCGGGTTCAAGGTTACAAAAGACATTAGCCATTGTACGCCTGAACAATGATATCCATCTCACATGCGATACAAACAAACACTTGTTTCACTAATATTAGTTTTATGGATATAAACATACAGGTAAAACCCCTAAGAGCGTGAACAACTGTAAACTATAATAATAACATTTGTAATGCGATGACTTGCCCATAACAGAGGGGCACTCTCAAAGCGCTAACATACAATCTGATCATTATTACCCTGCAATTTTTTTAGTTACAAATGCAAATTTAAACAAGATTCATATCACATGGAACCCATATCTGTTTCAGACAAAGAACTCACAAAACCTTTGTGAATATATTTGGAAAACACTGTGTAATTGTTTTTACTGTATACTGAGAGCAACTGCATCTTTCTTGAGGGACTCTCTCGTTGTAGATTGGTCTTCTGATTGCCAATAATGAATATTCTGCTCCTGCACCAGTGTGTCTACACCCCATGGTGTGTACTCAATGTACGTAAGTGTGAACAAATGTAAACAGTACACATAACTGAAGGTAAACTGGTTGTTACTCGGGGTAATACAGAGAGACACATGTTTAAGTCTGGATTCAAACATGCCCTATGTCAGTGTCTGCTACGCGGCATGGACGATTACTCCAGAAGACAGGAACTTTATAGGCCATGTATGTAAAAAGTACTTGGAAAAAGCAAGTATAGGGTCCCAACTTGGAATTACAGATTTCACAGTCATTGTGAACATGAACGGAACTGATGTTTGTAGAGGTTATCTGTTGTCCCCTGATAACACCACCATCAAACATGATAAACAAGAAAAGACATCAGTGACGAGGGTCACACTAAGGCAATGTTGAACATGTCATTTCAAAGTGAAAATACCATATATGTTAAAAATATCAACTTAAAAAAATGAAAATTTTGAACAACATATTTTTTTCCTATTTTGATTTCCAAAGGTATTTAGTTGGAATCCTGTGAATCTGTGACAGAACTGTCTACACTGTCCCTGGTCATATCTCTAAATGTTTTACAGCAGTTACACCCTAAGCACTGTGATTCCCTGGAATCCAAGACACCAGTGATCTAACCAACAACATAGGAATGTATCACAAGTGTATGTACGATATGAGACCCACTAAGAATAACCTGACCTTACTGCCGACCTCCTTCAGAGTCTGTCCATCCATCTACACCATGTACACAGCCCTGTTTAGCATGGTAGATAGGTACAACAGTTCGATGAAACACTGATCTATCATCAAATCCTTTTCTAGGCATCTAAAGCTTGCTCAAGACAACTAATTTCAGCATTCACTGAAACATGCCTAGGGGACATGGTGTGAAGCATCAGTTACCAAATAATCTAATTATCATTTCATCATTACAAACATAGCATTTATCAATATTTTAACATGTCCCAGGAAATGATATCCCTTTTGAATGAGAATTCCCTTACAAATATTCAAGTAATTTATACTTAGATCAGTTGATCAGTTTTTCAATGAAAGCACAAAAATCATGTATAATTTTTCAACTGTATTCAATTAATCAGATATCCTACTATGATATAAAATAACTCTATATATTTTAAAGAATGAATTATGAGCCTCCTGTTTCCTGTTTAGAATACTCTGTGTTCGCCAATGTTCTGAACTCTACCATGCTATGGATTCAACTAACTGTCTGCAACAGCAGTACTTGACAAACATTACCACTGTTTTGAAAGCATTAACCAACTGGTATGACTATTCCACTGCCAGTTCTAGTTGAAATATGTTGAAGGTATTTATAGAGAGCAGAAATTCAGACTGAACAAAATACCTCCTGAAAGGTTAAGCCTATACCCTACAGGCATATTACAGGTTGATTAGAAACAAGCTCATCAATTATGTTTGACAAACCAGGAAAAGATATAAATCACAACACATCTAACTGAACTGAGAAGTAATCAGTGGCTAATGTTTAGAGATTTTCATAGTAACAGTTGTAAGATTTCTTGATAACATAAACAAAGTAAGTCACAATGGAGACTGAAATTTATGTGTGAAACTGAATGTATTTTCATGAATGCGAGATTGACGTCCATAGTCGGATATCCATCATTGTGGGAGATGAGGCTGTAGTTGTGTGAAGGTGGATGATTGCCTGAGCCAGTTTATGTTCTGGTCGTAGTTTATGACTATTGCTTCAGTGACCATATTGATCCATGTCATAAAACTTCAGTTAATTTGACGTCAACCCACAAACCCCTACATCCCACGGCTCAATCTCTCTTAAACTATCATAACATGTTTAACATATTTAAACTCTTTGATGAAACTTTATAGCACCAGCATTTAATGACCATACTTTCTCATATAAATGAAAAGTAAATATTCTTAAAACTTTGTCACCAAACATTATTCTACACTATGTCAACAGTAATAGATATCCAATGTAGTACTTTAAATACATGGTAACAATGAGACTGGACTAACCATTTATCATGTCCACAATTGGGAAAATAAGTATTCATAAATATATATTTCTTGAATACTAATATTGGAATCTTATACCCTCACCAACAAAAACCTAACCAAAACAATAAATTGTTCCAAGAAATGATTGAAAAAAGGAAATATGTATGAGAATGATCACCCCAAAATAATATATTTTTACAACTGTCTGCTATGAAATATCCATTGCTTTAAGATGTTTTCAATGAACTTTGGCTCATATGTATTCAGAACATATCTGGTTTGTAGTTGAAACTGTTAAAATATCCAGTTTCCAACTATTAATAAATTTTACGATGATGTATTGGCCACAGTCGGTTTACTCATGACTATCTGCTGAAAATGGATGGGGATGGACCTCCCGTGTGTGTGTCTCTTGCGAAAAAGTGTTCACCATCAAGCATATTCTGCTTGACTGTGCGAACTTTTCAACAGCAAGGGATTCACATTATGATGTGATAAATCTGAAAGATCTGTTTTACCGCGTGAGCGACATCTCACTGTTAACTACCTGAGGGAAGTTTACCTGTATCATATATAACTATGTAATGTGAATAACGAATTGCTTGCTTTTAAATTTGGTGCTATGACATTTTCTGTTTTTAAACAATAATGCAATGAAAATATATGTTTTTAACATAAAACTCATTTGGACTTAGTATTTAAAATGTTTATGAATGCAGACTTGATCTCATCACTATATGGCTGGAATAATGCCGATGTGACGTAGAGCCCAACTCAACTATAAATACCCCCTCTCCCCCATCTACATGTTAAATAACAGGATGTAAACCATGTTGTACTTGCTACTGGCTTCAATGTTATTATTTTATTTGAAAACTTAGATACTATCTGCAACAACAGCAGCTTGTCTGTATCCTGTATAAGTATGATCACAACACAAGGACACATTCACCTTGAAGTTCAAATAAAAATGTTCAAATATAACATGAATAATGGCAAATACAGTTTTAGTGATCTCTCGGTGTACTACAATGATCATAAGCTGTGTTACAGTTACACCAGTGTCCAGATATCTGAGCCACCGTAGAGAAACTGGCACATGATCTTTTTAGTACAATTTATGAGAATGTACAATATCATAATAAATCAACTTTGATAGTAGGATTAATGTTAGGTTTACTATACATAACTGCAGACACTCAAAGTGACAAAGACATCTAATGAACCTGGAGAATAGAACACGTCTATGGCTCAGATGACATTTCACTTTCACAATCTAGATGTACTGCATACAATAATGCAATTGTTATGGGCCTAGAAAATGTAGATCATGTTCGTGATAATAAACTTGTTCATCAATTTCATGTGTATATGATTATGTGTTTCGTGATTATAGATGATGTGGTCTGAAGGTATGCCAACAATTTCCCAGCTGTAGGACTGACTTTCAAACACTACTTCTACAAACTCCGTTTTGAAGTTCCATTTTTTTAACAGAAATATACACAAAGTAGTCCTTGAACAAAAACATCACTTACATTTAACAATATGTGAGAGTAAAACAAATAGAACACATTTATACAATGATCAATTCGTGATTACTTGTAATCAAGCGCTTAGAATATGTGATTATGGCGTTGGTAACTTGAGTGCATTTGACAATGTCAACTACCCCCACGTAACATAAATTAAGGCAAATAATCAATAATATACATCGAAAGAATTCAACCTGAAAGAAAAAGATTACGAAATTATTCATTTCATAGGGTCCATATGTTTGTTAAACAGACAGTTGTGTCTTATGTCCGGCTTTAGTTGAGGAAGCAAAGCCGGCACATGACTATTATACACAGTTGGGTTTCATTCATGTATGCAGAATCATGTGTTCGTGTGTCGGTATCCGTAGGTTCGGTCTACCCATGTTACAACTTAATCTTAACACGCAACGTTAATGAAATTAACTTACTTATTCTTGGCTGTGAAATGTAGTCTCTCGACACCGCCAAATGGTGAGTTTTCCTTGCTTCAATATCACTGAGGGGCCCATTTAGCGAGCGCATATCAATCTGCCCACCTTTCGACGCCATCTTTACAAATCTGTCATGTGACTGCAGTGTCACGAGTTCGCGAAGGGACGTAACTCTAATATTGATTACCAACAGGTGCGTGACTCAATAGCCAAAGAGAAATTTACTTTTACCATATTGATCAGAAGTATACAATACAAATTTCACAAAGCAAATATAATGGAGTAATGTTGATATACGAATTAGTTCAGCGTGGTTAAATATTTTGAAATTGTGAAGATCCGGTAGTTTTTATTGAAGAAATTACAAGTTTAAGCGCGTACCCATATGAAGTATTCAGGTGCGATTTAATGATGCGTAACGCGCTGGAGAATGTTATGTAAATGTTTGTAAGTGAAACACCTTTAACAACATAGACGCGCCGCTTTGTGTAACAGTGAGTTAGTTATTTTCTTTATAAAGGCAAGGATTGAGCGTATCCGGTTCTGAATCTGAAAAGCAAACACGGAACAAACACATCCTGGTCTGTGTTCGGGGAATAACTGACCCCCTGCACCCAACGTGACGTCACAGTCAGTTCAGCAGTTCACTAAAGTCTCATTACCACTTTACTTGGAGCAATTTGTGATTTTTAAAAAAAATATGCAAATTTGCATTTTATGAATTTGGTTACGCTACTGTACAGTACGATTTCAAAGAATGAGAGAGCTTTATTCAGGAAAGGGACCACGGGCTCATTATACATCAGGTGGACTGAATATAAGTCAAAGAACCGAGATATTTAAGTCAAAGAACCATTTATGTTTCAGGTGGGGACATTTAAAGCGTTGGCTCGTCAGAAACATGATAGCCCATTTCTGGTGTCCCCTGCCGTGATGTTGTTGAAATATTTCTAAAAGCGGCGTAAAACCAAATTCAGTCAGTCAGTCAGTCAGTTTGACAGCTACCTTTACTGGATTCAGGTGAGAACACGATGCAAGAATATAACATGGTAGTGCTGTTAGACAACATGCAACATTTTGCGGAATAGCATCAATTAAAAACACAGTTACGTTTCAAATGAACTGTTAAAGCGCATTGGCGAATTGTTTTTCGTAATTCTGCACGCCGAAGACCAAGGTTCGAATCCAGGACCCACATGGGTACAAGCGTTGGCTCGTCACGCCGAGGACCCGGGTTCGAATCCCCACATGGGTGCAATGTGTGAAGCCCATTTCTGGTGTCCCCCGCCGTGATGTTGCGGGAATATTGCTAAAAGCGGCGTAAAACCAGAACTCAGTCAGTCATGTGAAAGTGGCTGTTTGGGGCGGATCACATAAGCGATGAATATACTTGTGAATAAACCCTAAGTTTAAAACTGCACTCAAAACACGGGTGGCTTGTGAATATACCTTAGTTAAATCTGTACTCCCATTAAGGGTGAATGGATGGCTGCATACAGTCACACAACCTTGGATTTGAGACTGTGAGGCTGAGTTATTTCCCAGACGAAACCCACTTCGATTTGTGATCAGTGGAAAACTGGCTTTCTCTTCAGGGCCAACGCAGAGAGAAGTGGAGACACACACTGGAGTTTGAATTCTGCTGTTCAAGATGCTGAATGTGTCTTACACCGGGGAAAGTTTTAATATTTTTATTGTAGTGGCTCAACACTTGAACAACATATATAGATATATACCTTGTGATGCATACGAGTTTTGTTAGTTTTTCACAATAAGTACAGCAAAAACATGACAACGTATCAGTATTTTGGATTTACGGGTGTCTTACTGAGAAGTTTGCAAGAAGCTCGACAAACAACAGAAGGTAAAAGGAGTTATGTCCCCTGGATGTATCTCCGTCGATCTACGAAGGAACGACAATCATGACCGGATGGGAGCCAAACCCAAGTCGATTCCGCACGCGGTGATTGGTGCTTGTTCCTACTGTATATTGAGGACCTTGGTGTCAGTGACGACACTACAGCATTGCAGTTACAGCATACAGCGTAACACAGAAGGATGATCCGTACTGACACAAGTTTATGAACCATTCATCTCAATTCTGTTGTGGGAGATGAAATCTTTTACCCAAACGAATTATTCAGAAAGGCTCATATGGATTACACGGAGACAAATACTTGTCTACATGAAGATGTTAACTCAACGTGACTTCGTGTGGTACTTATTGTTTTGTGTTTTCACAGATATGTAATACACTTGAAATTCCACTTTATTTGGCAATTCCTGTTTGTAAAATAGATATCGCACTTCGAAAATGTAGACTTTCCGCGTGGCAGTTTTAAGTGACGAACAGGTGCTTGAACTAGGCTTCATCAACATCTCGTGCAGACGATAGTAGAAACTATCCCTTCTGAATCACTCGTCTGGTACTACTACTACTACTACTACTACTACTACTACTACTACTACTACTACTACTACTACTACTACTACTACTACTACTACTACTACTACTACTACTACTACAAAGTGTGAAGCCCATTTCCCCATTTATGGTGTCCCCCGCCGTGATATTGCTGGAATATTGCTAAAAGCGGTGTAAAACTAAACTCACTCACTCACTCGTCTATACTGGTCTTTGTGTCAGGACTCAGTGTGGCAATGCACAGGCTTATCATTGCGTCACATAAACCCCCGTCACGTTAGAGGTGGTTCAAGCTGCCGTAAAATCAACCATACACGTCACAAACAGTTGCTCATCTGAAATCAGATCTTTACTCCAATACGATATTTCTCTCAACGATCATTAACCTCAAATATTTAACCCAAATACAACACTCTGCAGAGTTCATTAACGTCAGATATTTAACCCAAATACAACACTCTGCAGAGCTCATTAACGTCAGATATTTAACCCAAATACAACACTCTGCAGAGCTCATTAACGTCAGATATTTAACCCAAATACAACACTCTGCAGAGCTCATTAACGTCAGATATTTAACCCAAATACAACACTGCAGAGCTCATTAACGTCAGATATTTAACCCAAATACAACACTCTGCAGAGCTCATTAACGTCAGATATTTAACCCAAATACAACACTCTGCAGAGCTCATTAACGTCAGATATTTAAGGGCCACTGATGCAGAGCGATTAATGTTTCCAGCCAACAGTCTAATTACGAAACCTAGCTGCAAACTGGTCAGCCCCTGCTCCCTCGACCGTGACGGACACGGGGACTTGGCTACTGTCCACCTTGGCAGAATTTCTTCAACCTTATCAGTGGGACATTAGGAAGGGTGGATGCCCATCAGATGCCGTTATTTGAAAATATCCCCTGTAGTTCTTGTTTGATTGTAATAAAGTATCCCAGCAGTGTAGGCACTTTCAGATTTACAAATGTTTGGATGGTATAGTGACTGATCCAATTTGATCCTATTTTCTGTTTTTTTTTACCTCGTTATTTAATCATGTAAAAATATGCTATGATATCAAAAACACACATTTGATATATTTGAATCCATAAACTAAACAACCCCACTTTGCCATTGCTAAAAAAAATCTGAAATTGTACTTAGGTACATAGGTATATACAGTTTCTAAATAAGTACACAGCAAATGTTTATATATATTTCTTATGTAACAATGAAGTTCGATCCGTTCGTATCGTCAAAACAGTGTCGGCCAATAAGGGTTTTTTCAGACAATCAAACCTGTATGCAATACAGCGATTACTACTCTCTTGCTGTAACCCTTGTTTGGTGGTAAATCTACACATGTTATTTGTCATCATTCACTTGATGGTCAGTTAATGAATTTATAACAGGTATAATTAGTGATAACACCACTCAGATTATCCGACAAAGGTTCCCATTTGGCATTTCTTGTGTCTGAAGTAATTATAAATTTAGGTCTGATGTGGCAAATGTATTACATCTTATGTAATATGCGCATGGAAGTGCAGCAAGAGGAATTATCAGCAGAGTTTCAAAACAAACATCGATCAAAGGATTAACCGATAACACGCTGATTGATTAATTGCTTTTATCCTGCACAGCGGATTTGTCAAAAGGTAGTGTTTATGTATGTAGATTCACTAATCTATACTGAATAGACCCTGTCGTAAAGTTTCTTTGTAAAAACAACGTCCTTCCTTCAAAGGATTAACCGCCAAAACCTTGATTGGTAGTTCATTTTTGGCTAACTAATGGCGGACATCAAGCAATTACTTGCCAGGTGTGCTATCTTGGGTGACCAGTGGGATACACCAATGTGAAAAACCTGAAACGATAGATCACCTTTTCGCATATTAGACCGTTGAAAGACACATGACATGGAATATGATTCTTTGTCAGCTGCAGATGAATGGCATCTCATTACTTTATGTGGATATTGATACATTCCCCTAACAAGGTAATAGCCTGATGTTGTTGCTATACCTTTAGTCTGTTTTATTTTTAATATTTGCATTTTGTTTTAATCTATTTGTTATGGCATTCAACATAATCATTGTTTTGCCGTGAAAGGTAATGAGATAGACAACATACACTAGATCGCACTTAGGCTGACTGACTGAGTTTAGTTTTACGCCGCTTTTAGCAATATTCCAGCAATATCACGGCGGGGGACACCAGAAATGGGCTTCACACATTGTGCCCATGTGGGGAATCGAACCCGGGTCTGCGGCGTGACGAGCCAACGCTTTAACCACTAGGCTACCCCACCGCCCCTTGATCGCACTTAGGGCGTGTGTCTGAAATATGGTACACGTCTAGATATTAAACTCATGTTAAAAATTCACTAAATATAAGCAGATCATGTGCATTTTATTAAGTTTCAAAATGCATACAAATATGATAATAAACTAAATAGGATTATAAGACAAAACATAAAGACGTACATTGACTTCGTTATTTCAGTCTTAACATTTTTTTCCACTGGCAGATGGTTAAACTTAAAATCTTTTCATTTGTTATCAAAATACTGCCATTTAATACAACATTAAGATTGACTAGTAGTGAACCCAAGCTTACTACTCTCCCCAAGACTCCCCATGTACTTAGTTACTCTTACTTTCAAATAATGCTATTATATCAGGCTTCTCACCAAATTCAAGGTCAAACTATTTCTTAAATCAAATTCTACATCCAT